AAGAATTTTTTACAATAAGTTTAACAGAAATATTTTTGCATATATTTTTATCAGTGTATAATAGGATGATTAGATGGTTATCAATTATCTGATCCGCAACATCTGATAAGCTATTTATAATTTTGTTCCCTTTTTTCTTTTCCTTATCTTTTCTTCTATTCTTTCGCAAATGATTATCATCTTTATCATCTTTTATTTTTATTTTTTACCCCATCTTCATACGGCACATCAATAAAAATAACAAAACATTTAAGGGCTCGAATTGGAGCTAAATTTTGCCAAATTAAACAAATATTATTACTGCCACACTTCGCTTTCGCCACGACAAAATAGAAATACCAACAATAGTAAAATAGAATAGCAGATTGCGAGGATGCATGATGCCATCACAAAAAACATCGCATGGTGTCCTTAGGAATCGCACGATGTTCTTAAGCACCATAAGATGCCACCAAATCACCTCGGCTTTAGCATCCCTACTTCAAATTATCGATTTATTCATTTTACAGAATCTTCATGATTAACGATTAAGCAATTCATCCTACGTTTTTATAAATATAGCTATGATTTCTAACAATCGGCTTCCTTCACCTCTAACTTTCAGATTCAGACTCTTCAAGTGGCTTCCTAAAATTACAGTTTCTATAATTCTCACCAGTTTGCAGAATTATTTGTAATTTCGATTATTTTCCGTTCCTCGACATTCAATGATTTTTCAGAGTAACGATGCTGGCTTGCTATGCAGTAGTCCACACATTTCTAAAGCGCAGCAACCGTCAAATTCCAATACTATTTGTCGGTCCCATTATTTAAGTGTCTTGTTCAGTAATGTAAGCATTTTATTTTATTGTTTTTTCTTTCTAGTTGCTGATTGATTATTAATTCATAATTAATCGTTTGGGGAAGAATTTGCTTCGGGCGATGTATGGCTTATAGCTGCACGTTAATAATAGAGTCGATATTCGGCCGTTATTCCTTTAGAATCCAATTTGATTCCATTATCACTCTCCGTATTTATTCTCTAAAACCTCCTCAACATCCTTTCTTCCTCCTCCTTTCTTTTAAATTTGCTCGAAGAGTTCTTTCGCGAAACTCCTCCGAGGACGTTCGCCCTCTTCCATGGCATCGAAACGCTTTATGCTTAATGCTCGCACCATTTTTCCTTCTTACTTGCCTTTTGTTGTTCGGTTGAGTATAAACGAAAGCAGCATGGCGGGAAACATAAATCACTATTGGAGTGACATAGTCTCAAAAATGGGGACGGCGGCTCGATTAGGCGATAATAGAAAACTAAACCGCCTCCTTCATAAAGTAACTATGACTCGGGGAACGATCCGTGAAGTGGTAAGGGAAGCAGTGGCGTGCCAGTCAAGGGTATTAAGGACCGCCACATAAGATGGAAAGAAGTCTTTGAGGTCTTAACCATGAAGCGCCATCTGTTGCCTCGGATATAACTGATATATTCGCTGAAACATGTGCTTGCAATTGCGAATCTCCCCACAGAAGAAGAAATAATGTCTATTATCCATAAGCTTAAAGCCAATAAGACTCGGGAAATGGTCTTCGGGCTGAACTTTTTAAATGTTGCCTATCGTCGTTCATAACGCACATTTAACAATTGTATTCTCTAATATGGAAAAAAGAAATATTACCAGATGATTCGAGCAAAGTAATTCTGCTCGCAATTCTCAAGAAAGGTGATAGGAAATATTGCGACAATTATTGAGGAATCAGATAACTAGACGTCTCAGCGAAAATTTTTGCTTCCCTTTTATTCAACAGACTTATGGAAGTACGGGATAGCCCTAATCAAGCTGGATTCAAACCGGGACGCTGTTGTTCTGACCAGATATTCACGTTAAGAAGGGTATCGGAACATCGCTTCAGATATTTGCAATCCACTTTCGTGTGTTTCACTGATTCGCCTTTGATTCTTTGATCCTTTGATTCAACTGATAAAGCGGCGCTTTTGGGGCGATGGATCGCGACATTGTTCCAGAGATCATTCGACTCATAAAGGCATTTTATGGGTGTACGTCGGCGCAGGTCTGTGTATATGGGGAATTGACAGATTCCATCGAAATAAGAACTGGTGTCCGTCAAAGGTTTGTCCTTTCCCCTATAATATTCAACTATGCGACAGACTGATAATGGACCTCAAGAAGTGTCCAAATCAGCCCAGAGCTTCGTATCACAGACCTTGAATACGCTGATGATGTAGTCCTTTTTGTTGACAATTAAGACGAAATGAAAATAATATTAAATTATGAGTGCAACGAGAATAGGATTCAGGATCAGTGTAAACAAAACGAAAGTCTTTTCGTCTTATGTGCAAAAAACTGATAAAATGCTTCTTTTTATAAGTTCATTACTAGCTGAGGAAGTGCTCGATTAAATATCTTGGGTCCACTCTAATACCAAATGGCTAGGTAAAAGATGATATTGCAACCCGAATCACGGCAGCTAGAAATGCGTTTTTCCTGTTGACGAAACCTTTATGGAGCCGTCGTGAAATTACCATTAAAAGGAAAATCCGTATCTATATATTTATGATTCGCTCGATCTTATTTTGTGGCCCTGAGACCAATGAGAGTGGAAGATATCAAGAAGCTATCTGCCTTTGACCACTCTTGTCTAAGGTACATTTTACGGATCCGTCGAGCAGATAAAATACCACATGATAGCATCCATCTTCGTTCAAATACTACTTGCATTAATAATGTTATTACAAACCGTCGCCTTCGATGGTCAAGGCACGTTTTCCGTTGTCCACCACAAGAATTATCGCATATATCGTTATAAACCATATGATGGATGGCGTCAAAAGCGAGGTGGGCCAATCAAGACCTGGACTGATACGGTCAGAAAAGATTTTGAACGTAGGACCAGCGATATATGGACTTAGACGATGGAAAAAGGAATGGCTTCTATTACTATTAGCGTCAGATCGAGCAGCTTGGGGCAGCTCTTACCCTTGTAGCCGTTGGAGCCAGCCTAACTAGTAATGGTGTGAGCTAGAAGAAAAAAAAGAATTTGTGTCAACACTAAATATTTGAGCCATATTAAATTTTTGTAATGTGTATTCGAACGTTGAATGTTTGTCAAAATATTATGAGCACAGAATGGTGTATTTCGTAAATTTATATTGCTATTTTTCTTTTTTTGTTATTGGTTTTCGAATTCGTTTTCTGAATCTAATTAGGAGTATTTATTTTAAAAAATTACATTGCTTAGGCAATTTTAATTCTAAAATTTGAGTTTAATGGATCGGCAAGGCTTCGTTGAAAATGCGCAACCGAGTCGAACCAGTCGAAATGTAGTTGAAGTCGGCAGTGGTTTGCGTAGATTTTTGAATGTTCCTCAGGCGAATACAAGCACTCCGCCAACATTTCACCATTTACCAGTGTATGAAATTAAAATTTTAAGTAATCTTCGTTTCTATCAATTTTGAAAATTTTCTGGTTGTTGATAAAATTTTTTTTGATAAATATTGCCATTTTGCTGATATGATATGAAATTATTGTCATGGTTCCACTTCAGTAGTTGACCGAAAAAATTTAAAAAAAGAAAAAATATGATATAGCCTGTTAGGTGAAGATCAGAAAATAATTTTGTTAGCGTCAATGCTTCTTTTTCATTCTTCATCTGTTGATTACTTTATTTTATTAAAAGAAAATTTCTTATAAATAACTTTAAATCTTCAGTTATTTTAGGCAACAAATACCCATTGGTCTCAATCATAATCATCCTGCAGCTAGTCGCCAAAATGCCGCTCAAGCAGGTCGCAACATTAGTCGAGTGTGTTTTTTTGTAATTTTTCTCTAATAAGCTTAGAGGATCGGAAATTTTAGTCGCCAAAAGTTTTTAATTGGTTGGGATATGTTTTTTTGGTTTCTTTTATAATATTATAATTGAAAGCAAAAAAGTCTTTTCAAAGCTATGATAATAAGTAATAAGATGAATAGCAAAACTGGGACAAGATTCGAACTGCACGAATCTGATATCTTAAACAAAAAAAATATAATAGAATTTAACTGAATGGAGCGTTATAACAAAATTCGAGGGTTGCATTAAAACTTGTTTTGTCCAAATAATTTTTCGCAGAAAGAAAAAAAACGAAATAACAATATAGATAAGTAGACCGATATGTAATGGTAATAATGATAATGAAAGTTCAAGCATATGGTTATCCCAGAGTATCAAGAGAAAAAGAATAAAACTGGCATGAAACGAATCTATAAATTCATTATAATTGTACCTTATCAACAAAGCATTTGAGTTTAGAGTGTTAAGAGAGTTAGCAGCAGGATTCGATTCTTCTTTTTTAATAAGAGTAAAGTGGATGAAAATTATTAAAAATGAAATTCATTGAGGCCTAACTATGAGGTTTATATCCTTTAATAGTTATGGTCAAAAGATCTTATATTAAGTAGAGCCAGCTAAATCATTAATAATATTAATAACAAAAGGTAATTTAATATGACCATAAGCGAAACGTGAAATTTCTTTGGAAAAATTATTGTCATGGTTCCACTTCAGTAGTTGACCGAAAAAATTAAAAAAAAGAAAAAAATTGCAAAGATATGAAAAAAGCAAATGAATATTTTAAGAGGTTATTAAGGATATCTAGGATAATAACTGGGCAATTATATGCGAATGAGTGGATGTAGCTAAATTTGGTCGATTTCAAATAGTATGGACAGTATAGTCTGAGGGATGTTAAAGAATGTAATTTAGATCAGGGTGGGAATATTTTTATATAGGAATTTGAGGAAGGTATTAAGAGAGCGCTCTAGGAAAATGTAGTAAGGGTATTTGATGGAGTTGAGTTTCAAATAAGTACAACAGGTGTTGAAGAAATATGAGGAGAAAATTAAGTAGAAATCGGCGATAAGATATGCGAAGAAATTTCTGGGAAATACGTAGTTTATTGCTGTCGAAAAAAATTAACGGCAATATGTTTTATAGGAATGCCGTCAAAACCATTAAATTTTTTAATTATGCATACACTAGTTAATGCAGGAACATTGGCAAATTATTTAATTTTCCACCTATTCACTTTCATTTTTTACAGAGATTGCGAGTCGAAGATGCACTTTCATATTTAGAATTGGTCAAACAACGATATGCTCATGCACCAGATACATACATCGAATTTCTCGATATTATGAAGGATTTTAAATCTCAAGCGTAGGATTTCTTTCATTCAATGAATTTGATCGTAATTTATATTTAGGTTCTATGTTTTATGGGAAATCTCTTCAAGTCCATTTTTCATTCATTTAAATTTATTTATAATGTTATGGATTTATCAATTCTGTTATCATTAATATTATTTTTCTTACTATCTTAATATATTATCTTAATTTTTTTAATTCTCAGATGAACAAATTAGCACGATATCCAGTTGTTTTAAATATTTGAAATTTTTTATATGATAGAATATTTCTATGATCAGTGTTATTTTTATTTTTATTCAACTATTTTTGAAAAAATTATAGGATTGATACACCCGAAGTAATACATCGAGTTTCACGACTTTTTCGATTAAGTCCATCACTGATAACTGGATTCAATGCCTTTCTACCTCCAGGCTTCGAAGTTTGTACATCGGGCTCAAAAATTTTTATCAGAGAGCCATGTGGAAGAACTCAGATTATCTATGATGGTATTTCCTAGCCAAATCCCTACATTATTTTTAGTAAATATTATAAGTTAGAGAGTGAGGAAATTTGGAAACATAATAACCAATGGAACCAGCGAAATAAAAAAAAAATTCTTGCTAGATGAGTAAAAAGTGAAATTCACCTGAGGTCTTTTAGGAGCACAAGATCAACAACAATCGGTGGAGGATACCATGGAGCAAGAACGAGTCGTTACTCATCGTATGATTTAATAGTTTAATTTATAAGCTTGAAATCTTACGTTTCTTCGTTTCGTTTCTTCGTAGTTTCTTCGTTTTTTATCATGCTTTCGAATTTTTGTTGTTAAATTTCTAATGAAAAAATAAAGGTTTTAGCAGAAATGCATTGTCATCCACAAAGTGCCAGTTGTCATGAAACTGATGAACAGTGTCGCTCATCGGGTCAGCATTCGTTATGATGCATTATTTAAAATTTTCAAATTTTCATTTATCAAATTATTTTTTTAATATTTGCATATATTTGGCTTCATTTTTTAAAATTTAAAAGTTTGCAGATTCATCGCAACAAAAGTCTGATAGTAATGAAACTTCGAATCCTATTACCACTTCTACTTTTAGTTCAAAATTATCTAATGACTCTTCATCTGCTGGTCCCTCTGCTTTCGACCATGCTATTGCTTATGTTAATAAAATAAAGGTGGGTTTTTTAAGGACATTTTTATTTCTCATGAGGAATCATTATTATCCAATTATCGTTATAATTATTATAATCATATTCAGCAAAGTAAAGTTTACTTTAAATATTTTAGAACTGTCGTTTAATGGATATTTTTTAGGCTAGATTTCAACACCAGCCTCATATTTATCATCAGTTTTTGGATATTCTTCATGCTTATCAAGATCTTCATGAAGACTCTCCTAAGGTTCAGTTTCTATTTCGGTAGAAATATTGTGTGAATACACTGTATTATATTTATGTATTGTATTGTAAAAATGCAGTATTATAGACAATATTTGACAAAAAGATGGTATTAAGTGATATAAGTTATGTTATATTATGGTATCTTCACTTTTTTAGCGAGATATTTTGGCTGAAAGTCAAGTTTATAATTCAGTCGCTTCATTATTCGAGAACGAACCTGATTTAATTCGAGAATTTTCTCTTTATTTACCTGGTGTTTGTGGCATTCTGGATAAATCGACTCAAAATTCAGATTTAGCATTCAAGGTATTTAATAAAGTTTTATGAAAGTTTTATGATTTTTAGTACTCTCAAGAGAATTTTTATCTCATACTATTTTTAAGTCGAAAACATCAAAAGATGGCAGTCGAGCCACTTTAGTTATTTCTCCACAACCTGTTTGTGTTCCAAACGAAGGAACTGTTATTGCTACAAATTGTGCTTCTTCAACTTCTCTTAAGCGGCATCTCCAACGACAACCTGCGATAATTAGAAAGGTTTTGAAAGATGAATGTATTTTTTACTTTTATTTCTAATTAATTACATAACGTTATATTCTTATTTATTGAAATTTACAGAAGGCTAAATTTGGTGCTGTTGATGTTGTTTCAAATGACTATAATCACGATGATTTAATTAAGAACGTTTCATTGGATGAATATCTATTTTTTGATAAAGTGATTTTTGATTTGATTTTTCTTTTCTTCTTTTTTTTAGTAGCTCTCATCATTTCTAGTTGAATCTGCTGACGATTAAGCTGAGATTCCAAGCTTTCAAGACATTTCCAAGCCTTCTTTTCCTGAAAATAAGCCACTCATTTTTCCCTCTAAAGACGCATATTGCTATAACGCCTATGCGTTCAAAATTATAATTTTCTTTGGTTCTCCTCGATTTTGATACCGCAGGGTTTAGCAAATAGCGAATTTTGCGTCATTTTCTGTGGTGAGTGTCATCGAAGGACATTTATTGGTTAAACTAGAGCACACGACAGTTTATAACCATATTTTAATGTGGTATTTGAGCGAAGATAAATGTACTCATGTGAGATTCTGTCCACTTGGCGGGTACATATATATTTTAGGCGAGAATGGTCAAAAATAGCTTAATCTAATTTAAGGCGATCTCAGAGAGAATTCGCCAGAAGACACTTTTGGCTGCAGTCATCTATACTAAAATTTCATATTTCGCTTGACTCTAGCGTCCACTGCATTGACTGTCAACGAAGGGGATAACATTATTAGCATATTCGAGGTTCATGATACTATGCTTTGGACTGATTTGTAAATCTCTTGGATATTGACAATTTATTGAAAATTTGAAAATTATAAGGGAGCCGTAGCATCCTTGATGTTATCGACAGATGCATCCCCATGTCGATAGGTATGAAAATAAAAAGTAAAAGGTGTGTACAATCATACCTGCGTTGATATGCGCAAAAATGCTTTGATAAATCTCTTCTGGAATATAGTCGTGTTGAATGAGTTACCGCCCTGTTGTTTATCGAATCAAAGGTAGCAGCAAATTCGTTGAAATACATAATAGTAGGTTGCGGGATACCTGGAACGATTTTGTTATGCTCTTCTCATTTAGTTAACCACGTCGGCTTGATTAGAGTGCATCGTGCTTCTACCCATTGCCATATGTACCTAGCAGATTGAAGGAAGCAAAGATCTTCCCCGAAATATTTGATTCCTCAATAACTATTATCGTGGATGATTTATCAAAATATAGTCAGTTTGAATTAGAAAGTTATTCGCCAGGTGATTTCCATTTATGAGATATCCTTTTTAAGGCTGAATGCATATATTGGTAGTAAAAAGTTCTGCAGTAAAGAGGAGAAAAAGAGGCGCTCTACATTGGCATATTGCAATTTTTAACACCTTATTTGTCGGTTATAGGAAATAATGGGGCAACCTCACTTTCTACGCGAGCATTCCAATCTTCTTTTATCATTTTTTGGAAGAGATATTTTTAACAAGTTAAACTTAGCATGCCTTTAAAGCGGGCTCTGTCATTAACAGAGTTCTATAGAAAGCTGATTTTAATCGGACAATCGTGACATCACTTCTCTTTGAAATTTATTTGTATTTTATTTGAAATTATCCGAACCAAATATAGTTATTGCTCTGAATCCAGAATTAGGAAGATAATTATTACTTGGTTCCGTAAGTGTCTAGCCACTCTGGTCATGACCTTGTAACATGGACAAAGGGCCGACATTTGTCCAATTTTATCAAGTGTTAAGTATATTAGATCAATTCTATTAGCTAGGGGATACAGCCTTAGTATTTTTGTTATTATGATCTTTTATTATTATTATATAGCCTGATTGACATATTTTCGCATGTACCACCAGCTAAAGGGTAATATGTACATCGGGATATGCGGATGCCGTTTACGATTTGCTCAACCCATTCGGCATAGAGACAGTTAGAGATAAAAGTGCAGAGTACCAAATGGCCATCCTGTTGATTTATTGACAGGTTTACTGCTGTCCAGACAAATAGATGATTTTATAATTGTGGATAATTATAAAATCATGTAAAAAAATTTTGTTATGGAAATGAAATGAGAATTATTATTCTTTATTTAGCAAATTTTCCGGTTCATTTTTAATAATTTTTTCATTTAATTTGCACTTATTTTAAATAGCTTTATTTTAGGTGCAGCGATTGCTGAATCCTGATTCATTTCAAAATTTTCTTCGGTGTTTATTATTATATAATCAGGGTATAACTTCGAAACATGAACTTATTGAGTTGGTTACTCCTTATCTAAGGTTATTTTAGTTTCTTTCGCAATACTGAAATAATATTAGGTATAGATAACTATGGATAGATATAGATAATTTTTTCAATATTTCATTTTAAAACTGAGTATTTAATATGTATATATAAATATATATATATATATATATATATATGTAAAATATTTAAAATCGCAAGTTAGATAAAGAGCCAGATTATTGCATATTTTTATTAGAAAAAATTAGAAAAAAGAAAAGAAATATCGAAAAAATATTTTTTCAATGACCAAATTTCTATTGCCAAAATCATCCATTATGGATTTAATTCGCTTTTATTGATGAATAAAAGTGGAACCTACCAACAGTTTGTATCATTCGACTTTATCTCTCATAATAGGAATATCTTCACAAAAACTCGGCAAAAAACAAAAATTTTTGATAAAACATGATGTATGAATGCAACCAATTAATTTATAAAAAAACAATAGCAAATGATAATGATTAAATGAAATCATAATAAACTTTTTTCATTGGTCTTTATGAGGCTTTTTCTGGGTTATTGTGTTATTTCGTCAAAAAAATTTTTCGTTTTTTTTTGGAAGCTATTATTTTTCTTTTAGTAAACGCCCAGAACTTACAAAATATTTAATGGATTTAATTAGTAACAATCGTTCTCCTGAAAATCAATTAATAGTGGATGAAAATCGTCGGAAAATTAAAGCCTCCGAAGAAACCAGTTCAGAATTAAGCAGTCATAAGAAAGGTATAATTTTCTTTTTCTGCTTCAGATTTACGTAGCAAAAGCAATTGGTTAGTTTAACTTATATAAATGTTTTGAAACAATATTTCTCACGTAGTTTATTGCTTTTTCGCAAATCGTATTTTCAGATTACGCTACTGGCAAACGGCTCGGAATCAGCTATCGTGCTTTGCCGGAATCTTATTCACGAGTAAAATGTTCGGGTCGTACACCTTTGTGCCAGTCTGTATTAAATGACACATGGGTTTCTTTTCCATCATGGTCGTCCGAAGATACTTCTTGCGTGCATTCAAAAAAGAGTCAATTCGAAGAATTCATGTATCGAATGGAAGATGAACGTTTTGAGGTTAATTGTATGGAATTTGTTTTTGAAAAAAAAACAAATTATTTGTAAAGAAAATATTTTGTGGTCTGTTAAATGATTAAATGATTTGTGGATTTTTTGCGAGAATGATTCAAGAATAATTATTTAGTTGGATATCGTTATTGAAGTTAACAAATCAGCTATCAATACCCTCGAGTTTTTACAACGTAAAATGACTCGAATGGGAAAAGAAGATTTAGCTAAATTCAAACTTGATTCATCATTGGGTGCAACATCACCAACAATTATGTACCGAGCATTGAAACGTGTTTATGGGTTTGCTTCTTATTTTGCTTTATTAATTAAAAGCTTAGTTGTTTTGTTATATATTTTAAAAAATTTTTATATTATACTTCTGATTTTAGAAAACGATAGTATATTTATAATTGAATTTAGCTCCAAAGAAAAGTTATTTTTAGAGAAAATGCAAATAAGATGTTAGAAGGTGCTCAACGCAATCCGGCCTTGGTAGTACCACGCTTGCTTCAACGATTACGTGGTAAAGAAAAAGAATGGCGCGAGCAACAAGCAGGTTTCAATCGAATTTGGCGAGAACAAACTGAAAAATATTATGCAAAAAGTCTCGATCATCAGGCTTTTACATTTAAAGCCAATGATATGAAGCAATTGCGATCGAAAATGATTATTCATCAGTTTGAAACTCTTTATGATGAGGTTTTTTTACTTTTTAATACTTTTTGTTTTTAATACTTTTTTCGCGTGAAAAAATTCTTATTAAATCGGTTTGAAAACTTGAAAAATATATAATACAGTTTTGATTTCTCTATTTCTCTTTTATTGCATATTTTTATCTTCATCCAGCTTTATTATAGATAAGATTATAATAGATTGAAGGCGAGCTTATCGAGTCGTATATTTTTTTGTCTAAGGGCGAGCGGCATGGTTCGATTCCTCTGCCTTGACAAGAATAAATCTGCCATTAAAGAGATCCTAATGCTGATTGGCACTTTATCTCTTTCCAGTTGAATCTTTACAAAGAGTCTCAACATAATAGTTAGATTGTAGATATAAAAATTTTGTTTTAAATATTGTTTCAGAGGGAAACTCGCATTGAAGAGACTAGTTCAATAGAAAGTGGTCCGCATTGTATTTACAAATATCCAAAAGATATGAATGTATTATATGATGTGAATGATCTGATAATTCATTACGTAAGGCGTCAGACAAATATACAAATAAGTGAAAAGCGATATATCAAACGCTTTTTGAGGCGTCTTATCCCTGAATTATTCAATATTGATCCTCAAGAATTAAGTGATGATGAAGATGGAGAGGAAACTGATTTTAATGGTAATTTAAAAGTCTTTTGGTTGTTTTCCTGGCTCTTCTAATTTTTCATTTTGATTTGATTAGTTTGAAAGATTTTTATTTTAGAAAAAATGGATGCTGAAACGGAAAGTGGAATACGTCCGACTCGAAGAAACTGTGCAATTAAAGAAGAAAAAAGTGGTGAAACGAAGTTGTTACATAACACTGATTCGCACCAAAAGATCCAAAAGATTGATGCAACTGAAATACTCCAAGCCTCTGTGGTTCGTAATCTTACAATCAAATATTCTTTCAGTTGCGGAAATATTTCTTTTCAGAAAAAATTACCTTTGCTGAATACTTATAAAAGAATAGTAAAAAATAATAAAATTATAAATATAATTCACAAAAAACCATTAACATTGGAAAATATGGATTTTCGCTTTTGCTAATGCCACAGTATATTCTCCAATAATATTTCAATTTAAGGAGGAGTCAATTTCCGCCCCTGATAAATTACAAAAAAAAGGAACGGCTTATCGTCTCATCTATGGCGCTAATTCATGGTGCATTTTTTTGAGGCTTCACCAAGCTCTCTGCGATCGCCTAGCTCGTTTGAAAAAAATCAATGCTGATTTGCTTGAAAATTATCAGGTATGCTTTATTTTATTTATTAGTTTTTTATTTCTTATTGGCTCATTTCATAGCTATTAAGGTAGAAGAGCGGATAAGATATGGTCAAAAAGAAGCTCTTCGCCAGTGTAGTGTTGGGAGAGTTGAACACAACTTGCAGTCAGACGAAGATTTCGGCTTGAATCTTCTTAAGAAATCTCGTCAATGTCCAGAAAATTTTTATCGAACTACAATTCTAGAAATAAAAAATCTTCTGGATGGACATATCGAAAATATGGCTTTCGAAGATTCCATAAGGTTCTTTCAATAAAATATTAAAATTAACCTTTAACGTTTTAGGCACTATTACTTCTTTTATTGAGTATCTGTTTTTTTATTGCTTCTTTTTTTGTAAATTTGTAAAATTTCGTTTCTTTATTTATAAAATTGATTATTATTTTGAACCGATTTTTTCCTTTTTGCTGTTCCATGCTACAGGTATTATTGACTTGTTATCATTTTTCTTTTAGATGTATGTTTGGAACCGAAGCTTATATCACCTTCACCATGGATAAAATCATTTCAACGATTGGTCGTCAACTGCAGTCCATGGCTTCCGATGAAGTACTTTTTTTTAATGGTTTAGCGCTTGATTTTTTGTTGAGATATTTCTTTGATTGATATTTAAAAACCTTTTTGCTTTTCCAGCATAAAAAGCACTTGAATTATAGCAGTTTTGACAGTATTCAAATAAATATTTCAGTTGCAGTCAAATATCTCAACTTTTGAGTTATATAATAGATATCGTCTCGAACATCCTCCAATTATGTACGTACAGTCAACAAACGTTAAAAACATTGAAGCCGTTTATGAGAAAGCTGCTCAACAGGTGAAATCCTAGTTTCGTTTTTAGTACTTTGAAGGGAATTCCTATTATGGTTTATTTCCATCTTTCCTTAATTCTCTTTATTATTTAAAATAAATTTCAAAAAATTGTCCAAGGTTTTAAAAGAATTAGAGCTTGCAATATGTAATTTTCTCAGGTATTTGCTAATCAGAATTGCTACAAAACTTATTTCCTACATAGTTCAAATTGTGTTTCGGTTGAGCTGATCGATTCGGACGTTATTGAAGAAAATGGTGAAAAAACTAAAGGTGAAGATCATAAATGGAATTCATATGTTCAAAATTATATTCAGGTGAATCTTTGGCTTATTCGAAAAAAAGTATAAAATCATATCATATGATCACTAAAAACAATTTTTCAATAAATATCAAATTTTGATTATTTTTAATGAATTTGTAATTTGCAATTAAGAAATGGCAGTAAATATTCGGTTGATACTTTCATGGTGCATTCTTGCATAACTGCACCAGTGTATGAATTTATTCATTATTTTATTTATCCGTTTTTTAATATTTTATATACTTCATTTTTTACGTTATTTCCAGACATGTCATGAAGACTTGACAAGCTTAGACACCAAGGAGCAGCAAAAGCTTTTTGAAAGAATGTCAGAAAGTCCCGTGTTTCTCATGCGATTGGTAAGGCAGGGTATGGAGCGATACAGGTTGGTACTTCCAATTGCCTCCAGTATTTTACCGGTTCAATTAAGTTTTAAGTTTCAAATTCTGAAAAATCATTTATAGGAAAAGGGAAGAAGATGTGAAAAGAAAAGGGAAATGTCGTTCACGATTTCAACCAAACGAAAAACATAGGACTTTCTTAAATATAACGGAGGATCTGCATGTTCGCTTCAGTCAAGAAAATAATTATCAGATGCGATTCGTTCATGGTTCTTTCGAATTTCTTCTCAGAGGTGGAGCTCCAAAGCGTGGCCATTCGGTATATATTTTTATTTATAATTCTAGCATATTTTAATAATTCGCCAAAATTGAAAAAAAAATAAATCTAATAAAACTTTATTTTTCCAGTGTTTCACATTTTTTGCAATATATTAACAAATTTCATATGCTTTAGAAACACAAAACCTTAGTGGCTCGAAGAAAAGAGAGGTTCACGACATGGTTGGAAGAAAAATTATGTGAGGATAACGTTGTCGCTCCTCGAAATTGGCTTTCAGATGGATCAAAAATAATTCCTGTTAAACATCCAGCTTATGCATACCTTACTTATAATCGTTATGTCACTACCAATGATGACATAGCGCCCTCGGCTTCCTTGCCGTAGATTCTCACTATGTTTTTCATCAATGTAAAAATGAAACTCGTCATGTATGAAAATATGAAAGTATTATATGGAAAAAGAATCAGCTCATTCATAATTCACCAAACATTTACGGAACGCATTCATTGCGTTTGTCGAAAAAGAAAATTAACACAATACCAAACTGAAACTAAAACTCGCCCATGGTTATAGGATAGATTGTTTTGATACTAGAACAGCAATAAATTTTTTAGTAAAATTTCATTAGACTAGAATCAAGTAGATATCAAGTAAAAAAATTGAAAAATTTTAAACCTTTCTACAAGAAAACCTTGCTATTAAAAGTTTTTTAAAGATGCAGCGCCATAATTAACGTTATCGCGATAGCAATTTGTCGCAGAAGGATTGAAGTGAAAGAAAGATTAAGGCACAAATCTATTTAAATTTGCTCTAATTCGATAAAATGGACAAATGAATGCAAAGAAAAACAGGAGTAAATTGATTCTTTGTTATTCTGTTTATTCATACATGTTTTTGGCTTGAGCCGACATTTTCGACGTAACATTGACAAAATGAGAAAAATATAAGGCAAGTTCACTAATATCACCTTCAATTCCTTCTTCAAATTCCAAGCATCTCCATGCTTCTGTCGAACATGATCCTGAGCAGCTGAAAAACACTAATTGAAACGAAAAGCAAATGTAAGAGAGAAAGACTGAAAAAATCCAAAGAATTAAGAACCAAAAATGAAGGTTGCAACTGTAATAGCAAGCGCCTAAGGCGAAAAAAATGAAATCGAAATCAGAACTTAAAAACAATTAGAATTAACAATTATGAATTTGAATCAGCAATTAATAATTCAATCTTCAGAAAAAAAAGAAACAGGATGAATATTTCTAAAGCGCATTATATTTTTGGTGTAATTTTTAAATGTATGTCGGCGTATTGTCAAGTATAGAACCACTATTGCATTTCAACCTATAGGATGGGTAGAATGGTCGAGGCTGGCTGTTTCAATCAACACTTCATGCGTCGCTTGTCGCTTAACGAATCCTATCATTAAAAATAAAAGAATAAAAGCTGCAATTGTAAGACGAAGGTCTATGGCGAAACTGTCTTGGCTTGGTAATCACTAGCAGCCAAATTATTTGGAGAAGAAACAAAAAAACCTTTTCGATATCGGTTTTTTAGTGGCATTAAAATCAATATTTTCCAAATCCAATTTTATTTTTTTCAATTTTCTGATATAATTTTTATCCAGCAGACTTTTCTTATTCATCCGATTTTTTGTTTTCCGCGAGTTGTACTTAGATTTTGTTTGCCATACTGCATATGGCCGAAATCGATATTTAGCGCGCCTAAATATTAAAATAATTAATACATTGTAAAAACTGAGCTTTTGAAAAAAATAAAAGATTTAAAAGTTATAAATTAAATATTTTAAATTATTTATGAAATATTATATAAACATTAAAGATTTTTTCAGATTAAATGGATAATGTGTAGGGATATTATATAACCGACAAAAATATTAGACGGCAAAAGCCGGATTCCCTTTAAATTTCATTCAGAAAAATTAAAATGAAAGAAAGCCTTTTATAAACCTCAAGTGGATCGACATTTTTATTTTCTCAAAGTTAAAAAATGAAAGGAAAAAGTGAAGAAAAAACTTAACCAGTTCGGCAATTTTCTATCTGAATTATCAACAACGAGACTATTTTCAAGTGAAGTTGACGGCTGTTCAGCGATAAGACTTGACGTCGAATCTGAGCATTTCTTAAGATTCTTAAATTTTGATTTTCGCATGCTCTTGTACGTGCATGCTATTTTCGAAAGTTCAGGTGCTTTACATATAAAAGTACAAAATTCGAATGGAATTGTGTAAAACGGGAAAGCACACGACGCACGAGGTATATTAATCGGGTGATAAGGCCAAACCAAAACTGCTTCATTTACAACAAAAATATCCTTTTCAACTGACTTTTCTGGCTTTATGCTCAAACGGTCCAAAGCACACGTTGCCTCGTCGATTTCCGCTGAATCTGATTTAATTGATTCTTTCTCGCGACTGTTCTCCATTAAATTTTTGTCTGCAAATTTCCGTGACCGTTAATTATCGTTAACAATAATTTAACATAAAAAGAAGGGAATAAAATAGTGCAAAGAATATTTTGGACATCAACAATAACATTTCTCTCCTTTAACAATGTGTTGCGCACCGTAAGCAATGATATAATGACGACAGCAACAATAAAGCTGATAATGATAACAACAATGGGAAAAACAGCAATTAGTATTACTTTCCACGACAAAAAAGAAAACTGCAAAAATTCCATTGGATTCCAGTTTCGAAATATATTAATGATCAAAGTATTATGTTATTATAGCACCACACATAACTTTTAACAGGTCTGGTCCGAGCTAGAAGTGAACTGACTGGAAGTCCCCAAGAAGGCACCAAAATCCCCCTTGGAATACACCACTCTGCAAGCTGAGCACTCGCACGAAACGGTCCAACTGCCCGACCGCACTCCCCAATATTATTTATTGCATAGAACAAATTGAACTCTACCTTTTAGTTACATTACTCTTAATTAATCATTTCCTAACTCAGGAAAATCGAAGACTGTAATCAAAACAAGGAAAGTTTTCAGCGGCTGCGCTGAATGTTAGTGGCGACGAGATGTCGGGCTTTTACAAACTTCAATTGGATCGATATTTTTGTTTTTTTCATAATTTTGCAGTTTAATTAATTTCGTGGTTTTCATTTTATAAATCGTTGATTTTTTGAAGTGAATTGTGTTGAACCGCCAAACTTCTCATTTCCACGTCAGTTTGTCGTCCATGCCAAAAATTTTCGCCTCCAGAAAACAGGCTTGGCTAATTGGACTGGCAGACGAGTTGGTTTGGTGCAGAGAGTCAGCTCGGCCTCGACCTTGTTCCGAATAAGCCACACGAAAGTACTTGCAGAATTTGCAAGCAGTGAAAGACAGTGCGGTCGGGTTTCACGAAATAGTGATAAAAAACGCTGAGGGGGTTCAAGTCGACCGTCGTTCATTCGTTATTTCTTTACTGCGGCGAAGAAGTCGATTGAGGCTCTCTATTTTGCTTATGTTTTTGGTGAGAAATATTAAAATATTAAAATTTTTCCTTTACGCGAAAACATTTTTCTCAAAAATTTGAGTTCAACGAAGAAAATTAGAAATTTGCAAATTATTTTTTGTTACTAGCGTCAATAAATTTACATCATCAAATTTATTTGATAAAAAACTTTTTAACTTAATATTCTTATATTTACAAGCAAATAGTGGTTTGGCCATACGCACACCAACGGCACCAAAATGATGATTTGGTTGTGCATGCACCAACAGCACCAAAATTATTTCAGTGTGTGCTAAAGGATGGTAAGAATCCGAAGTTGCATGGTGTCGTGATGACCCAGTAATTTATTATTTCGATTGCGATTATTGGTTCGATTCTTATTCTTCGATGGGATTATCTTCCATTAACCAGTCATTGAAAGTGAAATTCGACTGGAGATTTTTCTTATATCTGCAAGTGGCCCTTTGTTTTCATTATAGCAATCAGTGAAGTGAATGGGTGAGATTAGCAGTGGCTGTGCGAAGAAGTCAACCAAACGGTCTCATATAGCAACCCCCCTACTCTGCTTCATGTATAGTTAAATTGGTTCTAAAGCTAATCGTGTCTGTTGAATTATACCTTAAAACAAGTATATATTTCACCCTGTTTACTCGCTTGGTGTCAAGTAGATGTCGCTCTTCGCTTATGGCATCTTCGAAAGAATTGATTTCTTTCTCGTGCATCAGTAATATTATAATTACTGTGGTTCATGTAAAAAAAAAACTGCCGTAGATATTTAGTTCAGACTTGTCCGCTGATTCATATGGGAGAAGAATGATAATAGGGGTGATAATAGGAAGAGACTCGTTATTTTCATTACTGGGCAAAGATAGTCCCATTTGGGAGAATTATTTCGCGTGAAAAATACCATTAATATTTAGGAGATTGGCATTACTCGACAATGATTATACTAGAACATTTCAGAAAAGTATCATTGTCTGAAAAAAGATCTTTTACGACTAATCAACTGTTGCTTTTAAATCAGTTGTATTATCAATAATGCAGTAAATTTTGTTTATAAATTTTGCATTGCATCTGATAAATATTTGTCTGATAATATTTGTTTATCCGATAATTTTGTTTCTTATTGAAAAATAGAAATTAGATTTTTGAAATTTTTGAACTTTCAATAAAAATTTTTTGATAAAAATAATTGATTAGTTATATCAGTTATTTATTTTTTGTTTAATCATTTATTTTAATATAATGGCAGCAATAATTTCTGGTAAGGTTGACCACCGCCAGCTGTTAGAAATTTTTGTTAGAGAGGCAACAGAATTAGAGCTGGATCGTAAGCACTATCCGAGAGTTGTCGTTAATTATTTCGAAATAAGTAATTTTTTTCGATATTTCGATATTTTCGATATATTAGTTTGGATGTGAAATTTTAAAAAAGTGAATTTTTGGATTTTTGATCTCCCAGAAAATAAAAGAACTAGATGGAATATTCACCAGAAAATCGTAGAGAACAGCGAGGCAAAGATCCTGCTCATCGAGGCTGACAAGGAATTGTTGAACAAAGAATCAGATATCATTGTAATAAACAAAAACCATCATCAGTGATAGGCATAGCAATAGGAATGCAAGAACATCAGGAAATTAGGAAGAAGAGAGAAGTTAGACAAATACCAAGGATCAAAGGAGAAACTAGGGATGTGGAAAGTGAAGGCCGAAGTGGTCCCAGTGGTGGTAGAAGCATTGGGGCATGTGGTCCTTAAATTGGGAAAGCGGTTCCAGATGCAGATTTCTATCCAGAAGAGCGCATTATTAGGAACATATATAAGAACTTCCAAGTTCTCAGGCCTCTTTAGAAGATCCATGACTGAGGATAATCTATATAATCTGTTGAGATTGAAAAGGATTATATATAATGTTTTTTTGATGGCAAAGAAATTTGTTTAAAAATATAAAATTTTCATCAAAATGAAATGGTAATAACAGTTTCGATGTTCGGAAAAAAACCTGTTTGCTGGTCGATGTTAGTCGAATAATTTATGAATGTTTCCTTTTTTTTTCTTCAACCAAACCCAACAAAGGTCTGAAGACGTATTTTAGTCGATTGCTTATTTAGTAACTTGTGAATAAGTTTTTTGGTCAATGTGAATTCAAAGGTCGATAATTTGGTGAACTTAAAGGCCTGCGAGTTGGTAGCTATAGAAGAATTTATGAATTTTTACGTGAATAGATGGATGGAATTTAGGTAGACGAATTGGTATATGTATTGCTTTATACTACATTTCGATCTTAGCCAATAGGCGGAGAAGTGGATGATGCTGGCGACTCACCTGTATTTCTATCGCCAAGGGAAGGGATACTCTCTGGCATATTTGTCCAGTGCTACAAGCCAGCGGAGCGAGTTCAACCAATAATGGTGAAAACTCCTGAAAAAAAAATGTATTGCTTTATAGATTTTAGTCGACGTTGGTTGTAATAGAGAAATATTATTTGTTTATCCGAATTGACAATACATGATCGCTTTCAAATTATTCTAGTTTGAAATTTTTAAAAATTTGTCAAAATGATGAATATTTGATTTATTCCTTTATTTTTCTTTTTACTGTTTTATTTGCATGATTTTTAGTAATTTAATTATTCGATGTTTTTGCAGCGTTTTTTTAAGTTTTTTGGCTCTAATGTGGAGATATTTGAAAAATTTTTTCAGAGACAATGGAAATGTCAACGAAAAATGCCGAAAAGGAACAATTAATAGAACATACAATAACAGATTTGTTAACATGCGACGTGCGATCAACCGATGGCAAATTTCACCGAGTTATTTATAGTGAAGCAAAGAAAAAAATTGAATTTATTTTGCTTAGGTTAGCGATATTTAAACATTCATATTTAAATTATAACTGGTGACAGTTGGAAAGGATTTGAGATTCAATCTTGTTTTTGCACACTAGAAATATTTCCATTATTACCATTAAGTTCCATCGGCAAAGAACAGGTAGAGAGACGACGGTTTGCTATAGGCAGTTGTTATAGGCAGTTCATTGGTCGAGCATGTTTAAGGACTACTGAGGTAAATTATAATTATAATTGTAATTATAATTGGCCACTAATGCATTGTTCGAGTTGGAAATGGCTTATTACTATCTGAATTTATCATTTCTGAAATTTTCCGAAAATATTTTGCGTAAATTATTTAGGTTATATCAAATTATCCTTTGCGTGTTATTATTATAGTGGGACAACATCTCAGTCAGCGAAAATGGACAAGGATATAAATGAACTGCTTTGCGTTCGTGGTACCCCGATCAAATTAAGATGTGGTCTTCCAGTAGATTTAAATAAAGTATTATTTTATTATAACTTCTTATGAAACTGCATCAACTTTATGGCCTTGTTTATATTACTGCAGAATGCAAAGCATGCTGAAACACCGAATTCGTTATTTTTATATTTTGCTGAGAATAGCAAACATTGTATTTGGCGTATAAGAGAAGTAATACTTGTATTTACAACTTCAAGTGAAAAAAAACATTGGTTGGATATCTTGGAAATGGCTGTCTCTCGTAACTTTTTTTTTTCGTTTTTAGTTAATTTCATTGGCATATTAGCAGCTTCATGCTACAAAGTCGCTGAATTAGTCATTATATTTTTGGGAATATATTTTGAAATTTACTCAGGAGTTGTGTTATACGAATTTTTTTTGTTTTTCCGATGTTCCACTGTAAAAAATAAATAGTTAATTTAAATGAATGAACGCTGACGATTGGTCTAATAAGATTTGTTTGTTTTTTTTTTTATTCATAATATATTTATCGAAATATATTATGAATAAATTGTCGAAATATATGAAAAGTTATAACCAATAACAATTAAAAATTGGAGAGAATATTATTAAAAATTATTCATTTACCTAATAATATTTTTATTTATGCATTTCTGCACCAATATTCATTTTTACCAATAGAGAATTGATTCAGTACCATCAAATTTGTGTGAAAATTCTTTAAAATATTTTATTTAAAGATTTAGAGATTTATTTGGAGATTTTAAAGTATTTAGAAATATTTAGATATAAAATATTTTATATTCAGAACTAACTCGACGACCAAAGCGTTTGTTGGTTTTCGTAAATCCTTATGGAGGAAAAGGAAAGGCGAAACGAATTTATTCCAATTACGTATGCTTTTTTTTTGCAAAATTTGTGCATAAATTTTGGCTGTTCGAATAAAATTGAAGGAAGAACCGGAATATATTATGAAAAAATTTGTTTTTTCAAATAAAAGAAAAAATTTGATGATGTATTGCTCGCTAAAAATTCGCTAAAAAATTTATTTATTCTAGGTTGAATTAATATTAGAAATGGCTGGCATAACATGTGAAGTTTTTCTTACTCAAAGAGCCAATCATGCTTACGATCACCTACGACAGTTAGACAAATCTGTCTGGGATAACATCGATGGTGTTGTTTCTGTTGGTGGTGATGGTTTGTTCAATGAATGTTTGTCTGCTATTGTATGCAGGTATATGTTCATAGATTTGAAACTCTGCTGGATAATTTTTGGTGCTTGTATTTCCGTTTAATTAAATTTTTAGAAACAGGTAATTGTAAATTTTGATGATTTTATTTCGAATTCTTCCATCAAATCTTGTTTTTGATTCGCACGCATTAGCGAAAATATTTAAAATACTTGCTTCGTAAAAAAACTATTGGAAATCATAATCATAATAATACATAATAAACCTAATAAATTCATATCAGTCAGTTTTCCTTTATGCACTATGAAAATCAATTAGTCTTAGTAGCCTCACTTTATAATTACTCGTCTATTCATTTTTAGAACTCAAGAAGATGCTAGTAAAGATATTTGTAATGTAAATATTGATTGTTTACAAACCCCACGAATGAGATTTGGTATAATTGGTGCTGGATCTGCTAATTCAATCGTATCATCTGTACATGGTACCAATGACTATTCGACAGCAGCTATTCATATTGCAATTGGTTTAGTGATATTTTGCTGAAATATTAACATAAATATCGCTTAAGCAGTTATATTTATATTTCGCTAAATCATTTCCAAGAATCCTTAGTATATAAATTTTGGTCAATTTTTGTTTTTAATCGAAAGCCATTGTTGTATATTTGGAAATTATTTTCTATAATCAGTGTTATTTGATAATTAACCTCTTTTAACCTCTTTTGAATTAAATGATATTGTATAAAACAGGAAGTCAGTGTTTCGTTGACGTGTGCACAGTTCATCGCGGTGATGATCTAATGAGAATTTCGGCAAACGCGATATCTTATGGATGGTTAGGTGATGTTTTGGCAGATTCGGAGCGCTACAGGTGGATGGGACCGCTGAGATATCAATTTTCTGGTTTGCCTTTTGCTTAATTTTTTTCATTTTTTGAGAATTTCCACAATTTTAGAGGTTTTTTTCGTTTTTTATTTATTAGAATTTTTTGGAATTCTTTACCTTTCAGCGTTACGTACAACACTCCGCCACCCAACTTATTTTGGCCGTATTTCGTTTAAACTTATTCCAGAGCTGGAAGATAAGTCCAAAGCTCCTGTTCTTCCAAGATGTAAAAAACCATGCTCGCTATGCGATTGGTGTGAATTTATTATGATTAATTTAACTTAATTTAATAATTTTTTTACGAAATTTATTTTTATTTTATCAGTTCATGTCGTTGTATACTCTTTTGTTATACAGATTTTTCTACGATTAAAATGTTCATCTAAAATATGATCTAAGTGTAATTAATTAACTGTGGGCAATGTGGTTTAATGGCGCATTCTTTTCAAGCATCATCATCATGATTCAACGAAACCCCACAGCGCAAAGAATAAAATTGTTAGTAAAAAATGTCTTATGCTGGGGTCTCACCTATATTTTTGTCCTGACTCTGGCGAAAATGTATCTGATTTGATCAGAAATGGTGGGTCTTAACCACTAAATAACAGTAACTATTGACGCTGGCAATTGATTTCCGGCTTACTCTGGTTTATTCCCGGTTAATTCTCGGGCTGGAAAATTTATTTCAAAATTTTTCCGAAAATAGCAATTTACATAAAAAAAATGACACATAGAATTTGAAAGATTTTTCATGTTACATGAGAACTAATAAGTATTTATATTTCAGTGGTTCCACACAAGATGGTGTTTATCCTCATCATGTACAAACAGATTTTGCACACGTTATCTGTTGTGTCATTCCATGTGTGAGTCCATTTACCCCCTATGGTTTAGCTCCCTTTACTGGAATTGGTGATGGTACAATGGATCTTGCTATATTGTCGAACGTCACACGTTGTGCAAATTTGCGATTCATGCGGAAAGTAGCAATGCATGGTGGTAAAAGTGTCTTGAAAATGTCGAATATGCTTAATGTATTTCGAGTGTCGCAGTGGATGTTCACTCCAGCAGCTCTTCTAACTACGAACATTAATGGTAAGGAATCCGACAATGCTAATCAAGGATCGTGGAATCTTGATGGAGGTAACTATTGTTGCTGTTGTAATTTTTCAATTTTTTATTATATTTTTTTGATCATTTTCGTTTATTTATTTTTTAATTTTCTATTAATAGCGCTGTTTTTAAAAATAATTTATAACTGTTTTTTAGAAATCTTACCTCAGCCTCGCGATACTGCCCTACAATTCAGGTTTTCACTGGATTAGCTAATTCTTTTCACTTTCAAATTAAAAAAATGATTAATATTTTTTTATTTCCTTTTTTTTGAAAAAAAGTTGATAAAAAAGTTGATTTAAAAGTTCATTGATAGAAAGTTTTTTGCTTCGAATTTTGCATATAAATTATTCCAGATTGCATACGAGATTAATCAAATATTTCGGTCAAGAATTCGATTTAAATCAACCAGTCAAAAAAAGAAAATGCCGTTGTTGTCGACGCAAGCGCATGTCAAACATTATTTTATTAGACTGATTGGATTAAATTTGCACATTTTTATATTTTTTTGCAGTTTTTTTACTTCGATCAGCCGTTCTTTCGAGATTATCAAGGCATCCTTTGATTCTGTCTTTTCACGAGAATTTTTCTTTTTTTTTGTTGCTTTTTATTAATATTATTCTTATGCTATTTTATTTTTATCATTACTAATGCTTTGTGTTCAATGATAGTTAAGTAACGGAGTAAGCAATAGTAAGTTAGTAGCAAGTGGGTTAGTGTTTTCTGGTTAGGCTAACTCCACTGGTTTTTAGTACGACTGAAAACATTTAGGAGTGAATCGCTTGGGAATGGAAATATTTTTTCATGAATCCTAACGTTCGATGCGTCTACTAGATCATCCCAATAACGAACATTTTTTAAATTGATTGATTGGGAATTAATTGTTTTAAAATTTGTTGAAATTTATTATTTAGATTTGAGGATTTATTTTATTTTTTTAAATTTTCGCAATTCTGATAGAACAACTCGGACTTCTATTATCTATTATTTTTTATTTTCTTTATAGCACTTCATTTCGCTTACCATTTAAATTGTTTTTTACTGTCTTCACGATTATTTATATGTACCTCGGCAATGAATTTTTTGATTTTTCTCTTTTTTCATATGAGATATCATAGTTCGGAAAATTTTGAAAATTATTTTTAAGATTATCAATTTTCAGTTAAAATGAAAAATAATAAAGTGACATAAAGTAACTTTAAAAAAAATTTAAAGAATTTATTCCATGAATTATTTGATGGAATATTCGCTGAAATTTTTTGGAAGTTAGCTAATCGGAAATTTAAAAGCTATTTTGCATGAAGTATAAAAAATCTATGCTTCATTATCGTTTTATTGAAATGTGTAGTGTTAAGCAAAAGATTTATTTCATCAGTTTATTTTCGATGGGATTTCACCCTTCAGTTGCGTTTATGAAATTTAATGGAATAAGAAAAACCAGTTCGATCACAGTTGTGCTTACCGTCCGAAAGCTGTCATTGGGCTGCTTTACGAGGAAAATTTTGAAAAGGGAAATCTCGAGACGAAAGCTTCATGGCTGACCTGTAGTAAAACTTGTCACCTGCGTCCAGTTTGTTTTCTCCCAAAGTCATTTGTTGTTGTTATTTTCTGGACTTTGGAATTGTGGGCTCGTTTTAAAGTTGTAAGGGTCTGGAAAGGTTAATTTCAGTTTCACGGGGATCAAAAATTTTTAAAGAAATTAGTCTATATTGGAGTTTGCGGACGAATATATTGCTAAAAAATTCAAGCGTCCTTTGTCTTTATGCCCCAATGTCTCCCAGATTATGTTGTTTTCCTCGGCCCCGCAAGACTTTTAAATTATTCTAAACGGGGACATTGTGGAATCTCAGGATAGCAGACCTCTACGAGTTCAACAGAAAATAATGAAATAATTTATGTAAGGAAATGTGTGAAAGTATGCTGGCACTTGCTTTTTTAGCAGAAGGTACCAGACGAGTGCCCGGAGTACAGAGCAAATTTCCTTTTGAATGATTTTTTTATTGATTTAAGTCTTTAAAATATATGTAACCGCAGTTGCTACACTTCAGCAAGTGGATGCGTGGAGTAAAATCTATCGTAGGTTGGATTTTTATCATTGAGTAAACCTCTCATTAAAGTTATGCTGTGGATGTTGTCGCATACCTACCTCTATTTCTGTTTTCAAACGACTTTATGACGAAAAGTCTAGTAGAGCTAATTAAGCCAGAAATGGCGAGTGTTGTTATAGCAAAGATAAAAATGAAGGAAGAATTAGAAGAATTATGAGAATTATCGCATTTCTTAATGAATTAAAAATCATCCATACGTCAGAAAATAATTCATATAAACGATATGGTAGAATTAGAAAATACTGGCACTTGACGCGTCTTTTTATTAGTGCGTTGTAGTAGTCAATTAAAAAATCTCGACACGCATTACCAGCTTCATTTTTTTAAGGTTTTTATTACATGTATATCGGAATGTCAGCAGACTGTAAAAGTGAGGAAATAAAGAGTGGTGTTAATGAAATTAGTTCAAGAGAATGCTCGGATGTAGAACAAAAAATAATTACACAAATTGAGGTAGAATTTATTTTTTACTCTTATTTTCGTCAGATAAATTGTTGATTAATTATAAATTAAGTGAAACCCTAAAAATTTGAAAAGCAGCAATCTAATGAAGTTTATGTTGGATAAATAGGTAAGCATTTTCTTAATTTTTTTATATTGGTTTCTTCAAGAGGATTCTTCACTACTCTTTTTTTATAAATTATTTTTTAGTACTATTTTGGTGACATAAATCTGCCTCGGGACAAATTTTTACAATTGGAACTAAAAAAAGATGATGGATGTAAGTTTTTGCAATTATTATGGGAAATGGGAAATTATTATTTTATGTTGTATGTTGTTTTATGAAGTTATTTGTTTCATAAATTTTGATTAAAGAGCTTATTTTCAGGGATTCCACTTTCAACAATGCTCCAATTCAAGCGATTGTCATTGTTAACTGATGATGTGAAATTAATTGCATCCTCACTTAGACGGTCTAAATTAATGGAAGTATCGGATGATGGATCTAAAATTAGGCGAAATCCTGGTATCGAAGTACCTGAAATCTCTCTAGAATATTGGCAGTCAGTCAAGATCCGAACAGCTTACGTAGTTGGTTTTCCATTTTTTACGGCTTTTGTAGATAATAAATAGTTTGCCCCCTTTTTTTTTTTAAAATTTTTAATTTGTTGTCTTTGTTTCGACGTTATTTTTCGGTTTAATATCATTTATTTCCCTGAAATAATTTTTATTTTAGAAAGGATTCAGCGAAAGCACAACACTTGATGAATTATTGCGCTTTTTTAATCAGTTTGGAGAGGTAGCCAATGTGGTAATGAGACGTGAGAAAAATGAAACCCACACCTTCAAAGGATCAGTTTTCTGTACATTTGGAGATGTTGAAACTGCCAAAGCATTTATCAGTAATGATGTAAAGGAATATAACGGCAGTCCACTCTTAAAAATGATGCAGTTAAAATTTAATTTCTCAAATTTATTTCCAATCCTGTGCGAAAAATATTTTTGATTCAAATGCAAGCCATTTTCATTCGTTTGCTTCATACACCTTAAATTTCATACACCTTAAACATCATTTAAGGAATGATTTCTGGGCAATGAAACAGCGCGAGCAAAAAGAAAAACGTGAAGCTGATCGAAAAGCCAAATTAGCAAAAAAGGTTATTATTTTTCAAGCCATTTATTAAGATTTCGTCAAATTTTTTTAAAATATTTTTGAAACGAATTTCTGATCTTTTTTTAGCTAAAGGATGCCGAGGAACAGAAACGAGAAGCCAGTATAGCTCATTTTGTAAAAGGACTTGTTCTTTCACTCAGTAATTTGCCCAAAGATACAAATATTCAAAAACTAAAAGAATTTTTAAAAAATTTTGGTGATGTTGGATATGTGGTTTATAGTCAAGGTGACGACCAGGTCTGCTTTCTTTTTTGAATTCATGAAATTTTGTTTGTTTGGAAAACCTGGGTGCATTTTTGATGTGCCAAAGGCTTTATTTCCCATAATTACCTTTTATTTGTAAATCGAAATATTTTAAGGCTCAGATTCGTTTTTCGGGTAATGAATTCGCAGCAAAAAAGGCTTGGGAAGCTGCTATTGCTGCTAGTGCAGACGGTAAAGTTATGATGAATGATAATGAAATTCATGCAACTGTACTAGATGGTGTCGAAGAAGAGAAATATTGGGACGATTTCAATCAAAAGAAGGCAGAAAAATTTATTAGAAGTCAGAAACGAGGTCGTGGTAAACCGCAAAATGGTAGATCTTCGCGAAAGGTACCGAATCCTTATCAGAAAATTTTCGGAATTTCATTTAAAAAATTTCCAATGAAGATAATATAATTTATTTCCCTATGTTCCATCTTTTAAAATTACTCTTTATTAATTACTAATTAGTTCATATCTTTATGAAATACAAAATACTGTTGGAAAAAAAAGTTCAAAAGCGTTGTCAGTACTAGAAATGATTCTGTGATTCTGTTAATCTCATTTTCATTTTTACAGAGAGCAGCCAATAACGTTGAAGGAGAACCTGCAAATAAGCAAAAAAGGATTGTTTTTAAAGATGATGATGTAGATAAAGATTAATTCTTGCACGACACAAAAAAGAATAAATTGATTTTCTGATAAAGTTTTTTTATCTCATTTCTAACTAATCTCTATCGTAATCCTTTTTTTCATATACTGTTTTGCAGTTTAGTTGTTTTCCATGATTGCTATTTCCATTACATACTTTATCATAAAATTTATTACTAGTTAAACTTTTAGGTGCAAAGCAGTGACAGTTTTTGCAATTCTTTTGTGCCTGTTAGAAAATCTCACCTATCATTATTTTAAGATGTTTATATATTGTTGATTTTTTTACTTCTGACGGTGTTTACTGTGTAAAACATGGATGATCTCTAATCTTTAACAAAAAAAATAAAAAAAATGAAAATATCAAAATAAATCCTGCATCGTTTTTATATATTGTAAGAAAAAACCAAACGAAACAAAGAAACAATATAAAGAAATTGTAAAAAATGTAAAGATTCGTAAATATTAATGACCTTGGTGAAAATCATTAAGGTGAAAATCTAGCAAAATCTAGCGAATTTCGTTTCACTAAAATTGGTTTCAATAATACCGAAGAGAAGAATGAAATATCTCAAAACCGATATGATCTTATTGTTACCTTTCGAAACTATTTCGAGTGAGTATGGATATAAATATTGACTTTTTGATTTTAGATTTGAAAATTCGCAGCAGACTGTAAACTGGGGTCAACTATTGTAAATAGATTTTGAAAATATAATAAAACGAGACAAATTTTGAAAAAAATAAAGATGGATAAACTAAAAAAATTAAAGCTCTTTTTTTAATGCAGAGATGCGCTCGGGTATTGGTGGATGAGAATGATTGAACAATGAATACAATGGGTCATCAATGGGTAAGTTTAAATTATCTTTACCAAGTTTTATAAGCGCAGAGCAGAGTTCATTTACATAACCCATTTTGGCCGAGTGCTGATCAGCAGCAAATTCGAATCGTCGCGATATTATCTTCAATGATATAAGAAATAATTATAAAAGCACGAATGGTTTTTATATATATTTTTGTTCTAGTTTTTACTTTTCTTTATATAAACTAAATGAACCTACAGTAATTATAAATGTGAAAAGTTCATTGTATGGAGCCATTATATACTGGAAAATAATTATTAGACCAATTAAAGTTGGTTTATCGATGAAACCAAACGCAAGGTATAATGATGATTCTTGATAGCAGAACGAAAAAACAAAAAAAACAAGCAACAAATTAATCTGGAAAATAGATTATAAAAATTTGACAATGGAATCTAAATTTCTTATATTTCAGTATATTTCAGTGACGATTCTTATATTTCATTTCTTGTCATGAAAAAAGAAACTGGATTTTTATTCAGTATTCTATAAATTTCAAAAAATAAAACGATTCAAAAATTTTACTTCAGCTATTAATAGATGAATAAAAGTATGAGATAAAGCCCAATGCCCAATTTCATGGCCTAGTACAGCTAAGATCTCAGAATCTTTCATTCCTGCTTTGCGCTCCAAATCGCCGACTGTTTCCTTTAAAAAATCGATTATGCATGTAAAATTAAACCAGCAATTTTTTTAGCTTCAAGGCAAGGATAGAAGAGATCACAAAGAAATTGAAACAAAATTGATAAAAAGAAAAAATAAAAACCAAGGAATAAAATTGATCAAAATTGATATTTTACATGTATGTCTCCATATGCACCGATTTACCAATCTGTCAATCAAAAAGAAAACCGAAATGAAATACATAATAATTTTTACAAAATATACAAAAAAACTTTAATTACTCACACCACAAGCTTCTTTTACTTTTGCATACATTTCTTTACTAAGCAAAGTGTCGAAAAGAACGATGCGTTTGTGTTTCCAGAATCCATATAAATAAGCATTACTATGAGCCGAACGTTTGGATCCTAAATTGATGGAAATGAGTAAGATTAAGAAGGTAATAGCCAACATTTTCAGCTTTAACTTATAATGAAAAAAAATACCTTACCTTCAACTACAAAAAGTTTTTTCAGTGGGAACTGAACAGATGAAGCCATTGCTTCGATTCTCTCTTTCAATTCACTTTCAGGCATAGGGATATATTTGTCAAATAATGGTGCAATAAATTCAGGATAAACAGTCATTAGCAGCTAAAAAATTTTTTAAGCCTATGAATTATTTATAACCTTATTTATCAATAAATAGATAAGCAATAAATAATGATAAAAGTCTTATGAAAATAATTATTTAATAGCCAGATAGCCAAACTAACAAATGTCATGATCGAAATAAAGATCCATGCGTATACAAAAAAATATGGACCACCGTTCTGAATTATATAAATTATACTACAAATAATAGGCGCCATTATCAACAATGATACAATCGTTTTCTTTATACGATCTTTTATAAAAAAACTGAACGTCTGCAAATAAACTGAAATTATCTGGAAAAAAAATTTTTTGCTAATATTAATATTAAAACACATATTATTAAAAATATTAAAGACTACTTTTCAAGTAATTTATTATTCGTGATGGAAAAAGGAATGACTTTTATTACCGTCGACAATGGCACTGGATCGATTAGCTTGGAGACGATTTACCCTTGTGGCCAGCGGAATTAGCCTAACTAGTAATGATGAGAGCTGTTAAAGAAAGAAGAAAATTTTAATACGAATAAAAGTACCTGATTATTGAAACCATGTTTTTCCTCAACGATAAACGTCTCAAATGCTTGCCATGGAAGCGATAAAATACTCTCAATAATTCCTACCATCACCATGAAAGTAAGCGACTGCAGAATCTGAATCAAAATTAGATGATTGATATCTAGAAATTCTTTATAAAAAATGGTATGAAATCTTTGCAAAACTATCTGAAAATATGTTGAAAAATATTCTCAAATAGAAAATTTAATTTAAAAATAAAATTTCAAAAGAAATTTTAAAGAAACAGGATATAATGTAATAAATTCGCTGAAATGAACCTCGCCTGATATACCGATCTTTTCGTTTATAAAACCACTGAATTTCCAAAACATGAGGATTAAATGGAAAAAAAGTATAGCCTGGAATAAATTTCGATTTAAAACTAGCTCAAAATAAATAAAAATAAAAATAAAAATAGCTTAGAAAGCAATGATTAGCTGGACTAGGTCCATTTCGCAACACGCATTAAATTAAAAAATTGATTAAAAAATTTAAAAATATTTTTTTAAAAAATGGGACATGCCGTTATTTCAAACTGCGAATATATGGCATATGCTAATGTATATCGGTGCTTATCAATTTTATATAAACGTGCTTTGTGAAAATCCTCTTCAGATATGATTTCTTCCAGATATTTGGGACGAGTTTTTGTTTTCTTATGCAAATCATACTGCAAATGAGAAAAACCATGAAATTACGAAATGATTTTCCTTGATATTAAAATAACGGAAAAATATTATTTCACTTATTCAGTTATTAAAGATTTTCAACTAACTATTATACTATATAAACACTTAATTTAATGTATAATTTTGAATTTATAAAATTAGGAATAATATAATTCCATAATTCCATTTTGTACAAAGAATTTTGGATTACATAAATTTCATAAAGAAAATGTATATGAAAAATAAATGACAAAAAAAAATCGGAAAAGAATCAGAATAAAGTGCTGAGATACAATTTCTTCTAAAATTATCAGAATTATTTGGCGAAGTTTAAGATGATAGCTAAATATGACCCAAATTTTTCGTCGTATTCTTAATGCAAACTTTGATTTGATGGCAAGGGATTAAAAAAAACGCATCCATCGAAAGTTTGAGGAAAATCTATCTCATAAATTAAAGCTATTCCCTTTGTGCCTTATTTTAAATTCAAGCAAAACCAGTCAAATAATTTTGTACATAATCCCATAATTCCATCTTGCATAAAGAATTTTAGAGCATTACATATATTTCATTAGGAAGATCTAATTTCAGTGTGTTTGAAAATACTCATTTATGCAAGATGGAATTTCATTTACGACGGTGAAAAATGACAGTGATTTCAAAATTTAGCCATAGGATTCGAACTTTTAATCTTCTGATGCTTTATTCGAGACACTGTGCAGGACCGGGAGTAAAAAATTTTTCGATAAGCCAATCCAATTTTCTGGAAAGTTCTCATATATGCGCTTCCCATTAAGAAGAGATGAAACCTCAGGGCTTCAAAGTTGCCGTTCTAGTTGTACTGGATTATTATTGAACCCAGATATCAATCAAAGATTTAATAAATTTTAAAATCAGTTTTTAGAAGAAAAAAATAACCTGTCGAAATGCGAGATATAAGTCCCATAAAAAAATCGACCAAATAATCAGTAAAATCACCCAAAACATTGCAGAACTTTAAAAAACGAAATTACCTAAAAAAATATCCTCTATATTCTCGCTGCTTTCGCCTATATTTTAGGATACTTTCCAAAATTTTTATAAAATTTATCAAACTTCAATCAATTTATTTCAGCAACAATAGAATTTCTATTATAATTAGATGGTGGATTCGAGGTTTTAGGGATTTCTTTAATCAAATGCATTACATTGTTAAGCTATCATTAAAATTGAAATTGAAATAGAATCTACAAATAGCACTGTAGATGGTACTGCACTTCTATCTTCAAGCCTGGCCAAAGAGTCTCACTGCCAACCCAGCCAAACTAGAAATCACCAGTCAGATATCAAAAATCCCATACTAAAGAAAATTTCTTCACACAATCACCCAAATTGTTAGAAACTACAAATATGACTTCAATTCCTTCGACAAAAACCAATAAACTTTCGAAAAAAAATAAACTCAATAAGAATAAACCAAGAAACTAAGTGCAACCACTGCAACCACCCATTATTCTACCAATATCCTTTTTTTGCACATCTATCTTTAAATTCAGACTTGTATTTTAAACCTAAAAGCAGATAAAATAAATCAATTGAAAGTATTTAATATGCTAACGTACAAATTCCACAACCAACATAAAATACAAGCAAAAAAAATTTATATTTATATTTCGATTATCATTTATCAAATGCATTAAATTAATAAATAAGACATTAAAAAATCTATACAAATACAATCTATACAATTAATTATAAAAACAATCCAACTGAATATTGTCTGAAATAAAATCAAATTATTGTTATTAACTGAATCAATTCAATGATAAATTAATGAAAATCTATTTCATAAAACATTAATAAAAGAAAAGACGAATTAAAAATAAATATTGATACACAAAATGATAAAATTAGTAAAAAATGAAAGAGCCGTTTGTGATCATGAATAGAAAGAAAACAAAGAAGATTTAGAAAAAAAAATTCAGCTAATTACTTTAAAAAAACGAGGAAATAATTCGCTTATTTAGAAACTAATCCTTGACCGCTAAAACAAAACATAAATTATAGATTTCAACCATCAGCTTTTGGAGGCGTAAACCAACCAGATTTTGCATGGATTTGTACCAGAGAATTAAATGAAGTTTGAGCCTTTTGAAGACTGTACTGTCCTTTGATATCGAATTGAATTCGGGCCTGCAACAGATATCATTTATTATTAAAATATTTGAAAATGCTGTAAAATATCCCATCAAATATCAAATATAAAATAAAATGATAGGAAAAGAAAAAATGATCGAAAAATTTTAGAATTTTGGAAGTTTATTAATAATTCGGGAAACCAACAAAATTACACCAAATATTTATTGACCAATTTACTCAGCCACATTATTTAAGCAGAATATCTTTTCAGTTTTTAACTCAATTTTGAATGTTTCTGTTATTTTTTCATTCATTGCATATGCCTTGAAAATGACAAAAAAACATGGACGATAAAAATATTTTAAGCATATGAATATATATATATATATATCTGCATATTTGGTTCATCGTGTGTCACTACAAAATCGACCAATAATTCTAAAATAAAAAGCGAAAAAATGTAACCGCATTTGGGTGAGACGGTGGCGATGCGGTTAATGATTTCGCACGATATATATATATATATATATATATGTATATTAGGAGAGTAGAATAGCTCAGTGGGTTGCTGCTCAATTCTGATTCTGATTACGACGTTGAGATTCTACTTCCCCCAGGAGTAAACCTGTCCAAAAATCCGGGTCATGCTGGCTCACTTGTGCTTCTATCGCCAAGGAACTCCTTGGCATATTCACCTTGTACAAGCGAAACGAGTCTAACCAGTAATGATGAGGGCTCTTAAATAAAAAATATATATATACAGTATTTTAATTGGTTTGATATTTTAAAAATCTTTCAGTACCAAACAATTCTTTATACTTTTCTTAAATATATAAATTTTAAACACAATCTTAAATCTTAATAATAATCTTAAATGTAAATAGAATAAAAATGATATAAATTTCTTTTCATTGAAATAGTTAAAAGATAGCATAGCTATCTTAAACATAGCTTAAACGGCTTAAGCAAAATCAAGCGATAGGGACATTAGGAAGAACGAATATGAGAACCTAGAGGAATAGGAGAAAAGAGGAACTAGAGAAAATGTGAAAAGTGAAGACCAAAGTAATTTTAGTGATAATTAGATTAGATTGATAACAATGAAGAACTGTTAAATTAAATCACTCTTAAATTAGAAAAGTAGCTTCAACAAGAAACAATATTAAAGATTTCTGCTCAGAAGAGCGCACTATTAGGAACATAAGATACTATATAGAACTCTCAATTTCCTAATCTAGTAGAGGAATCGAGCCTGCTGGACCTTACCACCTACATGGAGTGGGAAAGGAGTTTATCTTAAACAGGAAAAAATTTAAGAGTCAATATCATTCTCATCTACCATACAGTTTAAGGGGATTCTGCTTTAAATTTGTTATATTATTAAAATTATTATGTGCAAATACTATTGAAGAATAAATTTTCCTTTTCGATCCATTCTGCAGCATTTCCTTATTTTCTATTGTCACTGCACGATTCCTGGATTCTTTATTTCACAATCCAGCAATGGCAGGATTTAACAGCAGCAATACAGAAAGTAAAAATGGTAAAAATTTTTTTAATTGGGATTAAAATGTGATGTGATGGAAGCAGCTATTGATCTTCTTAAACAAAGAAGGCTGTGGAAATACTGATAAATCTACAATTTAGATTCTGCAGTGCTTTAATTTTATAAAATCAGCAAACTATGTTAAAATACGATAATGCAAAGAATAAATATGTCGTAAACATGAAAAGAAAATATTTCGATGACAACTGGAAATAGCAAGCATGTCACAGACGATTCTTAAAATAATTTTAAAAAGACTTCGAAATTAAAACGAGTCTTTTTGAGTAAAGGATATTAATCACCATAAATTCTACACTAACTTGCAAAAAAATACAGTCAAACATGTATAGAAATAACTACAGCAGTTTAGTATAAGAATGAAGAAGTTGACCTCATCTTTGTCCACAGTTTCATCCAAATAATCAACATTAGCAACATGGAACAAATTACACGAATATTAAAATATTTCAAACATAACCCCATTGTGCTTTCTATAAGAAGACAAAATCTGTAAGACTTAGAGCAAATTAAAATTTTGGCGTTTCTAGTGGCATTCCACATTCCTGGTTTGACTGATACCACTGTCTATTGTATCCTTTCGCCCAAGAATTAGTAAAAATTTGAATACCTTCTCAGCAGCAACCAGATTTTATTCTTAACGATGGGTTTCTTTTCAAAGAGTAATGGAGAAATTGAATATATATCTGACCTAAAGATACCATTGAACCAAGAGACACTTTTAAATGAAAACGATAGATAATATGGTATGGCATTGGACAATTTATAATTCGAATGAAAATTTCATCTAGTATATGATTGTTTAATCTCGAATCAGTTTTTCTCGTACCTACTTAAGAAAAATGATATTTTAATAATTGACTGAAATGAATTTTCTATTCTAATGAAAAAAAAAATAAATAAGGATAATGAACTACTTCAAAGGAACAACTGAACAATAAGAAAGGAAAAATTTGAAAAAAAACTATAAATCTTTCAATTATATCATATACCTTTCCTTTTACAAGAGTAGCTGCTATTTGCAAAATGAGATTCTCCAAACTATATGCACTTGACCAACCCTGTTTGGTTAAAATTTCCATACATAATGCACCACCATTCAAAATAAATCCATTTTGTATCATTGGAGAGACGAGGCGAACAAACGGAGGTTCGAACCTAAAAATCACTATTTCAAACAAAGAACTTCCAAAAAGATATGTAGAAATAAAATTTTAAAATTTAAAATTGAATTTATAAAATTCTTCAAATAAAATTTTAATTTTAAAAAAAAAGTGAAAATATATGCATTCCTCAGAGATTTCTTGGAACTAGAAAAAATATAAATAATCTTTTGATGAGTTCGACTCCATTTCTAGATTTTAAAGAGAAATTTCGAAATTTCTTACGGGAATGTATCTTTAAAAAGAAACTGGAAGAGAAGATGATCTTGGTTTTCGGTATTGTATAATGTTTTCAAATCCATAGCAAGATGACTATCAGGATCTACTCTAAAATTTATAACCATGAAAAATAATTTATATTTTAAAGCAAAATTTCAGCAAATTTTTCTCTAATTCATGAATTGAACAGAAAATAAGTCTGATAAAGTCTCATATAAGTCTCATATAAATCTGAAATCAAAATGAGCGCCAAAATTATTATCTTAATCAACAATTCATTATTCGAACCGATATTATTCAATGAAATAATCGAAAAAAAATTTTTTGCATTTTAAAGTGAAAAATTCGAGAATTAAGCATGAATTAAGCAAGAATAAAGTTAAAAACTGAAAAAGAAGAAATAAGAAATAATTTAAAAGTGTAAAACATACTTTTTCAACCTAACGTGCCAATTATACAACGAGTCATCTATCAATTCAATTGAGTAAACACCTAAAATATTCGAATTATATGGTAAAATAAAAAGTATCATAATCCACAAAAAAATCAAAAATGTAATTTTAAAGGATAAAAAGCAATTAAAAAATTAGATTAAATTAAAAAATAAATATGAAAAATATTGCATAAAAATCGAGCACGGTTAAGAAATACGAAAAAAGTTGATCGAAAAACTGACAAAAAACCAAAAGCAAAAATTATAAATTATAAAGTAAATAGATCATTACTTAGACTATAAAGTAGATAGATCATTAGCTTTAAAAAATATGGATGGAAAATATGGATGCCTTTTTTATAATGTTCCGACTTATAAATTTCTCGAAGTTCTTTCATTAAGCGATCAGTAGCAGTTACTGAACCAGCTATAGTGCCTGATACATGCTGCCGCACTTGAGCTTGATTCAATCGCTCTAATACAACTTTGCCTTCTTCAAGCATTTCCTAAATTTAAAAAACTTATAAAAAAGTACTTGATAAAATTTGATAAAAAATTCGCAAAAAATTTTTACATCATCATCGACTGATTTCGAACAATTCTGCAAAGAACTCATATCTATATCACTTTCCATTCCTTCATCGCACTCATCCATATAACTCTAAAATAATGATATAACGATTTGCAATAACGAAAATTAATACCATAATGCCTCAAGATGAATAAGGTAGCTTAATTTACTCACAATTCAGTAGCATTTATTTTAAATTTAAGCTCACTTTGCACTTTCGATGAAAGGCAGAAAGTAGCAGATAATCGACAATAGAAATATCACTGCCTAAAACGTTTTTTGGGAATTTTTGTCACTGACAAAATAAATTTAGGAAAATAAATTCAACAGTCATCATTCTGATGTCTTCACTATTATATTAATAAAGATAGAGACAGAATACAGATGTGGATAACCAACCGATTTCAAATCTGAGAGTTCGGATGGTGGAGCTATTTCAAAATATTGACATAAATTAAGCGTTAAGTCATGAACTTGGGTAAGAATATTGCAGGGTGATTCGGCATCTGTTAATGACTGCAATGTTGCTGTTATCACTGAATCTTCACATTCGGAAAACCAAACAGGAGCAATCTGTGGATAATCCTCCTAAATTATTTAAAAAATTTAAAAATTAAACAATCTCAATACGAAAAAAATCAAAAAGCATTCGTTGAAATTCGTTAATCAAGAAATAATTTTATAATACCTATGATATATAAAGTAAGCAACCAATGCTCCGAACAAGTGCAATAGGGAGTACAAATAAAATGAAGTGAAATGCTTACCAAAATATTTGCTGTGACTATAATTTGCTTTCCTTTTGGATGATTAAAATGCACAACGAGTTCATCAATCGCTGCTTTTCTAATCTAAAAGCGATTAAATAAAACAGTCAAAATATTAAAAATCTCTTCTCCTTAAAAAATTAAAATTTCATTTTTCCGAAAAATTTCGTCGCTCTGTCTGACAAAATTTCGAATTATTTCCTTTGAATTCTCTGCAATTAAAATAGAATGAATAAGATAGACATGAAAATTAAACCAGTAAATTTAAGAAAAAAACAACCCAAAAATCTTATAAAATTTCAAAAAAGCAGCCAACCTAAAACCAAAAATTAATTAAAATAAAATACCTGAACAAACTTATGACTTTTAGGGAAGAGTGCTTCCAGCCTTTTAATATCTTGCCTTAGCTGCTGAAGAGACATTGCTGTTTTATAGTTTTATAGAATGCCTGAAATTATTTTTTCGAAAAATGTTTGACCAGTAACGAGGTAATGACGTATAAATTTTTATTTAAATACTGCGCTAATGGAAATTTATAGTGGAAATTTATACAGTTAATTAATTTATTAATTTAAAATTTATATATAATTTATATTATTTAATTTATATTTATATTTAAATTTATAATTTATTTAAACTTGTTTATTTATATTATATAAATTTAAATTTATAATTTATAGTGGAAATTTATCAACAAAAGCAAAAATAAAAATGATTAATAATATTAAATGATTAAAACAAAAGAAATAAAAGTTTAATATAAATAATGAATGAAAATACAATTGAAATGTATTTGTAATGGTTATCCAATTCATAAAAAAAATCATTGCGATTTCTAATTTTTAAATTTATTCATTTCTTGTTTTTGATTTGTTTTTGACAATTTTTTACAATTTCATATTATAATTTTTTGAAAAATAAATAATTTTTTAAAAATTTAGTTAGCATTCCTTTTTCATTTACGATTTCTCAAAAAAATTAATTAAATATGAATTAAAAGAAACAAAAATATAAGAAAAGTGAATAAAACTTAACAAATATGCCAAATCAATTAATAAATTAAATACTAAATAAAATATTAACATTAAATACTAATATTAAAATATAAAAATAATAAATAATACTTGAACAATAACAAGAAAAAATATAGACAAAGGTTAAATAGAAAAAATTCAACGAAAAAAAATTGGGTGATTAAACGAGAAGTCCAAGTGGTATTGAAAACTGGTTGCATCAATATCCCAAATCGCTTTCGGAATTAGAATCTCATCCTAGTGGAACCAGCCAAGCTAGAAATGGAGGGGTGCAATTAGGAATTAGCTCTGCAATCTTAGATTTTAAATCGTACAGCTTAAAATAATTTACATGAAATTGAAATAATTTTTAACTCATTTTTCGATAATGAATCTTCTGCGATTATGTAGCGCCATATCAGGGACCAGTTTAAGCCGCCCCCCCCCTCCACCTCTTCCCCACCCATATCAACGAAAAAATTTACTAATATCACAACTGCACAGATTTGTCAATATTTTTTTGAGTTGAAAAAGACTGTGCGAAACGAGGCCGCGGCACTAAAAAAGTGTGGCTCGATAACCTTTTGTTTCTTTTCCAATCGCTTATTTTTAGAGTGGAAAAATATACCGTTTTTTGAAATAATTCATAGCTTTCAATTCCTTTTTCACTGATGTAAGGAAGTAAATAAGAAAATTCTCAATTTTCCATATTATTACTGAATGTTATTATTATTAACTTATTAAAATTAATTGTTAATTCAATCATTTTTTTATAAGACTCCTCACCATTACTGGTTGAGCCCGCTCCGCTGGCTCGTCGCACTTGACAAATATACGAGGGAGTCCCTTGGCGATAGAAATACAGGTGAGTCGCCAGCATCATCCGGATTTTCGGACAGTTTCACTGCCGCGGGCATAGAACCTCAGCATCGGCGCTCCGAATTGAGCAACAACCCACTGAACCATTCCGTTCGATTATTAAAACATAATCAATTCGATCATTTTATAAATTTTCCTCGTTTTTCTGAAATACCCTGAAGGATTCTGAAAGATCGTGGGAGGAATTTAGAAGTGATATTTTTTAAAGAAATAAATTCAATATTTACTATAATCAATATTTGCGCCGTTAAAAATGATTTTCTAAATATCAGATTTTGCTTCCTTCCTGTAATTTGTTTAAACAAAAAAATAAACAAAATTTAGAATGTCATTGTGTCAAAAAGTTAATAATTTAGTGTTAACTGCCCGCAATTATTGCACTGAACTTATTGATAAACCTGGCCGATCTGAATTATGAATAGTGCTTATTTTAAAATGGAAATAATTTATAGATGCTCTGTGTGCATCATTCTTTCTTCAAAATTCGCGGAGAGTTGAATCCTACAGAAAAGTTCCTACGAAAAATTGCGCTGATTGGAGTAAATCGCGTAAAATGAATTTATTACTGAAGTTCAAGTTGAATATTAAAATTATTCATCGGATTAATGTAATTCCTGGACCCATCCTTGGGACCAGCTGGGCTTTTGCTACATTTCTTTCAAAACTTAATCGGTGACAACCATCTTTTTCTCTGCTTACATCAGCTGATTAAACCGACAGCCTTAGAGGTTCAGTGTAGTCACTAAAATGCAGCCGTGCGTCGATAGCTGAATTTTCACACGACGAGAGCCAATAAAGATTGGCGATGAGAATTTGGTGCGGAAGCTTTTCAGTGGTTTCTTCGATAGTTTTTGATTTATTTTACTAAAAAAAATAAAATATTAAGTGAACTCTAATTTTGCAGAAGAAAAAGTGTACGTTTGCAGCAAATTTTTTTTTCGCAGTTATTTTAATATTTTATTTTACATTTTTGCAAAAATTTCGAAAGTGTTTCAGTGTTTTCATTATTTTTACTTTTATTTTATTTTGCGATTAAATTTTAAGTTTATTTGCTTATATGTTAGTTGCTTTGTCGGAGAATCGTTTTGAACTCAAACGCACCCTTTGACTTTTCGCGAAGTTCCTTCGTTCTTTTCTCAGCACTGCTCCGCTGCGCCCTTTTCGTATCCCTTATCGTGATGGCTTTTCAAATTTCGTAATCCATGATTGCTCCAGTCCGAGGTCCTCCGAGTCCCCGTGATTCCCCCTCATCACTCTGCAGTTCACCATGTTTTCTTCCGATACTCCCCCCACCGGCCTAACCCTTGGTGCCCTGTAAGATTGGACGGAGTAAGAGAAGGCTATAGTTGGATCGGGAGAGGTTGAAGTGGCAGAATTTGTTTAAAATGATGTTAATAATGATGTAAATGATGTAAACGAAGTGGAGCTTTAAATGTATTAAGGTGACACAGTGCTTGTCGAGAATTTTCCACAAATTATAGAAAGGAGAATTTAGATTTTCCGCTAATTTAACAGGTAATATTAGTCATATGTGGTAACAGGCACATTTTGACAGTCGGCGTAAAAGAATAATGCATGATTAGGATTAAATGGATTGTGAGGCTGTAGGGAGTTATAAATTATAATATGCCACGTACTTATCACGGTGTTTAAGGTGGCTATAATAGGGTTTAAGATATTGTTAGATCGTTAATGACAAGAGTGCAGCGGCTTTGATGGAGCATTCAGGGAGCATAGTACAAAGTGCTTTAGTTGTAAAAGAATTAACTGATTCCGGTGAAATTATTTTAGTGATGTGGGAGAAGAATTTTGTTGTGCTATAATAGAGTGAAATGGAATGAAGGAGATAGATATTAAGGAGGATTAAAGGGATTTCGGAGGATGTTTACAGGTTTACATGTTTACAGGCGGACATTAATTAGGCGAGGGTATATTTCTACAAAATGTGGTTGGTTTTTCGAGGAAATTGGCAAGTTTTTTTTCCGAATAGTTAAAGTGCTAATATTTATTGAAAAACAACTAAGCAGAGCTGCAAACGCTTGTATTAATCTGTTGATAACAACAGCTAAAACAACAATCAAATAATGAAAATTAATGATAAAAAAAGAAAACATGACAATAATTAATGAAGTAAAGAGGAAATAAACAAGAGTTACAAAATAATACAATTCAATTATCGCAAATTGGTTTTGTTTTATTTGTTATATTTTAAAATTAAAATTTTTACTCAACAAAATAAATGATATCGTCGAAAAAAATCGACGTTTAATTTGTTTCAATCGTTGTTTTTTATTTTTAACCAAAAAAATTTTGCAGAAAATGGCTTCAACTTCGTCTTCAAAACTTCAACAAATCTGCACTGCGGAGCGTCGAAAAAAAGTTCTTTATTTATTATTTTTGGAAATTTTTTGGATAATTTTAATTGTTTAGATAGTTGTAACTGTATGTAATTGTATCTTTTACTATTAAAAATTTGATTTGATTTAATAATTATTAATTTTAATTGGACTGATCAAAAATAAAATTTTGCAGATTTTGCTTGGTGAATTGCCAGCTGATTTTTTGCGTCTCACTCTTCCCTCAGTTACGGCTAATGCGAATGCTCCAATGACACAAGTTGTTATAACAGATGATCCCGTGCTTATCCAACAGCAAGAATATTTACGAGCTCAGGTATCCTATTTTCGCAATTAAATTTCTTACGATAGCTTTATTCGAGTTTAGTATATCACAGCAGTATGCATTTGTAAGTCACAACCACAAATTTGAAATACGCGAAATTTGGTGAGACAGGTGGTAATTGATTTGTCTTCGAGAGATTTTCGTTGTGCAGAATGGACAATGGTTCAGATTAGTGGTACTGAGATCACTCTGTTTCTGGCCTCAGTGGATTTAAACCTACCATTAAAAAATCGATATGATGCTGGCGACTCACTTTTATTTCTGTCGCGTAGTTCCTGACAAAAATTTCTGATCGCATTAACTGCAAACGAACCTAGCATTTCCTGAAATATTGTATGCTAACCATATGAAATCAGAATATATTTTATAAAAATGGAAAATATTTAGTGTATATAAAAGTAAAATATGGAAAAATAAGTTTAAAAAAGTAGAAAAATAAGTTTAATAATGTTTAATAAGCATAAGGGCCAAGGAATATGGAATATTGAATGAAGGATTTAACGTTACTGAAAAAGTATTATAAAAATGTAATGAAAAATGTATTACAGCATGCATTCTATAGCTTTGTTCCTCCAAATACTTGTGGTCGAATATCGATTACAATTGTGGAAGCGAAGTTAGCTAAAAATTATGGACTTGTTCGCATGGATCCGTACTGTCGAATACGAATTGGAAATACTGTTTTTGAGACACCAACAAGTATTAGTGGTGGCAAATCACCTAAGTGGAATCGTATTGTTAATGCATATTTGCCGTACGGTGTTGAATCGGTTTATCTGCAAGTGTTTGATGAAGTAATAATTATCATGAGTATTCCTTTTCCATTACTGAAACCGTGAAACCACAATTTAAGATTTGATTCTATAAAATTTGGTTATGACAACATTTAAAACTAGTTGTATTGAGTAAAAGAAAAAATTTCTTACAAAGAAAAAATATTTAGAAATTTCGAAAAAAATTGAGAATTTAAATATGCCTAACTAACTAAAATAAGATTATTATTCAAAATTAAAAAGTCCTTATCTGAATTCTTTATATTTCTTATTTTCTACTTTCGATATTCAATTCAAATTTTATCGCTGATGTTGAATTTATTGTCCAATCTCTATTTATGCATTTAGAGAGCTTTCACAGTTGATGAATGTATTGCGTGGTCGCATATCGTTTTACCTAATGGTATTTTCAACGGCGAAGTGATTGATGACTGGTACCAACTTTCTGGTCAACAGGTTGTTATTTATAAATGTGCGATTTTTTGCATGTATTTCGTATATAATGGTTAGATTATAGATCAGTCTAGAAAAATTGTGCAGTAATTATTAGATTGACTTTATAGGGTGAAGGAAAAGAAGGAGCAATTAATCTTATTACTTCATTTACACCTGTTGATGCATCTCCTGGAGCATATATGAATATCTCTTCAGTACCACAACGAGGTAATGTAATTTTTTTCAGTTCCGTCTACCGCTTCAAATATTATTATTTCTATTAATATTTTTGTATTTTGTACTTTTATCTTTTAATTGGTAATTTAAATTAATCTTTTATATATATTTTATATGTATTATATGTGTTATCTTATGTATTATATGTGTTATATATATTTTATATGTATTATATATATTATCTTTTAAAGTTACATTTATACATATTCGATATTTATTTTATAATCTTTGGGTGCTTTTATCATAAATAGAAATTTTTTTAAGAAGCAAATGCTGCCATTACAAATGAAGATGTTTCTGAAATGCAAGCAATGTTCCCATCAATTGATATGGAGATTATAAGATGTATCCTGGAAGAAAAAAATGGAAATAAGGAAGCAGCTGTTTCGGCAATTTTAGAAATGACAGCTGAATCGTAAACGATGAAATTCAACTAATTAATTGAATGTAAACTGGTTTTAATTATATAATTTAACGGCTAGCAGTTTTCTCAAAATCTGAGATTTTTTTGAATGAATATTCGTTAAATTTTTCATATAATGAATTTATAATTTACTTTCATTTATGATATGATATGTAATTTCTCATCATTTTTAATATCCATTTTAATGCGTAATTTTGATTCTATGGTCTGTATATTTATTTTGTTAGTTTATGTTAGTCAGTATGTCAGGAAAGAATCGTTGTGCGGATATCTCAGAAGGTAAAAACTCGGTCCTTCGTAATGAGTAAAAATTATCAGGTATTTCTCAAAATCTGTTACATTTTGTTGGAAATTCCGATCGTTAAATGGTATTAAGCAATTAGTTGAAACTGGCTATTAATGCAGCTTTTATTCGGAACTCCATCAAACTGCTGATCCTTTGCTTCTAATGCTCCTAAATCCCATTTTTATTCTTTAACTTCATTTTGAAATGATGAAAACATGGTCCATTATAAATGGCGCATAAAAAACATTTTAAAATGATAAAGACAATGAAGACGGATAAATTGATGTCCTTGCTGTTCATCACTTAGCAACACCCTCTCTAAAAAGCTATATCTTCCTAGGATGCCACCTTTAGCGGCTTTATTAAAAATCCATTTTTCCCAATCTCAATTCCATTTACATTTTCCAGGAAGCGTGAAGTTGCAATATGTAAAATGCGTCCGTCGTAACATTTATTTGCTTTATTTAATTTTTATTGTGCACGCAATTTCACAAAATTATTGTCGGTGTAGTGTACATCATTTTTTTTTCACTTTTTATAGTCCTTCAATTTAATTTGGTCTGTTATAATTTATATAAATTGGATTATATTTCGATTGTAATGGTCTATGCTGACATTTTTATTAATAAGCAAAACTGACTTATTTTATTTTCGACCCCTCGTTTGTCCTACTTTTTAATGAACTAAAAGTTCCGACTGTTCGTAGGACGTCCTTTGCTATACAAGCATTTAGGCGTATCGGTTGTGCATTGGCTTAACGTGAAAAACGCCGTCAGCCAGTATATTCTGCAAAGTTTAGACTATTTTCTTCATCCGAGCGCAATATAAGGTAGTTGTAAGTTTGTTAGCCCCTAATCTGAACTGCTACTGCTATTCCAATAGCCACCGAGGTGGAGCACTTTTTCTCACGTTTGTTAACCTTTCATCCAAACAAAAACACTTTTGCCCATTACTGTTTTCATTTCATTCCAGCGTTGTGTAAACTCGTCGACTCGCTAAACGCTACGTTAAAGAGAATTATAAATTTGGCGAGGCGAAACTTGCAGTGAGCTGAACGTTTATTGTTCCTTCGTATATGTCGTGTAATAAAATTTTTATTCTTTCCACTTGTTTTTACGAGAACATTTTCAATATTAAATATGATTATTTGTCCCTTACGTGAATCACTGTTTACATTATATAAGAAATGGTAAGTGGTCAGCGCTCACCACTTCTCGCCGTTGGAGCGACGAGAAATTTCCGTCAGCAAGTCGGAGAAGGGGAAAGTTTTATTTTGTTTCAAATAAAATATTTATATATTTAATATACAAATACATTTAATCTTTTGGTTTGTTTTTTTTTTTTGTTAGAGATATAAATAACTCGAAATGTTTTACGCAATTTTATCGATGAAACAAAAGGATATAAATAAGAGCATGTACAATAAGAGCTCCAGAAATGGAGGATGAAAGGCTGCGCCGATGTTTAGGAAGTCTGTTTATCGGATTTTTTGCGATTGTTGGATGTGATTAGTAAGTAGTTTATCACATTGATAGTCGCATCATTGATGAGAAAATTTCATTTTCCTTTTTCTGCAGATTTATTGATAAATTAATTCGTAAATCCAAAAAAGTTGGAAATGAAAACGAAAAATCAGTTTGTTCATTTACTATGAAATTTATTTTTTCGCTTTAATTGAATGAGCTTTAGGAGGATTCTTTGGGGGAGCTGTTTAATAAATTTTGTGATGAGGGAATATGGCGGGTTTATAACCAGTGAGTGTTAAGGGAAAAGGACGGAGTACCAGGGAGGGAGAAAGCGACGGAGTGCGAAGAATGCTAGTGTGAGACTGCGACCTGCCTTCGTCGGTACTTTCTCTTTCATGTATGCTTTCTACAGTGTTTTCTCCCGCACTTGCTTTATTTTCCCTTGTGGGTAAGGTGACAAAAATATTTTCTTGCACTTGAATGTTGGTCTGCACTTTGTTACTGACATTATAATCTTCAAAATTTCCATTATTTTGGGTCGAATCAGATCGTTTGGCCTTCCCAATTCGACTTCTTGTTACATTTAATAGTCAAAGTGCGATTGCGATGTGTTTTTTCTGCTACATTTGAGATCTCGCAGATTGTTGCGGGAAATTATAATTATTAGATTTGTTAATAAGTATATTCAAAATATAAAACACAAAAAAAATTTATGGAGCTCGCGAAAATCCGTCGAAATCCATCTGTTATTCGGGATGCGGGATGTAATCCAATACATCGAAATGCAGAGGTCATTTTATAGATTAATGGTTCCTTGAACTGTCATTACATCTGATGCCTTGGTTTTAAATGATTTGATAATACGTGGTGGTTGGTTTTTATTCTTTATTTTACATGTATTCCATGTTCCTTCTAATAGCTCTCATTATTACTGATTAGACTGGCTCCTCTGGCTAAAAGAGTAAGATGTTTCCAAGCTGTTCGGTCCGACTTCATTGCTGAAAATAATAAAAGCCATTCATTTTTCATTTTCTAAGTCCATATATTGCTGGTTTTTCTGTATTGAAAATCTTTCCTGGCTTTGCCAGTCCAGATCCTGATTGGATTACTTTGCTTTTGACGTGGTACAACAACCAACGAAATACGCGTCAGTTCCTGTGGTGGACGACGGAGAACGACCAGCGAAGGCAACACTGTATGATGGTATTAATGTGAGTGGTATTTGAACGAAGGTGCATCATGTGAGATTTTGTTCTCTCGGCTGTAAAATAAGTGGTCAGAGGCATATAACTTCTTAATATCCTCCACTCTCAATGACCATCTCAGAACCATATAGCAAAATTGAGAGTACTGCCACTATATAGATGAGGGCCTTTCATTTTTATAGTGATATTTCGCGATGATGTTTAAATCAACCGGAAGAAAGCATTTTTAGCTGCCATTATCGGAGTTGTAATTTCGTATTTCTTTTAGCCATTTGGAATTAGAGTGGTTCCGAGATATTTAAAGTTTGGCATTTCCTCAGTTGGCAAAGAATTGTTAAAAATAGGTGTTTTATGAGCTTTTTGTAAATAAAGCGAAAAGGCTTTCGTTTTACTTGCACTGGCTCTTAGTTCGATTCTCGTTGCATTTGTCGACGCATTGTTCATTATTTGTATTTCGTCATAATTGTCAAAAAGGACTACATCATTAAATTCAAGGTCTGTGATAGTATACTTTGGACTGATTTGGGCACCTCCTGATTGCCGAAAAGTGGTATTCATTATCCAATCTATCGCATAGTTGATCCCATATTTTCATTGCAATTTATCCATTTTTGGCCTTAATATGGGTTTATATATAATTTAGTTTGCGGTTATCTTAAACCGGGATCCATTCGGAATCGAATTATTTGTAATGAATTGCATTCATAGTGCCAAAATATTTTAAAGAAAAAAAGATTTCGCACCGAGGGAATCGCACAGAAATCCAAGCATTTTTTTAAGATAAATTTTTTTCATCCTAATGAAGAATATTTTTGGGAAGAATTCCATAGATGGCTTTATTATTTTTCCACTATTTTTCATTATAATTTAATTTTTTGGGTGAAAGTGCCAAAAATTAGAAATTTAATTTCATTCGAACTAAGTATTTTTATTGTTTTGTATTTTTATTTATTGTTGAAATTGTTTTCATGTACTGCAAATTCTTCGATTCATAAGTAATCTCAAGTTTAGATGTTTACGCTACTTTAGATATTTAATTATGCATGTTGATAAACCTGGAGAATATAAAGAAGCTGATCAAATGGTCGACGAAGGTATAAGTATTGAAAAACAACAGGAACAACTTTTGATGAGTAAATTGGCGTCTAACGGCAAATTGCCAGCAAAACCTCAGACTACCTTTCTACAGAGAAAACTTCGACATCAACGAGTGAGTTATTTTATTTCTCTATATGTTGTATATATCATTTATTAACTATTCATTAATAGTAAGAGAAGCATTTAACCAAATTGTTTTGAGTGAGGAAAGCTTTCGAAGCTAAAATGTTTATGATTAAATATTTCTTAGAAATTTTTCGATTCCGGTGATTACGCACTGAACAAAATTAATGCAAAAAATCCAGCAATATTGATGGATGACCCACAAAATAAAACTTGCTCTGTTGCAGCTTCTGCCGAACAACAGGTATAAAATTCAATAATTTTTGCAATTATTTTAAATTTCTTCTAATTATTTCTTCTAATTTCTTCAAATTTTTTGTTTCGATAAAATTTGTAAAACTAGTAATGAAAATACTATATAAGTAGTATCTGGCGAATTTATCATGTATACGACGAATTCTGACCGATTTTTTGGCTGTTTCTAATTTCTGTTATTATTAAATATTATCTATTATTATGGATTGGTTTTTATTATTATTGCTATTATGAATGGATTTATTCATGTCATTTGTATAAATTAAAGTAATTTTTATTCAGTTCTTGAGCGTTTTCAATGCATGAACTATTATTTTTACTTCTTTGAAGACTATTTATGTATGAATCAGTGGTTTTAATTTTTTTAACATATTAAGAAAAAATGTCAAATGATTTTTTGGTTCGTGATAGGTACATTTTATTTTTAATTTTACTGAATCATTATTGAGATTTTTTTGCAGAACTCAAATTCGACGCTTCGAATCGATGTTCCTATCAGCGAAGATGAATCGTTAGAGATTCCACGTCCAGACACGGTTCCACAGCGCAAATCTTCGATTATTTATCCTGCTGCACATAGTAAATTAAGTCCACTTCCGCATTTGCATCATAGTGCAAGTAGTTATGACGATACTGTTCGTTCGGAATTGTAAATTTTGGCAGTTTTAGTCATTCCGCTTGATCATTCATTTTAAATCAATAAATTTTTGCTCGTTTCTCTTTTTAATTTTATTCGAAAATGTTCAGTCGAATGTGTAAGACATTTTTTTCTGAAAATCTTTATGGTTTTTTGCTTTACCCTTCTTGGGATTGAAGTTTGCCATTTCATGAGATCTTTATATTGAATTATTTTTTCTCCTTGCTTTTATTCTCTTGATTTAGCCTCAAGGTAGAGAAACCTTTTTCTTTTTTTTTACGACTTAGAAGAATTCATTTAGCTTTTATTATTTAATAAAGCCCATCTAACTCTGATTATCTCAAATTAATTTGTGTCGCCTTTTTGGAATTCCAGTTCATTTTGAAGTCCCATACCTGAATATAGTTGATTGGGCTTTTTGCGGATTTTCCATGGGTTTATTTCATGATAATTTCATGTTTTTTCTTGATTAGTCCGATTTTCTTTGCATTTAATTCGACGTGCTTCATTTCATCACTTTTCAATCGTTCAATATTGTTTTCAAAAATCTTTTCAACAATAACTTTTCGAATAGAAAAAGTTTTTTTTTTCTTCCAACAGAAAACATTTTGTACCTTATATACATAACGACCATTTGGATATATTTTTCCATTTCAAATAAACCATTTTCTAACGGAAAAACTTACTAAATAACAAATAAAAAGGATTGCAAATAACGAAATCCCGGATGTCTAATCACATTTTTCTTATTAAGATAAACCGTTAGCATGAAATGTTTCGTAATAATGGCCTCAGAAAAAGTGGATATTTTTCTTAGAAATTCTATATCACTAGAAAATTATTTAAAAAAATTAATAGCGTCAAAAAATTATAGAAACAATCTGCAATCCATAAAAAAAATTTTGAAATATTACAGTGAAGGAAGCACATAGCAATCATAATTGCTTATTTAAGTATCAAGAATATGAAGCGATTGCTGGTAAAGCACAAAAGTATTGCTTTCTTACAAAAGGATGTATTGTCACACCGATAACAAACTCAATGAAGTTAATAAATAATTTAAAAAATGAACCAACTAAATTAAAAATTAAATTAAAACATTCGAATTTTTTCAAACATTAATTAAGATTAAAAAGTGTTAGGCTTTTTCATCAAACCATATCCAAATGACAATTACTGAAATTTCTTAAAATTAATAAAATTTTTGAAAAAAAAATATGAATACGAATAAAAACATTTAACTGAATCAATCAAATACCTATGGAATCATATAAAATTTGATTCGGTTAATTTTCCTTTTTCTATTTCATTTTAATATTCATATCCACCCAAGAAATGATGTGTAATCAGTGAATGAGTGACAAACTTATATAATATTAATCAAATAGTATTCCAAATGGTTCGTCTCTTACACATATCACATGTTCTGAAGCAATCTTCCATGCACTGGCGATTTCCGATATGGAACGCCTATTGGATGCCATACATAAGCGTTTTTCGAATTGTTTATAGATATATTCGTAGCAACCTCTATTTTTTGACCACTGATCATTAGAAAGATATGCTCCATTTTCTGGATAGTTCGTTGGGATAATTAAACGCATTGGTGGAACCAACAGCTGAAAAATTACATCCAATTTATTAATGAGAAAAAATAGCGATTAAAGAAATTTTTGAATGAAATTTAAAAGGATTATTAATGACTATTTAGAAAATAAAAATTAATTATTTCGAATCATTATTTTTATTGTTTTTTGTTTCATATGTATTTTATTATGTTGTTTTCATCTTCATTATCGGCTTAATATATGGCTTCAAATATATGGCTGTTAACCTCACTTAGTTAAATATTGCCAATAAATAATAAATTATCGAAAATCATCGCTTGGCATTCAAAAAATATAAAAATTAGTCCAGAGCATCGTATCACATTAGTCCAGATTTTGAATATGTAAAATAAAACGAAAGCCTTTTCGTTTTACATACAAAAAAGCTGATAAAATATATTTTTACCAATTCACTACTAATTTAATCCCAAATGGCCAAACAAAAGAGATTATAATCCGACAACTAGAAATGCATTCTTCCGTTTGACAAAACCATCGCAAAATTACCATAAAAACAAAAATGCAACAGTCCTCTCGATCTTGCTATACTGCTGCGGGACATGGCTAACGAGAGAACGAGAATATTAAGAAGTTGTCTGCCACTGACCACAAATGTCAAGATACATTTTATGTGTTTGCCGAGCGGAAACAACTTACCCTTCCAGCCAGAAGAGTTAACCTAATCAGTAATGGTGAGAAACATTAGAAGAAATTATTACAAATATGAAACATGAAAATATGAAATTATTGAAAATATGATGAAACGCAAATAAAAAAAACAAATTAAAAAGATGGAAATTTCCAGTCAAGACTTACTGCATCATTTTCGATAAACACAGTTACTTCACTGCATTCACTGGATATAGGAGCAAAATCTGGATGGAATCTACAAAGAAAAAAATATAATATGACTGTAATTATAATAAAAATTTGTCAAAATTATCTAAATTTGCATATTATTTGGCGCATAAATTATCAATGAATAAAATGAATACCTATATTTATATTTACGCAGATCGTCACTTGCTTCTTCACTGAGAAATATCTTGGATCCGTCACAACAATCTACAGCGATAGCACCTGGAAATGATTTTTTAAATAAAATTAATCTAAAAAAATTACTGTAATTATATAATAATATTTCCAAGAATAAAATGCAAAAAAAAAATACTTTCAGCACTCTCCCACTTGGCACGTTTAGCATCGACTACTGCTGTAGATGCTCGCTTCCGTTTAACGATCTCTAAAACTTCATCTGGCACTCTACAAAAAGGTAAGAAATAATTGTAGCACAAATTCATGCAATAATTAAAATTTAATCTTTAATTTAATTAAAGATTTATAAATTTAATTAAAATTTAATCATCAAATTTAGTAAATAATAAATTTTTTTTTTTGAGGTGAACTTTTAGAACTAAAATTTAGTAATATGCTTGTTCAAAATTAAAATATTAATTCAGTTATTGAAATAATACTTTAAATTTATTTATTCCAGTCCTTTTTTGCGATAAGAGAAATATCTTTAGTATTTTTATTGCCATAATAATAAATTTCATCAGCATCAAAATGCCAATATTTTAATTAAATATACAAAAAGCAAAAGAAAAATCTTATCCTAAACCCTATAATTTCTTACTAACTTTATTGCATATTGCCGAAGATCAGCCCAAGGATCAGGAAGAATAGGTCGAATAGTTTCGTCACTACGAAGAACCTCCAATATTGGATAACACACTGATCCACGTTGGATCATAGTTTTAACGCTTACAATAAGCTTTTCAACAAATTTCAAATCAATTTTTCTGAAAATTTTCTGGTGATTTAATAAATATATACAAGAAACTTTAGAGCAAAAAGCAAACTTCTGAAGCAATTCAAAAAAAAGGAATTTCGCCTTTACCTTCGGTTTTCCAAAATTTCAATGAGCCTTTCAAATGAAGTTTTTACTGGCAATCCATCCAGTCTGAAATTAAGATGTTAAAATTTTCCTATAATAGAAATTATTTCATCCGTTGGCAAAATAATCAAAGAAATCTGACAAAAAGTTAAATTACAGTGGAAATTTTTTAAAATGCTATTTGTTCGAAAAACCATGTTTTATAAATACAAATAAAAACGAACTTATGACGATCAATAAGCCTCTTAACTTGATCGTAATATGATTTTAATATTTCGAATTTTTGACTAAAAAGAGGCTCTTCTGAAGCAGCTTTATCATTTCCATCTTGATTAATTTGTGATATTTCTTCTGCAATTCAACCAGTGGACAATACTATTTTATAAATTTTAATAATGATGTTATATTTAAAATTTAAAATATACTTAACCTGAAACGTGGTGCTGTGTATATATTGCAGAAGGAACACTGCTTGGACCTTTTTGGTGAGAGGATGAAACCTGATGAACTAAGGGCTCCACAGAATTGGGTTGAGGAATAATTATTGGTTGTGGAGAAGTATAATTTGGCAAAGCACCGGAAGGGTTCAATTGTTCTTGCGAATTGAAATTTTGAGTCATTTGACTAGAACCAGAACCACTGGAAAGATATCCATGACTTGCCATTCGCCTGAATTTGTTTCTTTTTGTTTGAATTATTTTTTATTCAATTGCATAATATATCCAATCCAAATAATAATAGCAGTTCAGTTATCCATAAGCTTAAGGCCAACAAAACTCCAGGAGAAGATGGTCTTCGGGCTGAGCTTTTCAAATGCTGTTCATTGTCCTTCATAAGGCACCTTCAACAAATGTACTCTTTAGTATGGAAAAAAAATTATTACCAGATGATTGGAGCAAAGCAATTCTCCCAATTCTCAAGAAAGGTGGTAGGACAAGCTGCGACAATTATCGAGGAATCAGCCTATTAGACGTCTCAGCAAAAATTTTTGCTTCCCTGCTACTCAATAGACTTATGGAAGTACGGGACAGCAGGATGCGCTCTAATCAAACTGGTTTCAGACCAGGGAGCTGTTGTGCTGACCAGATATTCACGTTAAGAAGGGTGTTGGAACATCGCTTCCATCGCTTCAAATATTTATCGCAACCCACTGTCACGTGTTTCATCGACTTTGCGGCTGCCTTTGATTCAATTGATAGAGCGGCGCTTTGGAGGGAGATGGAATGTGATGGTGTTATAGAGAAAATCATTAGACTCATAAAGGCATTTTATGAGCGCATGTCGGCACAAATCTGTGTATCTGTGCTGACAGATTCTTTCGAAATAAGAACAGGTGTCCGTCAGGGCTGCGTCCTTTCCTCCACAATATTCAACTATGCGATAGACTGGAAAATGGACACTGCTTGTCGGCACTCAAGAGGTGTCCAAATCAGTCCAGAGCTTCCTATCATAGGTCTTGAATATGCTGATGATGTAGTCCTTTTTGCTGACAGTTAGACAGAACGAAATGCAAGTAATATTAAATAACGTGTCAGCAAACTGCAGCGAGAATGGGACTCAGGATTAATATAAATATAATGAAGGTGTTTTCGTCTTATGTGCAAGATGCTGATAAAATGCCTCTTTTTGTAAATTTATAGCCGAAGTGAGGAAGTGCCTGATTTCAAATACCTTAGGTCCACTCTAATACCAAATGGACAGGCAAAAGATGATATTATAACTCCGATCATGGCAGCTAGAAATGCGGTTGACGAAACCTTTATCGTCGTGAAATCACCATAAAAACGAAAGTCCGCATCTATATTGCCGTGATCCGTTCGATCTTATTATATGGTTCTTAGACATGGCCAATGAGAGTCAAGGATATCGAGAAGTTATCTGCTTTTGACCACTCTTGTCTGAGGTATATTTTACGGGTTCGCCGAGTGGATAAAATCTCACAAGATCGCATCCACTTTCGTTCAAATACCACTTACATAAATAATGTTATCACAGAGCGCCGCCTTCGCTGGTTAGAGCACATTCTCCGTCATCCACCACACGAGTTGACGCATATTTCGTTATTTGCTAAACCGTGTGACGGTTGGCGTCAAAAGCGAGGTAGGACAATCAAGGCCTGGATTGATACGGTGAGCAAAAGATTTTGAACGTATAGGTGGACCAGCAATATATGGACTTAGACGATGGAAAAAGGAATGGCTTACATTACTGTCGACGATGGCACCAGATCGCACCGCTTGGAAGCGTCTTACCCTTGTAGCCGTTGGAGCCAGCTTAAGCAGCAATGGTGAGGACTGTTAGAAGAAGAAGAAAGCAGTTCAGTGATTTTCCACATTCTCTGTGAAATTATTTGTGAAAATTCTTAAAATATCCAAGTGAAATCTTGTGGAATTACTAAATACCAAGCCAAAAAATTAAAAAGCTATTTATTTAAGACGAAAACGAAAATTCGCATCTATTTAGCTGCACAATCATATTATATGATTGCGAAATATTACCGATAAAAGTGAAGAAATATTTAATTTCGATATCTTTAATCCTAAGATACATTTTGGGCAATTTCATCTATTTACACTGGAATATCATGTGCACTAACAAGAAAACACTGGTCACATTTACATATATAACGCTTAAGGCGAAATTTTGTGGTGGAATGAGCCAGCTCCAATACAACCGCATAACAGTAAAAGTCTGGATTGATACGGTCAAAAAGAGATTAAGAGTAAGGATTTAGAGATAGGGATGGAATTTGTGGCACCAGAATGGGAATATTGAAAATGTCAAATGTCTCAGCCTTTCAGCTAGCGCAAAAGGAAAACAATAAAAGAGATAAAATAACTGCATTGGCATTTGATTTGAAGCCATTTGAGGGACTTGACTAGGATATGCTGGTTGTGAAATATTAGAATTTCCCATTCGTGTCATAGAACCGTTATTCATAGGATCTAAAAAAATTATTTAATTATGATCTATAAGAACTACATCTTAAAAAACAATAAAAATGCTAAATGAATAAACATCTGACGATTTAAATAAAATTTTAAAACATTATAAAAAAATCTCAAGAATAAAGAAAAAAAATAAAAGAATAAAAAAGGAACTAAAAAAAGTTTTCATATTGATAAAAGAAAAAAATTTGCTTGAATTTTGAGGTATTTGTTGATTCGTATTCATATTAACGATCATTCCTTGGGCACCCATTGAATTTTGAGTCTGATATCCTTGAGATACCTGTAATTTATCTAGTCTAATTTATTTATATAAATTTATGCATTTTCCGACCAATGAGAAAACAATTTAGACTTCACTAGACTAATATTCATATTTAATTTTCTCGTGATATATAAGTTGTCACTTTTATTGAACTCACTAAATTTTTTTTTCTTATTCAGAGAAACTGAAAATGGAAAAGCATAAGTAATCAGATTTGTTGAAATTTTAAAAAATATTCTTCCAATAAAAAAATTATTCACACGCATCCGATGATTTTGTATATATGAAAGAGCAATTTGTTTTCTGCGTTCAGCATTTGTCTCGGTGTTTATTTGCTGTTGAGCTATTTGCTGCAAATCCGGAGGTAATCGAGCTAGCGCATCGCTTAAAGTCCTGCGAATTGAAAAAATCACCTAAGACCGTTGAAAACACAAATAGTTCACTTTTTCATTAATTAATGAAATTTATTTAAAAAAATGAGCTCGAAATTTAAAAAAAATTTCTTTTATAGGAAAGAAATAAATATTTGCTAAAGAATATGAAGAAAATAATGATAAATAATGATAAAATTTTAAGTTGTAAATTAATGAAAAGTTTTACCTCGGTTGTACTGGAGCATTTGAAATATATTGTCCAGGCGCCACCTGAACTGGTTGTTGATTTGGTTGCATCATTGTAATACCATACCTGATATCATAATTATACCACACAATCGTTTAAATAATTTTATAATGTTATAATGATGTAAAATTAAATTAATAATATTGATAATGAAAATATCATCAAAAAAAAACCTGCTACCTTTGTTGCCTTTGCATATGCTGTGGCGCAATATTAGGTGTCACTGACATCTTAAAAAGTAAAAATCAACGCACAACTTTTTAATTTCGAAAGAAAAATTAAAATCAAATTAAAATTTTTTTTTCAAATTAAAATTAGTTAGTATTTGTGAAATCAAAACATAATTATCAATATAGGCAATAATACCAAATACAAATGTAGAGGAAAAAATCTATAAAAGATTTCTGGTTTTAAGGAAATTTTTTTTTCAAATCAAGTTTTTATTTTGGAAAAATTTCTGTCATAAAAATTTGAAAAAGAATTAATTCAAATTAATGAACTCAAGAAACAACCAATTTTATTACTCATAAAGAAAAATTTTAAGATTCAGTAATGAAGATTTTTACAGAAAAATAAAAGATGAATTTGAATAAAAACACGAAAAAATTAAAAATTTTTACTTTAAGCATTAAAAATGGAAAAATACAACCCAATATTTGCATTAATGAAATGTTTGATAAAATTTCGATTAAAGCCAGCTATTAAAATTTTTTCTAATCCTAATTACCTTATTTCTATCTCCTATAATTACTTCAATTTTCAATGAAATAAGTCAAAAACCTTATAGTTGCATATAAAAAAATATTAAAAGATTTTTTTTGGCAGATCACTTCTTTCCCACTAAGAAAAATTTCTAAATTTTAAATGCAACTAACCTTTGCCAGGGAATTTTTGTCTTAGAAAAGGCAGAGAGATCGAGTGACACGGTCACTTCAGCTTCGACTTAAATCTAGTATCAATTTTCCCCTTTAAAATATATGAATGCTACTGGCTTCTAACTGTATTTCTTCTTGTTCCAGCTCTCATCATTACTGGTTAGGCTGGCTCCAACGGCTACAAGGATCAGACGCTTCCAAGTTAGGCGGTTTAATGTCATCGTCGACAATAATAGAAGCCATTCATTTTTCCATCATCAAAATCTAAATAATGCTGGTTCCCCGATATGTTCAAAATCTTTTCTGACCGTATCAGTCCAGGTCTTGATTGGTCCACCTCGCTTTTGACGCCATCTATCACACGGCTTAGCAAGCAACAAAATATGCTCAACTCCTATGGTGAACAGAGAAAGTGTCGTACCAGCGACGGCGATGCTCTGTGATAAAATTAATATAAGTGATATTTGAACGACGGTGGATGTGATCATGTGATATTTTATTTGCTCGACGGATCAGTAAAATGTACCTTAGCCAAGAGTGGTCAAAGATAGATGGCTTCTTAATATCCTCCACTTTCACTGGCCATATCTCAGAATCATATAGCAAAATCACGGCTATATAGATGCGGACTTTCGTTTTTATGGTGATTTTATGACGACTCTATAAAGGTTTCGTCAACCGGAAGAATGCATTCGAGTTGTAATATCGCCTTTTGGCTGGTTATTTGGTATTAGAGTGGACCCAATGTCGGGTACTTCCTCAACCGACAATTTATAAAAAGAGGCATTTTATCAGCTTCTTGCACATAAGACGAAAAGACTCGTTTATTGAGCCTGAGTCCGATTCTCGCTGCAGTCGCTGACACGTTATTTAGCATTATTTGCATTTCGTCATAACTGTCAGCAAAAAGGACTACATCATCAGCTATTCAAGACCTATGATAGGAAGCTCTGGACTGATTTGGACACCTCTTGAGTGCCGACAAGCAGTGTCCATTATCCAGTCTATCGCACAGTTGAATATTGTAAAGGGAAGGAGGCAACCTTGATGAACCAGTTCTTATTTCGAAGAAGTCTATCAGTTCCCCATATATAGAGATCTATGCTTTTATGAGTCGAATGATCTTCTTTGGAAGACCGCCGCGTTCCATCAAAGCGCTGTTCTATCAATTGAATCGAAGGCAACCGCAGAATCGATGAAACACGTGAGAGTGGGTTGAAAACATGTGAAGCGATGTTCCAACACCCTTCTTAACCTGAATATCTGGTCAGTTTCTCCGCCTGAATCCAGCTTGATTACAGTGCATCCTGCTTTTCCGTACTTCTATAAGTCTATTGAGTAAAAGGAAACAAAAATTTTCCTGAGACTAGTAGATTCCTCGATAATTGTCGCAGTATGTCCTATCACCTTTCTTGACAATTGGAAGCAAAATTGCTTGTACCCGTACTTTTATCATAAAATGACTGGGGAGCGCACCGAGCGCGCTAATTACTTATTTTGCCATGGAGTCCCTTGGCGATAGAAATAAGTCATTAGCAACACACGAATTTTTGAATAGGTTTACTCCTGGGAGAGTAGAACCTCAGCGTCCGCGCTCCGAATTAGCAACACCCCACTGAGCCATTCTACCACCCCATTATTTAATTACCTTATAACCAAATAAATAATGGATAAATAAATTTCGTCATCAAATTTAAGAACCTAAAAAAAAGGTAAAAAATTCGCAGTGGTATATAACGAAGACTCGGAAAGAAACAAACAACAACAGTAATACTTCAAAATATAAAATATATCAAAAAACACTTAACCATTCTAGGATTTTGCATTCGTTGTCCTTGTTGCATTATATATTGCTGCTGAGCATCCATATAATTCATTTTTTATTTCTGATCCAGAAATGAACTAAATTATAAAGCAAATGTAGCACAGTCATACTGTCTATGGATTTTACGTCTAATCATAATAACAATAAATACGAATACAAATGAAAAATATAATAGCAGAGAAAAATCACTCTTTAAATCTAACTTAAAGGCCAACCCTTGAATGCCTAAGTCAATATTTATATGTGTCAGCTATCTGATCCAAAGCGCAGACGACAGGTTGCTTCGATTTTTTTCTTTTCCCTCTTAATTCCTCCCAGCATGTTCTTTAGCTCATCGTCACATCTCCCTGCTTTCAATAGTACCATAAAATACTATAATGTAACCAATCATCAGTCTAAAGTGCCAATAATCCGTATAACAAATGAAAAAACAAAAATAATGAATACATAAAAATAAATTTAAAAAATAAAATAATATCTTAATCTCAACAGTGAGATGAGAGTGCACCTTTAAATAATTTCGCGAATAACAGTTCTTTTTTGAAACTGAAAGCAGATCGAACTAAAAGGAGATTATTCCTGGGCAAATTGTTCCCACAATTAATGCCTCTAGAAGTTACGAAAAAATATGCTGGATTTATTATTTTTCTCTAAAAGCGCTCACCATTCCTGGTTAGGTTTTTAGCCTCACTCCGCTGTCTTTCCGGACCAGATAAATTTTGCGAGAACCACTTGGCGACATAGATAGTCTGCCGCCCGGATATTTAAAAAACAGGTATTCCTGCTGGGCGCATAACTTCACCATCGACACTTCAAACTGAATGACAACCCGACGAGCCATTTTATCCCCTCTTGTTTTTGCCGTTCGCTACTACCTGCGCTACTGCCTGACCATCAGTTATTAGAAAAATTCAAGTAAATATGATCGTGAAGGATTTTATAAGCAAAAGCCACATTTCGTCGCTGAACACAATTCTTCCAATTCTCGTTAAAGAATCGAGAATGAGAATATAAATATTAGCTTAGCTTTGCAAGATTTTCATCGCTTCATTTCACAAAAAAAGCTTGAAATTAGGTTTTCTAAACAACAATCTCTCCTTCCTCTTTTTAACGATTTACTGAGAGAATCTTTACATTTGACAAGAATTTCCAAAAAATTTCTTCTCTTACATATTATTACATATTATCGCATTAATATTGAATTAAACTTTCACCTCGCAAAAAAATCCATTCGAATAATAAAACATTTATAGCGACGAATAAAACGATGAATTTTAAAGAAATTCAGCTCACAAAGCCGAAGGAAAATCGATCGAAAACTGACAAACAAACAGTTAAATTAGCTCGTCGGTTAATTTCAAAAAGGAATCAGATATGCGCGTATATAAATTTGAAAGGCGACTCTTTTGCGATGCGACAGCGACAGGAATTTGTCGCCACTCGAGATTCTTAATAAATTCCTTAATGCACCGAAAAAGCATCAAAATTAATTCGTAAATCCTTTGACTGCTCTTGCATGGGAAAAAGAGAGAAAAATTGAAAAAATTTCTGGAAAACAAATTAACAATTAGATTAAGAAAAATACACGTTCTCACTTCACCATTTTTTTTGAATACATTTTAGCTAACAATGACCATTTCTCGCCCCGCTGGTTTCAATGCGAAATTTTTGCCAAGCATATCGGGGATGGAAGTGGAAGAGGATTCGCAGTACCACCCGAACCCTTCGCGACAGGCTTGCTTCCGTTCCCCGAGCTTGACCCAACACCAGAAGATATTAGAAAATTGAGAGAGAGCCTCCCAAGAGATAAGCCTCTAAACTAAATACCAAATTTTTTAAAATCTTCCCAGCAATCCGATAAAACCATTTACAGGCCGATTGTTAGAGATGGTGTAGCCAGCACTAATTCGCAGCTTGTGGTTCTTTCTAGCGATTCTTTGGCTTTATTAAATTTGAAAGCCTATGAGGTGTCTTGTTTTTAGTCATTTTTTAGTAATTGCAGAGGAGTAATTGTATTGCCTCAATGGAGGAAAGGTTGTAAGTTAGGCGCATTGGACCTCAGGCCATTCGATTATATGCTGAATTCATGTGAGGAAGGCAAGACGGGTTGTCACCAATCGATTTCCATAGTTACTTCCTTTTCTTCTTATTCTAAACCATTAGGCCTTTAACTGTAGTTGCATTGCTTATATTATGATTATTTCTTATTTGCAATGTCGTTTTTAGCGAATAAAGGCTTGTCGACGTCCAAAGTGATAGGCAATCAACGGACCAAGCGATTTTCCTGTCGGGGAAATCAGAAGAGTAGAATTACATTCCATAATATTTAGAGCGAAGATAATTTATTCGAAGTGGTGGATTTTTATATTTCGCATGGTTTCGGAGTCGAAAATCTCGCAGGTTTTATCTGAAGTGCGTTTTCTCCAATTTTTTAAATAATATTTCTGGCCATTTTTAAACAAATAAATTCGGTTGTTTCTTCAGTGGAATTAATTTTTTACTTTTCTGTTATGCTTCTGGATATTGGGGCTAAACCTTTCCGCTGAGAGCCGAGAGATTTGGCGTAGCAGATGCGCGTCATTGGAATTTCACAAGGCTTACGCGGTTCAGTGCCTCCATCGATTCTGTTATACGTCACTCACCCACGCTGCCTCTACTGATAATTAGAGAGAGTGGTTTTAAAATTTGTTTGTTCACCACCTTTATAAAATGGTTAAACTCCTCATAAATATCTCCGCTTAATATCGTGATATCGTAATCGAGGTAGGTTTATCGAGTTGTTTATTTCCTTTCTTCGAATGAGGTGAGCCTTGGTAAAAGTCGATTATTCCATTGTTTGCATCTAAACCTGAGTTTACTGAGCTCGACCACTGCTTCTTGATCGCACTAAACCTTTAATTAATCCGTTTGGTTGCAAATTCACTTGTAATTCTCTTTTGAAGTGGCTGAAAATATTTCACTGTAATATGCTTGAGGAGGATTTAGATAAATTAGAAATGGTGAATACCGCAATGATTGCTCGAAAAGGAAAGAATAAGAGCCAGCTCATTGGTAACTCGAATGAGAAGTTGTTTTATTTGCCTTATGTAGGATTCTATGGAATCAGAACTAATAATTTTCGCGTCAATAATTTTTTTCATTATTATTTTCTTTTTTACTTCATTATCGAGGTTCTTTTTGAATTAATAGATTTTCTAATAAATTTTTGTAATTATTTATTTAGAGATTTTTTTCCCAGGTGAAGGCAGATTGTATACGTAATGTATCAATAATTGCTCACGTTGATCATGGCAAAACAAGTTTAGCAGATTGTCTTATATCATCAAACGGTTTGATATCAGCAAGAATGGCTGGAAAAATGCGATATTTGGATAATAGAGAAGTAAATATTCTCATGCTTTTATATTTTATTTATTGCAAATTTTTAATCTATTTTTTCTATCTTACTAGAAAAGTGATAGTGATTTTTTTGAAGGAAATGATTGCACATTTTCTCTTTATTTGTATATTATAATATATTACTATCAGTACATTGTGTGGTTTAATCAATATCAGACTACCTGTTTATTTGAAAAATCATCCCAGAAATTGCGAAATTACTCCTCTTAATCTTTAGGCATCTTGTGCCCTGTAATAGTACCTTGGGCCCTTTTACAATCCTTATGCCCTTTTAAACCTTTCTATACTGTTCGAACTTCCTGTGGAATCTCATCAATTACACCTTTCTTGATGAATTTAAGCAATCGCTTTAACAGCAGCTATGATATTAATACGGCATTTGAAGTTTTATCGACATCAAGAGTTTATTTTCATTATTGTTTATATTTTTATTGTTTATATTCATGATACAAATAATTTAAACCTATTTTTTTGAATATGCGATTAAAAATTTTAGAATATTTAGTTGAAGTATTTACTATAAAATTGAAATATTTATATAAATATTAAAATTATTAAATATATTAAAATTGAAATATTATATTTCTTACTTATTTGTTATATTTTTTAGCTTTTTCATTTTTTTTTAAAATATTTTTAAAATATTTTTTTAAAATATGTTTAATGTAGTTTTCCATTAATCTAGTACCATCAACAATGTTTTACGATTTAATTATTGGTTAAATAACAAAAATTTTTCTTTGGTAAATGTAAATACACTTTTGTGTTCTGTGTAGACAAAAAAATTTATTTTATTTTCTATTTTCTTTCATTTGGACCTTTTCTTATTTCAATTTTGCTTATTCGATACAACTCTCTTTAATATTATTTGTTTATTCTTTTAGGATGAACAGATACGAGGAATCACAATGAAAACTTCTGTAATTTCTCTTTTATATAAATCAATTATTGTGAATTTGATTGATAGCCCTGGCCATGTTGATTTTTCGGGTGAAGTATCAGCTGCATTATTTATATCCGACGTTGCTTTACTTCTTATTGATGTCGTATGTTTTATAAAAGTTATCCAATCGAAAAACTCAAAAATATTCCACAGTATAATTCTTTTAAACCTTATTCATATATATTTTATATCATTTCTTTTTAATTTTTTTGCATATTATAATTTATTTTTTATTTTCTCCACCATTTTTTAGGTTGAAGGCATTTGTTCTCAAACTGAATTTTTGTTGCGGCAATCAATTAGGTTAAATTTGGATTTAATATTAGTTTTTAACAAGTTTGATCGTCTCTTTGTTGAATTAAAGAAAACGACAGCTGAAGCATATTCTTATATTCACCGTTTAATGGAACAGGTATCATTTATTTAGCAATATTCTAATAATTAATGCTATGATCGAAAAAGTGAATTCTTAACATGGTATTATATGAAATTACATGAAACTATATAGATTATGTGAAATCTTATTTTATAATTATTATTAGGAACGAGGTGTAAAAGGTATTTCTATAGTTTTCCGATTTGTTTAATTGATTTGAGTGTTTGGTTAAATAACAGATTGTATATACAAAAATAGAAGGCTTTATTAAACTTTGATTCTTTTATAAGAAAGTTTTCAGTTTTTTTTTAAATGATCGAAAAATAAAATTCGAATAAAATCGAAAAATATTCTTAAGAATTTCTTCATTACGATTCTATATTCTATAGCAAAGTTTTTTATCCACAATTGCGCAAGATCTGAGATATTTGATGCACTTAAAATTTATAGTAGACTGGATCCTTATGAATTAATTTTTATTACTATATTTTTGAATTTTAATGCATTTTTTCAGGTAAATAGCTGTATCAGTCAAATTATTAGTGGAACTCTGGTTGAACTCGAAAACTGGAAAAATATGGATGAAACCGAACAGTCGCATTATTTTTCTTTTGATAATGATAATGTAGTTTTTGCTTCAGCGCTTCATGGTTTGTGGTTATTTAGCATATTTTTTCTTTCTTTATTTTCATTAATTTTCATTATTCAATTATTTTTGGTGGAAAAGGTTGCATTTTTTATTTTAAATCATAGTTTTATTATTCAGGTTATGGTTTCTCTTTAACGGATTTTGCTACTATTTGGTCACCTAAGCTAAATATTCCTGTCGACGAATTGAGAAAAAATCTTTTCACTAATTGTTACATTTCAAAAGGAAAGATTAAACCAAATGCCTCTCAAAATGGGAAAAAAAATATCTTTGAACAACTTGTGCTTCAGCCATTATGGGAAATTCATAAATGTGGTCTTATCGATAATGATTTGGATAAATTAAAAGTTTGTTTAGTATTAGAAAAAATAAAAAGATAAATTTGGATAAATAAATCTTTAATAAATCTTTATGGCATTCAAAATTTTCTTCATTTAATCCCATATTCTTTCAATTTTAAAATAGATAGGGAATTAAGAGGGACGGAGAATAAGTTAAGTGCAATTGTTGTAGTAATTGTAAATATAGGTATAAGTATAGGTAAGTATAAGTATAGTATAGTATAATATATAAGTTAAATATATAAATTTACATATAAAATTTTTTTTTTCAGATGTTCGCCTCGAAAATGGATATTAAATTGAAAAGCAAAAGAATAGTTGAGGCATTTGATGAATTTATGCGTAACTGGATACCACTGAGTAATGCATGTTTTCATGCTATTCAACAGTCTCAGTCACCTTTAACATCTTTTACACGTCCAAATCGCTTGTCTTCTATTGGCATTAATACCGGAAATAAGTTATGCAAAGCAATTAGTTCATGTGATGAAAATGATATCGCAGTTGTATTTGTCGCCAAAATTTTATCTCATGGTGAAAACATATTGGCGATATGTCGAATACTTTCTGGTTCTGTTAAAATAGGGGATAATTTATTTATAATAGGTGATCGTCGAAAAGTGCATTCGAATGAAAGGTTGTATCTTTTATTTTTTTAGATTATTTTGTATCAAACTTGCTTGATTCCATTTTAATTTAAATTTTTTGAATTCGATCTCTAATTGGATGCATTCTAGAATAGATACCAAAATCAACGGTATATTTATGCTTACGAGTCGTGAAAAATTTCCTGCAACTCAAGCAAGAGCTGGTATAGTATGTGCCTTAGAAATTGAGGGTCAGTCGTTTGCCTCAGTTTTGTGCAGTGAATATATTGAAGAAAGTATTAAACTTCCGCATGAAATCGATCCATTGGTGCGTGTATTGTTGCATTCAGAAGGTACAACTGATGAATGGAATGAGCTGCGTGAAAAACTTAGACATCTTTGTGCTTTAGATTCCAGCATTCGAGTTATTGAACAAAAAACTGGAGAATTGGCTCTTTTAGCTGCAGGTTAGTTAGCTATTAGTTTTTATTTGGGTATCCACTTTTTTCAATTTTTGCTTTTTTTGGAAATTTTCAAAAAAGGTTCTGCAGCCTCAAAGACTATAAATGCTTAGTTTATGTCTTCAAATATTGTTCTTAGGTGAAGTGCATTTGCAAAAATGCTTAACGGATCTGTTTGATATGGGTCAAACGAATGTGAAAGTATCGGAACCAACTGTTTCTTTCATGGAAACTATTATTCCTTCAAACTCCAATGTGTCACTCGATAACCAGATTGTTGTGAGTTTTTTATTTGTTGTATATTCTTACTGCTCCATTTCTTGATTACATGATTTAACTTTAAAATTAATGCTTTCGTTTTTTCGCTATATTTTTATAAATTGAATCTTTTTATCTTTGCAGAATTCATTAAAATTAAAAATATTCTATCAGAAAGAACATTAGAACATTGGTAATTTTTAGTAGATTTTCCTTAGTTCTTATTTTAGAATGTTTATTTTTTATTTTAGAATTGTAATATACGTGGTGATATCTTAACTATTGCGTTGCGAGCAGTTCCTCTACCTTTGGAGTTCACTAAATTGTTGGAGAGAACTACTGAAACTTTACGCGATTTGCGGCAAGGTTTATTTGAGACGAAAGAAGTCCAGCTATTTCGTCAAAAACTATTATCTGAAGGTGTAAAATGGTTGAAAGCGCTAAGAGGAACATGGTGGAGCCGTCAAAGTGAACAGTTTTTGAGGTTCAGTTTTTTTATTATCTCAAAACCACTTGTGCATTTCTATTTGGTAAATATCTAACATTGTTTTTTCCATTGTTTCATTCAGATGTAATTTATTTCAGATTATTAGTGGAAAGAATATGGGCTTTTGGTCCTCCTCAAGCGATGTGTAATGTTTTATTTAACGCCGTGACAGAATACGATCGACCATTAATTTGGGAATGTAGGTGAACTTTGCTATAAAGCTATCTAGAAATTCAGATTTTATTTAGATTTTTTCAGCAAATTTCATTGGTGATAAAAGTGAACAAACGTATTATCAATTATTCGATCAATCAATCAGAACAGGTTTCGATTTGGCTGTTTTAGCTGGTCCATTATGTGAAGAACCAATGTGGGGTGTAGCTATTGTTGTAGAATCTTGGACTTGTAAAGGATATGATGATCCAGGGTTATCTGGTTCTTTAATTACTGCAATGAAAAATTCATGCAGGTTTTATTTTTCCGAAATTTTAGTCTTTTTTTCTTTCCATGTTTTTATATAATAAATTATTCAATATTGATAATAAGTATGTATATAAGTATATTTATTCAAACAAGATTTTTTTGTTCATTTTCTCGTTTAGAGCTGCATTAAATAAGCAGTCACTGAGGCTAATGTCGGCGATGTATAAATGCAACATTCAGACCAACAGTAATGCACTCGGCAAAGTACATGCAGTTCTCTCACAAAGACAAGCAAGGGTTAGCCTTATTTTATACTACATATTAGATATTAACATCTCTATAAAATTACGACTTTACCATCATTTTTAAATATGAATATTATTTTTAGATATGAAAATAGAATTACGACTTTACCATCATTTTTAGATATGAATATGATAAACAAAAAAGAATAAACTTATTTCTTGGAAAACGTTTGATTTTGTTTCAGATAACTCATGAAGATGTGAATCAAGCAACTGGATTGTTTGTGGTTGAAGCATTTCTTCCCATCATCGAAAGTTTTTCATTTTGTGAACAGTTGAGGAAAAAAACGAGTGGACTCGCATTAGGACAACTAGAATTTTCACACTGGGAAATATTGCCGGAAGATCCTTTCTGGGAACCAACAACCGAGGATGAGGTAATCATTTAAATAAAATTTTTGGAATTTCCATGTTATGTTATAATGGAAACTACATAAGTAAGCAAATAATATACTGATTTTACTAGCAGCATAATTTTTTACTTTCTTGCTTATTTTTTATATGGGTATGATCAAATATTTATAAATATCAAATATTTATAAAATATTTATCGAATTCAACAGGTTGAGTTATATGGTGTAAAAGCAGATTCGTTGAACAAAGTTCGTACTTACGTCGATTCATTACGGAAGCGGAAAGGTCTGCTTATCGATGAACCAATTGTTTTGAATGCCAATAAACAGAGAAACCTAAAACGAAACCGATAATTCATTAACAATTTAGTCATAAAAATTTTTGACAAGTTCATTCAATGCATAAGCATTTTTTTTTATCGTTTTGCTCAATTTACCGTTGATTGCTATTGGGGGATAATATGCTAAATAGTGTGCAGTTTCTTCTAGCAACGGAATCTTTTTTGAATTTGAAGTCGCAAAAAGGTTTAATTTAAATTTGACCATTTTAAAATGAAATTATAAAATTGAAGATGAAAATTTCGTTTGAAGTTGGATTAAAGTTTTTGAATTACATTTATTTAGGATGACTTCTTGGACAACATTAAACATTTTTTAATTCATTTAAAAACTGGAAAAAAAAGGAAAATTATGAAAATATTTCAATATTTGTATAATTTTATTTTTTCTTCAAATTCTTTCTATTTCTCAATATATTCTCCCAACTATAGTTTTTTTTGAATTTTATCTATTCCAAAAAGTGAAAGAATTCGTTAATTCTTGACCATAAAATAATTTTTTGTATTGTATTGGATCGTCAATGAATTGGGTGATATGTTAATTAGGCGAGTCAATTAAACATTGGTTCTATCTTTTAACTGGGCGTGGACATTTTATTAAAAATGAAATCCGTATTAAGGGTCCACTGTTAAGGGTTAATTTTATAGCCATGTGACTGGAATCTTCTATTGTCACTGGAATTAATAAACCAGAATTGGTGAGTGCTGTCGAGACTCAACTGCGAAAGAAATGGTGGTGATGACTAGAATTTCATTATTATTGTACATTAAACCAATCTAGATTCTGTTGCTGTATATAATTTTGTCATTTTGAATTACCAGTAAATATGTAGTAATGTAACCAGATTTGGTGAAGATGTGAAACGAACCGTGCAATTCATTCACACTCTTTTTCAGTTCAACTATAAGTTTTTGAGGCCAGATGATCTGCGATGTTGGTTAAGTAATGAGCAAATTTTTGCGACTTCAAGCTATTTTACTGTACAAAAAGCGGTGTTTCATCTTTTCCATTGTGCGCTTTATGAACAAACTGGTTGGTAACATTGGTAAAATCTTGTGATTGCGATTACTAGTGCCGTTTTCAAGAGTTAAATTCACCTATATTCCAGTAGTTCTTCGCTCTTTTTCTGCACAACGCAAAAATATGAAGTTTAAATTTAAATAAACTTTTTACAAATACAATTATTAATTATTAACTGATGATACATTTAGGTACATAGTACATATTTACCAAAATGAGCTATTTAAATATTAAAGGAAAGCAAATTTAAGGTGAACTGAATGCGTTTAAATTATTAGTGGTCGATATATACGCTTTCCTTGTTTGATTTTTTTGTCTTTTCCAATAGATGAAAGCTACGATTGAGGTGATAATTGAACCGAGAGAAAATACGGAAAAAATGATAGTAATAGCAATGATCCAGAGAGGTGTACTTGCCAATAGAGTAGATGGCGCAGAGATTTTATTATTCGTTGTTATAGGCCATATCGATGTGTTCATTGCATTTCTACTGGCATCGTTCATTTTCGTCTATAAAAATATTTTCATAGTTATGAAAATTTCCTTTTCATCCAATGCTCATAAGATAATCGTAGAAGTTGACAAAAAATTTTAGTAAATTTCGTAGAAAAATTCGTTTCACAGTTCACAAGATCAGTGAAGTCATGAACTCATAGCAGCTTGAGAAGCCTGCTAGTGTCATTTTGAAATGGAAAGACTGAAACAAATTGAAATGAAATGATCATTCACAGCCATGTTTGCTAACCTCTTTGCTCTTGGAAATTATAACAGAAACGATATCTTCATTAGGTATCGGCTTTTCCTTAATTTGACATTGTCCGAAACATTTTATTAGCATACAATTCGTCTCATTGTGCCAACGCTGTAAAATTCCAACGAAACTTATTCCAGCACAGCCTGTAATAAATCACATAAAATTTCATAAAATACCGAGATAACCGGTGTGACCGGAACCACCTCGTCTCTTTTTCCTCTTATAACTCAGTATTTCTGGTTTCAGTGGTTGCACTGAGCGTTGCGATTTGAGTAGGAGAGTCACTCGGAGATGGAAATATAAGTAAGTGGATCTCCAACACTTCAATTTCATTATTAATGATACTTTATCCCCTTCAAGGGATATGGACTAAATCCATTGTGCTTTAGCCTCACCGAAGCTCATTCTGCCACAATTATCCTACTGCATTTATTCGGCAATCGTTTCTTCCCTAATTCTCCTTTCATATTTGCTAAAAAAATTTGAAACTGCAATGTTGCAGGCCAAAGCGTCCTTGACGCGAGTAAACCGCTCATTGAAAGTCAAATCGAGAGAGAAGACGCCACTGGGCCACTTATCTATTCCCACGACTCTTTGACGAAGGGATATTATCCAAGCAATCTATTCCCATCGAATGATGGCTGCTGATAGAAAAAAAATGAAATGAACAATAAATTTTTCTGTACTATTTACTGAATTAGAAAGAAATAAGTTATTTTAAACAATTTTTAGGGACACAAACGATGGAGAAACTGAACTTCAGTCCAAGTTTAGTACGAAATATAAAATGAATTTTTAAATTAAATTAGATTTTTGATTAACAGTTAAATAGACAAAAATTTAGGTATTAGTGATAATTTGAAAACCGATAGTGGTTTAATGAATTATGCAAGGAAAGGAGATTATTTGTACAGAGTTGCTGAGTGGAGTAAATCTCAGTTATCTGTGGGTGAATAGGTGATAAACAAAAATCTGCCAAGCTTGAGAAGACTTGAACGATCTTCTGCTTAGCACTCGAGCATGCCGACTTGAATGTTGCTGTTAATTTCCATGATTCCAGAAATACAATAGCTAAACAAAAATTGAAAAAAAGCTTACTTGAAATACCACAGCAAATCTCGAGGCAGTGCTTTAGGCCGTTGGCTTTTTTTGAATAAATCGTTCTCGCGTTGGATGCATTGAACCATTTTTGTTTATATACAATGAGTTCGCCACAAAACGTGTCATTCGCAACAATCACAGCGATTGCAAAAGCACAATAAAACGAAATTGATATATGATGAAGAGGTAAAAACTGTTCGACGCCTACTACAATCATTTATTTATATAATCAGTGAGAAATTTTCTACCTTGTACGGCAGAAATAATAAATGTAAACTATCACAACTGTTTGTTGAGCGAATCTGCTTCTGCTTCGCGCTCCATAGAATGCTGAATTTTTAGTTTCTATATAAGCAACGCTGGCTTGGATGTAAGCAATGTTAGCTTGGATACAACGAATCGATATGTGGTTTGGCTAGCAACCGAATCCAATGTTACTTTACGAGAAACACAGTTCTTAACCTTCGCCACTTTACAAAAAGAAATCTAACTTCTAATTTATTCTGATACGATAGAAAAAAAGCTGGCATATTGATAATTAGATAAAAATTAGTCAGTGATACGGTTTTATCTCGTTTTTTGGCTTAGTTAGAATAGCCGCATGCTAGGTTGAGAACGAGCAGCGAGCAGCATGGATGCTTTTTCCTTTGATTAGGCTAATGGAATCCTTGAAAACGGAATTCAAATGGTTCTATGTAATCATTGACTTGTAATTACCAATTATAAATGTGTGTATATATGAGTTTGGGTTTGAAATACTTTAATTTTTAATCATTTAATTATTAAAATGGCAAAAAACTTATTGCATCTTAAAATTCTCATCTTATTAGCTTATATTTCGCCACTTTTCACTAAAATTTCATGGGTCACGAAATTTTTGCGAAAAAAATTTTATTTTCAATTATGCAAGAAACAAAATTGACAGAACAAAACACATCTTAAGCACCCAAATGATTTTGATCCTCAAAAGGATCGAATTCCAAATTGACAAAAACCTGTGTAAATTTTTGGATTAGATTTACTCGATTGGCTATCAGAACGATTAGAAATTTTGGCTGGGAAATAACTCGATGGTACTGTTGGTACAGACGAGTTGTCAGCATGACTCGAATTTTTTAATCACAGGCCTATTGAGATTGGAAGCGAGCACCGAATCGTTGCTACACGATAATCCGAACCATTTATTCGACTTCCTCAACCCCTTATTAAAATTACGAGTGTATGATGGCGGAGTTTTGTGCAATGAATGATAGATTTTGGCCAATTCCACAAAATTCATATTATTTATTTGTAACGTAATAAAAACACATCGAAAACATTATTAAACATTATTCGAATTCTTTTATAAATATGAATCTACAAAATATCAGAAAAAAGGAAATGAAAATGGAGTTACTCGCAAAAGTGCATTCATTTATATTGAATACTGCAATTTTCAAACTGAAACGAAAAAAATGAAAGCTGCGATAGTGTATGCGATTCCCGAGAACATTCGGATTTCATTTTAAATGCAGAATCGAGAAGAGCGAAGCGAATCAAGAATAGCGTTGACGTTGTAAGCTTCGCGCTTTTTTCTTCGTGTTTAGATTTAATAAATGCCAAATAAGTTTGAAAAGTTTCGGATTAGAAGCATAGCTGTTTCCTGGTCTTTAATGGATTCATTTCCGCACGCATAAATCGAGTGGTTCATTCGGTGAATCAGTGAGACTTGAAGAAACTTCTCCTGGGTGAATGCACTGCCCATCTGCAGATGGAGTTAGAATCGGAGTTGATTCCAAAATGCCAGAAATAGGTAATAACCAGAATGATGTCTCTAACAACGCCATAGAAATCGTTGCAGGTAGAACTGGTAGAACTGACATCTTTGTTTTTCCTTTGGCCTCAAGTATCGATGAAACTTTGAAATATTTTGATCGCCGACCATAACGTGAATCTAAAACACTTTTTTCTTTTTAATCAAAAAAGCTTTAAGATTCTTTCAATTTTTCTCGAGAAATTTGGATGCTTCTTTTTCAGATTAATCCCACTTTTCTTTTTCCAGGTCTGCATAAAGAATTTGGGTAAACTAGTTGTTCATAAAAAGACACGTTTAGTATTTTATTTTATTTTATAAGCAACTAAAAGCAATGCAGAGTTGTAAAAAAAGATAAATGCATTTGAAATTAAATAACTTCCATAAAATATGTTTGCCATTCTATAAAATATACTTTGAGGAGCCATTCCAGCTTTGATACATTTATTGAATCGACAAAATTTGCAGGAAGTTCGATTTCGACCCTAAAAATAGAAGGTAAAATATGTTTTATAATGGATGCATACTAAAAAATAGGGAGCGGATCGGGAATGTTCTCTGAAAGTTTTTTTATCCAACGAATTCCCAAAACTTTCTTATTCTCGTTTACCGTTTACCGTGCAGGCTTTCATTGGCTAGCATATGGTATCTTTTCATTACAATCTGAAAATTTAAAATATTTCTACTGAAATTGCCCAATTCCAAACGATATTGCAAGTGTTTTTTTCCTTCTTCTAAGAACATAACCATGTCTGGCTTCGCTGGTTCCACTGACTAATATGGTGAAACCATTTGGATGATTGAGGCAATGATGCTTCTTCCTCTCTCATCATTACTGGCCAAGCTGGTTCCGGTAGCAACCAGCAATACTACAAGAGTATGGCGTTTCCAAACTGCTCGATTTGTTTCCATCCTTAATAGTAGTAAAAACCATTCCTTTTTACATCATTTACTATATTGCTGGCCCGCCTATATGTTCAAAATCTTTCCTGATCGTCTCAGTCCAGATCTTGATTGGTCCACCCTGCTTTTGACCCATAATAGGATTTAGCAAATTTGTAACAGTTATGGAGAGCGACGAAAAACGTGCCCTAACCAGCGAACATAAAGCTCTGTGATGTAGTATTAATGCAGGTGGTATCTAAGCGAAGGTGGATATTATCGTGTGAGATTTTATCCACTCGATGAACCAATAAAATGTATCTTGAGTGGTAATATGAGTGATAAAAGGCAGATAGCTTCTTAATAGCCTCTACTCTCAGTGGCCATGTCTCGCAGCTAAATAGTAAGATCGAGCGAATCATAGTTATAAGACGTATACTTTAATTTTTATAGTGATTTTGCGACAAGTCCATAAAGATTTTGTCAACGGGAAGATATTTCTAGCTACTGTCATCCGGATGTTTATTTAAAATGGGGTATTTCCTCAATCTGCAATGAATTTATAAAAATAGGTGTTTTATCAGCTTCTTGCACATAAGACGAAAAGCCTTTCGTTTTTACATTAACCATGAATCCGATTCTCGCTGCAGTTCGCTGATACGTTATTTAGCATTATTTGCATTTCGTCATAACTGCCAGCAGAAAGGACTACATCATCAGCGTATTCAAGATTTGCGATACGATGCTCTGGACTAATTTACATTTTTTGAATACCGACAAGCGATGCCTATTATCCAGTCTAATTTCATAGTTGAATATTGCAAAGGCGCATTCTTGGCAGACATCAATTCTTATTTCAAAGGAGTTTGTTACTTCCCATATGCTCACATCTTTGCTGATACGCTGATTAAATGCCTTTATGAATCGAATGGTTTTCTCGGAACACTGTCCCATTCCATCACCCTCCCAAGCCAATGCTTCATAAATTGAATAGAAGATATTTGTTGCAAAATTGATGAAACAAGTGACGGTTGGTTTCAGATTTGAAGCGATGTTCCAACACCTTTCTCAACGTGAATATCTGGTCAGCATAGCCACGTAAATCCAGCTTGGTTAAGGCGCATCCTGCTGTCCCGTAATGCCATAAATCTATTCAATAGAAGGGAAGATGATCAAAGATGCTTCCTCATCATTCGTTCTTTCACTAAAAATATTAAGATTTACTCTCGCCAAAGAAAAGAAGTGGATCGCTATATATTCTCTTGAATTCTCAGTCGAAGCAAAAATACCTCTCGACTACAGCTTCATGACATGGCATCGACAGTATGCATTTAATTTTCTTCTCTTTATTGGTGCAAACTTACCAGTAATGCCAAAATGATGAATTTTTGAGGACTTCAATGTATCTCTATCCTTCCGTGATTCTTTCTTGAAACGCACTACATCGAGTTATTCACTATTCGTTAAAACGTTGGTTGAACTCTTATAATCCTTCGAGATTCTCAAAAACCTTTGTATTTGCAGTAAATTCTTATTTCTTATTCTTTCTATGACTTTTGCACAAACTTATTTTAAATTTCCATAAATTTCCTTAATTTCTTTAAGGAGAAAACAAGAGTGAAAGAACCTGAATATCGCAATTTCCTCCACTTTTACATTTAAGTTTTATTTGCGAAAATGGATTAAGACCGATTTCTTGCAGTGATGAAGCCATTTCTTTAGGAATTTTACAAGTACGTCCAAAAAATGACTTAAAATTTCAATAATTTTAATAATATACATATTATTAATATTGTGGTAAACTCTAACAGGATTGCAAAGAAAATAATATCCAATTTATCCACTTTGAATTCCGATGCTACCATTATTATATTATAGAAAATAAAAATGCACAAAAAAATCGAAAGGTTTTGTTAAAATTACCTTGCACCCCTCACAAGTGAACGCTCCAAAGTGATAGCCTCGAGCAATTTCACTGCATACTTGACAAGTAAATATGATCTATTTATAATTAATTAATCAGATTTTAAGAGATTCTAGGGAAATATTTGTATGAGATGTATTTAGTTAAGGAGAATCATTTACCTGTGCGGTGCTTAAATCAATTTTTGTGAGTTCCTTGCTTACTGCATAATCCAAAAAGTTTTTGCTTTGTGATAGTTTTTTATTTCGCTGCACTTCGCAAAATGCTGATGAATCCGATTTGATTTTGCAAAATACGTTTCGATGCACCAAATTTCCAATTTTTACCATTCGAAAAATGAATAGATATGTGAGTAAAAAATTATTGGAATAAAATTTGGCATTCGAAGGTTGTATTAATAAAAACAATTTGGGAAAAAACAGCGGGAAATTAGGACTCATAAATTAAAATCAACTAATGATGTTTTTAAATAATAACCCACTCATTATTTTGGTTACTTTGATTGTTAATATGATGGGAAATTTTCGTTTGGGAATCAATTAGCGATAGGAGTGTACGCAACCCTAGTACCACTCTGATTTTTACGACAGTTTTACTCTTTCTTTCTGTGAGGAAGAAGGTCGAGTTTTGATAGCTGAGGAGAAGGTATTGAATTTGAGCGAGGATAAATGTCAAAACGAAGATTTCATAAATGGTCTAAATATGGTCAATCTCACTGGCTTCCTAGAAGGTTTAATTAAAAAATTTAAAAATTAAACGGAAAAAAGTAGATATATGAAAGTCAATTGCACTGTTTTCCGAGTGGTGGCGACTCATTTGCACTTCAGCCTTCCCTGGCAAAAATTTTTAACCAAACTAACAGCCAATGGAGAATAGATTCTAGCCAAAAGTTAATCATATTAACTTAATCATATTAACTTGGTTAACTGAAAAGGGGCAATGGAATTATGAATTCAACTGATCTTATTGTTGCACAAACTAGGCATTAGGCATCATAATATGAGCGAAAATCTGTTCAACTTAATCTTTCTTCTGCAATGGAAATATTCTTATATTATTGTTCGAAATCCCAGCGAATAATCCAAAAAATAATTTATTCAAATATTTCAGCTAATTTACTATAAATCGAAATATATGGGATAAAAATCAGTAATACAGTGAGATTCTCATATTTATTAAAATTTTAAACTAAAATAAGCAGTTCAAATGCAGATAAACCATTTGTCGAACTTAATGAGGAAACCAAAGGAGAATGAAAGTGATTAATAGAAAATAAATTATGTGCAAATATATGAGGAACATGGTGGTCGAATGGCATTATATGTGTACACTATATGCAAAGCTCTTCGGCCGAGTATCATAGATCGCTGTCCTTTTCACTCGAATAAACTTATCATTAAAAGAAAAATCGGAATGATCTCACGACTCACCTCAAGTCAACTCGCCTCATCCTAATAGCCAATAGAGTTAGCCAAACTAGAAATGAAAGGGCTTGTTAGAAGAACGAGAAGGAAATAAATATAGCTGTCCATGGTACTCGAGCAATCAATTCGTCAAGAAGTATAAAATGCCTAAAATCATGTGTCATAACTACTTTACGAGGCAGTAAAAGGGAACCAATGATGAGATAAACCTATGAAAGAATATTTGCTAATTATACGGCCAATTGATGACATTATGCATTTCAGGAATTATAATCGAATGATTTCTCTAACAATGAAAAGAAGGGAAAGTTTTCTGGGAAGGTCAAACGTTTTTTTTTGTCAATGATCGACCTCGTTGCTCAGTTTATAATCAACGCAAATCATAATAATAGCGACTGATCTACTCATTTTCGTTAAGATGAAGGCAAACAGAATGTTTTTATCATAAAATAAATGTGCTATATTTATTGTTATTTATTGCTACATTTTTATTGTTAAGTCTAATAGACAAATATTTTCGAAAGAGCGGTGCATTGGCGTGAAGAAGGCCCATCAAAAATCTGATAAAGCTTGGCCCCTTTTTTGTTTGCGCGTATGCGAAGAATATCGAACTGAAATATTCAACAGGAAATCTTTTCCCAAAGATATTTTCATTACCACTCGCTTCAGGCATTTGGAACTTTTTCTTCTTCTTCTAACGTCTCTCACCATTACTGGTTAGACTGGCTCCAGCGGCTACAAGGGTAAGACACTTTCAAGCTGCGCGGTCTGATGCCATCCTCAACAGTAATAGAAGCCATTCCTTTTTCCATCGTCTAAGTCCATATATTGCTGGTCCACCTATACGTTTTTTCTCACCGTATCAATCCAGGTCTTGATTGGCCCACCTCGCTTTTGACGCCAACCGTCACAGGGTTTAGCAAATAACAAAATATGTGACAACTCGTGTGGTGGACGACGAGAATGTGCCCTAACCAGCGAAGGCTCTGTGATAACATTATTTATGCAAATGGTATTTGAAGGACAGTGGATGCGATCGTGTGATATTTTATCCGCTCGACGGACCCGTAAAATGTACCTCAGACAAGAGTGATCAAAGATAGATAGCTTCTTGATATCCTCTACTCTCATTGGCCATGTCTCAGAGCCATATAAATGCGGACTTTCATTTTTATGGTAATTTCAGGAGGGATATTCAGATATTTGCGACTGTGATTTACAAATGCATAGTGTTTGTTGAAAATAAAAAATACATTCGTTTAGCTTAGGACCGTCGAAGAACTTACGACTGAATTGAATGTAATGATTCGACTTAAGTCGAAACAGTATACCATTACCTGTCGACCATTTTATTCCTTTTCCTTCTCCTTCACTTAAAGGATGTAAAAGGAAAAGCTTTTGTGTAGGCTGTTTCAGGGATGGTATTTCTTCAAAAAATGTTAAATTATTTCTGAAAGATTAGAAAATTTCGAAATTTTTTGCAAAATTGTCGTAGAAAAAAATTGTTCTCGATTTTAATTTATAAATTCATTCATTCCACTAAGTAAAAAAAATAGAATTCAAAAAGATCCGATGAAACATTGATTTGATCGTAATTTGGCATCAAACACATTCTAAATCCACTTTGCCACTTTTTCCCCTCCCTTAATGAAGGGGTAATCTTTGACTAAAGATAGTCGTTAAGCATGATTAACTAAGCAATCTTTGATAGCCGCTCATTTCACATTTACTTAGCCTATTATTCAAAAATATCCTTCATTCCGAGAATTAACAGAATTCAAGACAAAGTCAGCTGTCTATGTATTTCATTGTCTATGTATTTCATTGTTCTAACAACTTTCACATCAATGCCGCATTGCTTAATCTTTTTCTATTCGAAAATAACCTTTTTATTTATCTTTTTCCAAAAGAGCTTACCATTCATTTTGGCTAGCTCCTCTAACTGTTAGGAAGCTGGAAATTATTTGGAGGCAGAACTAGAAGTGGGTGTGTGGTCCTACGGGAGTATGGGTAAATCTATTCGCTTGATGCTAGCAGCACCTGTATTTCTATCGCCAACTTTATTTCCTTCAACACACGGAGGATCAGATTTATGAAAGGTTGATTCATTCGAATAAACCATTCGGCCATCCTTTTAATAAAAACTGTACATCTTAATTTTTCCTTCATCCTTCGATTACTTTATCCTCCTTGAAAATTTTCCTTATTACCAAAATTATTATAAAATTGCCTAGAAAATTTGGATTATTTTCACTGCTTCTCATGCGATTGACCTTTATTTTTGTTCTTTTATACTCATATTTTCAATATTTGTTATCGAATATTCATATTCATTATCAAGTAAATATTCAAGTTTCAATGAAATATTATAGTTATAAATTTATAATCAAGTGGTAACGCATTAATTCATGTTAGGTTTGTTCCATTGCTGCGGTTAAAAATTTTTGTCGCGAAATCATTTGCGATAGAGATAGAGACCAACTCCATCGCAATTTTTATCACTTCTGCCAGAGTCAGGAACTGAATCCTTGCCTCTCAGCACGATAATCCAAGTCATTACCTACTCAGTGATTCACCATCCCCTCCATTAAGTGGTGAAACTGATTTTCATTTTGGTTTTTGCGCAATTAAAATAAAGTAGCGATTCACTAACCCACTTCAATTTTTTAATATTCGTGATTATGCATTTCTATTTTTGAATTTAACTAATAAAATAAAATTTCGTTTGATTAAAACAAATTTTCAAAAAGGTTATTTTTACCGAATTTTTTTTAGATCAAAGTTGAAAAGAAAATTTTATCGAAGAAATGAAAGTGTTGTTAACTGTTGTATGCATAATTTTCCTATTCCACTCAGGTATATTTGCCAGTTTTATAATTTAAAATTCCATGCATATGATCAGATGAATGATTATATGAATGAATGAATTAATGAATATAATTTGAAATAGGTAGGATGGTCGAATGGTACTTTGGTGCTTCCAATCTCTTGACAGCAGTAAATCTGTCATTAAAAATGAAATTAAGGTCATTTTGGGAATTCACCCGTAATCTTAACGACTGTTCTGGTGACTCTTTGATGCCATTTTAAAGTATAGAGTAGGAAGGAGGAGGAGAAAAACAGCTAATTCAGGAATTATGGAATCCAAGAATTGCCGAAATTCTTCCATAGAATAAGTATCGGAAAAAAATCGCTTGGAATTATTTACTTCTGATAAAGCAATATTTTAATTTTTCCACATTAATTCACTTTAATTTTATTTATAGTTAATTAATTTACAGTAAAAAGCAAGAAAAAATCTGTGAATGCTTGGGAATGCAGAGCTTGTGAGATCGCTGCCATAGCTTTCAGGTTTTTTTTTTAAATCGACATTAATTTCTTTGATAATAATAACATATAAATTAAGAATTTAAAATTTATACTTAAAAATATTGGTGGAGCCGGTGACCCACTTATACTTGTGTCGTCAACTCAATTCCTAACCAAATTCCCCATACTGTGCCAGCGAAACTAACCAGAGATGGTGAACATTCATTTATTAACAACTGCGCTAATTGATTTTTCCATGCCGAAATTTTGAACATTTCTTTCTTCATAAATATGCTTTAAATTTAAATCATCAAAAAATCAGGGTCATATAGTCAAATGCAAATCTATCTAATTTTAAAATTCATGAAAAAATAAATTTATATAAAACAAAATGTAAAGTAAGAAATCTTCCAGTTGAAAGCATTAAAAATCTGCAAAAAAGTCAACTTCCAGGAACAAAAGTTAAATAAAATTACTAGAAAAAAATCGAACATTGCGAATATATCAAGGTCGTACATAAAAAAAATATCCATAAAATAATGTTATTTTCCAAGCCTAGCAAATACATAAAATTATTACATTCTATAAGAAAAAATCGGTCCGAACAAACCTTTTATCCAAATAGTCTCAAATAGTACTTTTCCGTACTTTTTCGAAGACACTGGCATCTTCGACAATATTACTTAATATATAATGATTTAGCAAATCCAACTGCGTGCCGAGGCATCATCAGCCCGATTCCTGATCCAGTAATAAACCTACCATTAATTCCATATCAAATATATCAATGGCCATTGGAAGCTTTTATTTATTTAAAGAATAAGCAAGCCATGTGCAAATTATGCAAATTATGTAAAAATAAACATAAATTTATCTTATAGTTCTTTTAATTTTTCAGTAAATTTAAGATTAAATTCATTTTGAACCACTGCATAAATTGGAAGAAAAGTCACCTAATTCACCTATTTTTCTAACTTTAGATATTGAAATTTATCCGGGTGATTATTTATTTTCAGGAATATGCATGCAGCTAATGTGACGGAATGCAGGCTTCTTGATATTGCATCGTTCATCTGTAGATATTTCGTAAAATACGATTCTATAATTTGTTATGGACTGAAAAACGAATTCAAAGTTTTTGTCCATTCCATAATTTTTATCAAATAAGAGATTTCATAAATATTTCCATGCATTACGCAATAGTACCTTTAAAAAAATGGCTGAAAAATGCCTGTTAGACCCGAAGTCCTTAGCTAAACTCAACCGAATTTAAATTAGAATTTAAAGTTTCTTTTAGTTCAAGAAACCTATTTGCTAACAATATATATATATATATATATATTATATCCGAATTTCCGATTTTGGCTATGGCAAATTTAAAAATGACTCAAATTAAATTATTTTAATGAATTGATATCATTTTAATGATATTTACAAAATTTATATTCTTAGAAAAAGACATGACTTAAGAGATGCAGTTAATTCTATAAATCCAGTTAATTGTACTATTTTCTTTGATTTTTCAGGAAATTATCATATTCATAATGAGGCAGTTATTAGAAAATCCTACAGAACTTTGCTCACTTTTAATAGAAGAATGTATGACTGATGGTCGTAGTTTAGACAAATGGAATATCAATTTACCACCGAAATCACCAGGTGTCAAATCAAAAGCAAATATTTTTCGTTTTACATATAAAAAATTTTTCTCTTGGGCGGGCATTTTTTAATGACTGTATATCCAACTTTTTTTGGTAGAAACAAGTTTGTCTCCATCTATCTCCAGTTGACTCGCTGGCGACAGGGGCCTTAATGGTCAATATAGTCAATCTAAAACCAGCAGTAGGTGTTAGAAAATTTTTTAATTCAGATTCTAAGCCAATTGAATGGACTTAAAGATTAAAAGAATTCTGTTGTCTCACTTAACTCACTTTATTATCCAGCCTTTCACGATTCATTTTATAGGTACCAAATATCCCATTTATCCAATGCAAAAGAAGAAGATACGAGTCCTTCAACTTTCTGACATTCATTTCGACTTCAGTTACACTCCTGGATCGCTGGCAAACTGTAAAGAACCACTGTGTTGTCAAAAACCAATTCGTTTCAACGGTAAGTTACATTCTTATTTATAAAAAGAATTACGCAAGATATAACACAACATTTTTGTGTTGTGTTGATAAGAACTCTTAACCTGATATTTGACTGGTAGCTTATTATTATTTATTCTTCGGATCAAATTCTTTTTTTTATGAAATATTAGCGTTGCATATTATTTTGGACAACAATTTAATAGAAAAACCGTTGAAGATTCATCGCAAATACCTGCGGGATATTGGGGATCACCTTTTTCATGCGACATACCATATTGGACCGTCAAAGAGATGTTTAATCATATCAGGCGAACTGAAAATGACAATGTTATTTCTTTCTTTTTAAAGAATCCATTTTTTTAAAGATCTAATTTACACATAGCCCAGATTTCTGCACTATTTTTTTTCAGTCTTTTTGATTTGAACAGAATTGATACTGAAGGATAATTAGTATTCACCATTTGCGGTTAGGATAAGTGTAAGTGTAAGTGTAAGTAGATGATATATTTTTGAAAGATAAGCGAAATTCGGTAATTTTCTCGGATTAGATTGGTCCCAATATTAATTATTTTATAATTAAAAAATGTAAATATAAAAAATTATAAATAAACAAAATAAAGAAAGACTAGGAAAGTCAAGGAAAGTCACAAAAATTAAAAGAATTTGGTTGCAAAATTAAAAGCAAATATTGAATGATTGATACAGATCAAGCATCAAGGGTCTCTCATAAGGGTGCTACTGATGGAAATAAAAAAAATGGAGCTTGAGTGGTGCTTGAGGCACTACTCGGAACGGTCTTCAGCCGAAGGAATCCCAACAGTCAGTAAATTAGCCGAAATATGAGTGGAATTAGACAAAAAACATTTGTGAAACAATATATTATATAGTATTATAGTTTTCATAATTCTGAAAATGAGAATATTTAATCCGAGATTTCAGTTTGATTATGTGCTTTTTGCTGGAGATCTTATGCGCCACCAAGATTGGACATATACGAAACAGGGTCATTTAGCTTTGATTGAAAATTTTACCGCATTGTTAATAGAATATTTTCCGAACACTCCAGTTCTTTGGACCATAGGGAACCATGAAGGTGTTCCTATCAATAAGTAAGCAATTTAAATAATTTCAATATCAACAAAATCAAATTTTTGCATGTACTAAATTTAGAATCTTAATTATATCAGTGAATTCAGAATTGCCATGATACTTATTTGCCTAAGGCCTTACAAACTTTGACACGATATTTTCTAAAAGTAGTAATAAAATCATATGTTGAAATGAAAATATAACAATTTGAATTTCTTAACAACCTTCAAAAAAGCTTTATTTCAGTTTTGCACCGCACTTTGCACCAGAGCGCTTCCGACCTCAGTGGTTGTATGATCGTTTCCAAGAAAAACAATCTTTTTGGATTGGGAATCAATCGAGAACGACCATTAAATAGTACAATCTCGTTTATTATCCAATCTATATTAAGTTCATGTTCTATACAAGTTCTATGAATGAACGAAATTCGTTTTTCCAAAAAGATATCGGTTGAAAAAAATTCCACAAAATCCATAAAATAATTTGCTTTCTAGATTTTAGGAAACTAAAATGAAAATATTTATGAGATACGATCACATAACATTTTGGATTCTCTAGTGTAAAAGTATAGTGCGGAAAATTTTAATCAATTTTAATTAATTTTATCCAATAAAAATTCCAATAAAAATTGTGAAATTATAGCAGAGGATCGTATTCCGTGCAATTATCCGACGGACTGCGATTCATTTCCCTCAACAATGGTTATTGTGAGACCACTAATTTGTTAGTTTTAAATTTATTTATATTTACGTATTATTTTCAAGTTAAAACCTTCATTTTATGAGATTTTAAATCTATAATTGTGGCGTAGGAAATGCGTAAGATTCGGGAAAGTTCTTATAGACGCATTTTTAGTTGGATGTATCTAAACCAAACAGATCCTGATGGAGCTTTGTCATGGTTAGTACAGGAATTGCTGCGAGCCGAGAAGGATCAAAATTACGTGTATATTCTCGGGCACATACCACCTGGTAACGCGGATTGTCTGGAAAGCTGGACGAGAAATTATTATAAAATCATTAATAGGCTAAATTTTTATATTGTTGATTTTCATAAAGATTTTCATTAATTTTCATAAACAACGAGCAATTCTGATTCTGATCATCAATAGTTTTTCGTTACCGCCGATCTTCTCTTTCTTTTGGCATAATTCAGTATTTCTGGTTTATCAGATGCAGATGAATACCACTCTGGTCTCACCTCACTTTTAATAACGGCTTAACTCCCATCAAATGGTAGAGATTGAACGGTTGACTGACCGAATCAACATTCTACTTTTCTCTTATTCAGTCTCCTTTCAATAATTAAATTCTGCGAATTAAATTTTAATGATTATATAAATCAACCTATTAAAAAAATTTTCTAAAATTTAATGAAATTAAATTGATTTATATGAGAAGATGATTTTAATGAAATCATGTTTTTTCTAGATTCTCAAACACTATAAAAGCACAATTTTTTGGACACGTGCATGTGGACATTTTTACAGTTTTCTACGAAAATATGGATGATTCCACATCGAAGCCTACTGCTGTATTATATTCCGCACCGAGTGTTACCACATTCAAAGATTTGAATCCAGCGTATCGCATTTACGAAATTGAAAATGGCTCACAATATGTAAATTTTCAATAGTTTTATTTCTTTTTATCCATTTATAGAGAGCGAATGGTGCATAACTCCATTTTCCGGCATCAGTACAATGAAAAATGACGTGTTGATAATAAAAAAAGACAAAGGGGCACACGCTAAATCGATAATATTCCCAGTTTTGCAGATAATTACATTAAAGAATACATATTTTGTGGTCGCATGTTTCATGGATGTCTTTTAGTGCCATCCATATTCAGTAAATCATTTACTTTACTACTTCGAATTGCCTTTTGTTCTGGGGAAAGAAAATTTTTTAAGATGAGAATTTCTTTCATGAGCTAGATTTAACCAGAACAACTGATATAATTGTTTGCAGAATATCATCGATTTTAAGACATATTTCTTTAATTTGACAAAAAATATTCTGCCGAATGAGACGAATTGGGAATTTCTCTATTCGGCGAAGGTTCGTTCTCGCATCGTTAAATTTAAATTAATTTAAAAATAATAGATTTTGTCAATCTTGGAATACGTCTTTTTCTTCATGAAATACATTTTGAAATATTCGAGGCACTTTAGTCAATTCAATTTTTATAAAATAAGTCATTGTACATATTGAAACTATTCATTTAGATAAGTTTGCTTGAGTTAAAATAAATTTATGCAACTTCAGATGAATATTAGTTGTTTTAAAAAATAATTGTTTCTCCTAAGTAAGATGTGGAAAATATTTTTTATTAATCGCATTCACCATTTCTGGTTTGATTCGCTTTGTTTAGGTAGGGACAAAAGGTCACAGAAGTGCAAATGGACGCACTTTACCACTCCACTTTCACTTTTTAATGGGAACCTATTCTGGCGGAGAAATAAAAGATCTCACAAGGTTTTTCAGTAAACCTTCATAAGAAATAGGAAATTTTCTACCGTACTTGAGGGTTTTTCTGGAAGAATTTTTCTTCATAATATCTATGCTTTAAAAATTTCTTTAATACAAAAGAGATAATTAATATTGAATATTCATTCCAAAAAGTTTTTCGGCATTTTTTATATTTTCTTTTTCAGGATTCTTATAAACTACGAGATCTTTCACCTGCTAGTTGGAATAATCTAATTGATCGAATCATTTATGAGGAGGATTTATATGAAATATTCATTAGGTACCGAATACGTTTCATTTCATTGCATTCAATCAGTTCCATTTTAAATAGGACTTAATTTTATCATAGCTATAATTCAACTCTCATAGCTATAAAACAATTGTTCTCTCTTAAAGTTCTCTCTTAGAGAATGGGAAAGATCCAAAACAAATTGTTCTTTTCCTAGGAATCTGTATCGTCGAGATGGAATTTCATGCGTTGGCAAATGTCGAGATGAAGTTATATGTGCGCTTCGTGAAGGCCATCGTAATAATTCTTTATGCGGCTTTAATATTCGACAAGTATTCACTCAAGAAGGGCAAAAATTTGTGAGACCTAGTGATTATTTGAAAAAAATGGACGAACCCGTTACCTTAAAGAAATTTCTACTGATATCGCAGTCATTCAGTCAGTTCGGGATTGAAGATTCCAAGATGGTTAAAGCCAAGTGGAAAAAAGCTTACAATTCATTTTACAGATATTTCAGAAAATATCATCAGTTATGTATTATTAATAACTTCTCTTGAATAAACTGTTAGCATCATTACCAACCTAAAGATGATTTTCTAAATTGTGATAAAATTTTCTTCGAAAATTTTTCAAAAAATATTAGTAAAAAAATAATGACAAAAAAATATTATATTAATAATAATAAAATATTAATAATAAAATAAATAAAAAAATATCTAATACTGCTCATCATTTCTGACTTGGCTAGCTTAGTAATATGAAACTCTTTCGTCACGAAGCCACTTAAGCATAAAAATATATCGGTCTTCAGTACTATTCAAGTTACTTCTTTACTGAATGATGGTCTTTTAATGGTCACTCCGATCAGCAAGCAGGAACCAAATCCAAAGCCCTGAACTCAGTTAAAGCAACATATTAATTTTATTTTTTCATTTTTTTCATCGGATTCAGTCGTCCAGCCAGGTGCCTGTGCACGAAATTCCACAGTTCTGCTTATTCTAATATTCTATATTTATATTTATATAAGTTGTTCAATCATTTATAAGGTTGACCATTCGTCCTTGAAATAGAGCTGAAGCAAACATAAATAATCTTTAAAACCACTGTTTTTCCTTAATATCTTCTTACTTCTATTGCAATTTTTGTATGCATTAAATTCCAGCTTTCTACTTTGTTTAACTTTTGGTGCCTAATTAATTGTCGATAAAAAATTTTAAAGTATAGAAGGGCGTTTGAGAATTTTTTGCCTTTTAACATAAAAGGCACTAATATCCTCTAAGGTTTATCTATTCGAATGTCTCCGAAATAGTTGATGGAGCCATCTATTAGCGCCATTGGAATAAAAGCGGTTTACCAATCCTTTCTGTTTTTCCAGATGTTTGAATGAGTATTTTTAGTTAATATTCTGCTCACAATAAGGAGTGCCAGAAAAATCAACAGAATCGAGAAGCAACGCTAATTCCGCTTTCATTAACGATTCATCGAACGAATTTTGTTTTCACGCAAAAAAGCGATTCTACGAGCAAATTTCTATGAATTCGGTTTTACAAATAGGGATATTCTTCAAAAAATTAAAAATTAACTTTTAATAGAGCTTCACCAAAGAAAAGAGGTTAGGAAAGGAAGGGGGACGCAGTGGGTAACGACTGTTGAAAGAGTTCGGCTCCCAAGCTGTCAGTACAAAACTTTGAAAAAATCTGGCTGAGGTCCGCCTGGTTGGCACCAAGTGGCTCGCTGGCAAAAAGTACCAGCAAAGCTAGCCTCACCAGAAACGATGGAAATGATGAGCGCTAACCTTTACTTCATGGATTATAATGATACGATATTTCATAGATACTGTATTTTCGCATATTTCACATTAAATTAAGAATGAAATTTTCGAAATGTATGAAAGTGCAACAAGCAAAATATTTCTCAAAAAATTTCTCAAAACTGATTCTTATCTAACGATCAATGATTAATAAAACTATAAATTAACACATAGATTTTTAAATTTTTTTGAAAATTTTTAAAGAATTTTGGAAATTGTCGTTCATTACTCAACAAAAAAAGAGAGAAATAGAGAAATGCCCGTTGATTCGAATTCTTAGACTTTAGAAAAAAAATGAAGTGGAAAAATTATGAAAAAATAAAGTTAATGAGAAACGAGAAGTTAATAAAGGATCGTTCTGGATTCCTTTTCAGGAGGAAGAGATTCCACTTAAACTTCTAGTGATGCAATAATTTTAATAGTCTCGAATGGACTTAATGATTTCTGGCAGAAAAAAACTGCTACTTATTCTAGATAACTGAATTATTGCTGAAGGAAGACTGTGCTTATATATCGAAGTGAATTAATGGTGAATGGTTCTTATCTCATTAGCCAAAATGCTGGTAAATTCGTAAACAAAATATCTCAGAACAATAAATAACTGGAAATAAGTTCTCTTTTTACACGTAATATTTAATTAGAATGGAACCCCCATTCGAAGTAATGGCTATTTTAATTCAGAAGTTGTTGCGAGAATTCAAGCGCAGTGTTTCCGATATCGAAAAGTGCCAAAAAAATTTGCTCTTGATTTTCAGTAACTGATATGGCAAATAACAAAATATCTAAATGAATGATTGGTGATAAAATCGCCTTTTTTCTTGTTTTTGATTGTATGAGAATGGCATTTTGCTTATAGCGATTGTAATGATGCAACAATGCTTAAATCATTTGTGGCAGTGTTCATCATGTTGATTGATTTCGGTAGTCAAATTAGGTTGAGGGTGGCTTCATCAGAGAGTGGCAAGGGAGCCTTGCACCATTGAGAGTTCAGTTTTAAAGGTGTTCCCGTCAAAATGCAGAACGTAACATGACCTCGTCTTAGTCGTGTCACTTGATTATTATGTCCTCGCCCAAAAAGAACTTTTAATTCGAAACAAAGAGAAAACATAAAAAGTAGTATAAAGTAGTATAGTAGTATAGTATAGTATAAATGAAATGAAAAATAATAAAATACTGATATTTGTTAATTCGATATTTCCTCTTTTTAATTCTCTTTTTTTGTCATTTCGATTATTTAAATATTGAACCTCTGAAATGAAACTAACTTAATTTGTTTAACTTCGAATCTTTCTTTATCAAATGGATGACAATAGTGTAAGAAACATTTAAATCTAACTTTATGATGAAAAGGTTAGGTAGTTTTTAATTTGATTTTTTCTGAATGTAAGCGGTCACCATTTCTGGCTTGGTTAGTCCCTCTGGCTATTGATGGTTTCAAATTTTTGCCAAAGACCCCCTTGGCTATGGAGGCAAAGGTAGGTCGTCTGTACTCAACTGGAATTTTTTAATAACTCCTCTTTGCTCCTGTCGTGGGTAGAAGACAAACCTTTCCTTCCCAACACGAGAATTGGAGCCTTTATCAACTCATTAATTAGCATGTCTTTCTTGAATGAATCCTAACCGAATTAAATTTGAATAAAATTCAAAGGACTAATTTTTTTCTATTAATACGGCTATTCCAGATAAAAACTTTAAATTTCTTGGGGCTATTTGTTCGTTACTTAACCGAGATCCTTTCATTCCAGCTAATAAATGAATGCCACTGTATTGCCACCAATATTACCAAATGCGAATACTGAAGGTTCTCAGTGCGGTGAGAACTTTATCGATGAAACATGCAACATTGCTGATGTCAATGCTGATCACGTTTTGGATAGAATCGGTCGATATTAAAAGTTTTGAAATAAAATCCGTCCTCAAAAAATGCTTTTCTATGAGAAAAAAAATAATTTAATGGTTGATGCAACGACGATTACTCAATATTTCACTTATGAAATTTTTCGAGTGGATTTCAACGGGGTCAGGCTAGATTCACTCGACCATTCGCATGAAGCCATTTAGCCAGTCACTTGGGGTTGGGAATACAAGTGGGCCTCGAGCGAAGCAAATAAATGCAATGGTAATAATAACTATAATAAGTACATAAGTAATAACTACAAATTTTTTAATAAAAAAATTTATTATCCGAAAATTCTAAAAAAAATTAAGATAATTTAGTAAAACAGTGACTACGAAAGAGTTCAAAAATGATTTAATTTCTAAGATTTATTAAAAAATATTGTTCTGACGAGGGATTCAATCGTTTTTTTAAGGTTCTCGTAATCGTTTTATACTTTTTACGACATCAATATTATCATTCGGATGGGCTGTTGGTGCGATGCCTCTCATGAATAGCGCTTTTATTATTAGCACTAAACTTTGCAGTAATACCACCGACGATTTGGCAGAAACTGGTGAAAGTTGCGATGACCGAACAACTGTAACAGGAGATGTAAGTTATATTTAAAAAATCTTTATGTGACAGCCTGTTTTATCGAAAAAAATGAGATGGTGCTGAAGATTCACCTCTCTCCATATGACCCTCTTAAACCTCATGGTACCAGTCAGCCAAACTATGCTATGCTAAAGAAAAAGGAAGAAAATGGCACAAGATTGAGAAATGCTACTGAAAGCATATTTCATGGCTTGTTTTTGATTCTTATCACTAATTTGGAATTGTTTTCAACGCTTTTTTTCAGTTCTTTTCCCACCAGATGATCATTGACCCTTTCCTCTTAAATTCTTGAATAAAAAAGGAACTGATAATTTTTGGTAATTTTTGGTAACATAATTTTGAGCGAACTTCGAGCAAAAAAAAAGCGATATGAATATAAGTCCCTCGGTTAAATCCCACTTAAAGATGAAATTCACTCAATTATTGAGAACTGCCTCTTTACGTGACAATATATCATGCATTAGCATATAGCATGGAGCAAGGCGAAGCAAAAACCGGTGCTGTTAGAGATCACGATGGTAAAAGCGATGATGAATGAACAAGGCAATCCAAACACCAAAGAGTAAAAGTGCCCTAGTCAGTAACATAATATATTTGGAGTATTTTTTGCATATATCATGCATATATATATTTTTAAAAACATTTCTGGTTGGCTGATTCCACTCCTTTTTAGGCTGAGAGTCAATTGGGGATATGCATGAATCCCTAGTACCACTTGGATTCCTCCTTTAATGATAGTTTTATTTTCGGGAACCGAACCTACGATTGCTTTGTTCTTAATACACTATTCGACGAACATAACTAAATTTAATATCTCCTCATCCCACATATATTAAACAGGAGAATATCAACAATAGGTTTAGATGCCACTGTAAAAACGGAACTGCATTTTAGTTCGGACTTGAAGATGATAGAAAGTATTTAGCAGACTGGACTACCTCAATGTTCATGATGGGCAATATGGTTGGTGCGAGTACGTTACCTTATTTCTCCGATCGGTTTGCTTTTAATTAATCAGAACTGATTGCCTGTTCTATTAATTTCGTTAATTTACCTACCAAACAGCAATCTGACCTTTTATCGTTTAATCCATTAATTTAAAAAATCCTGTTAATAAAAAAAATGTTCCTATGCACTCTCACTTTTTTCGCAGTCAAAAGGCATAGAAAATTTGGTGCAGTGGGGGAAATTCAGGATTCATTGAAGATGCTTCAGGATTGGGCGCCGACCTATTCTGATAATTAGTTTAATAATACTTGGTATTACTGGGTGTGTTTCGTCTTTCGCCCCAAATATATATTTATTCACAGCTGGAAGATTTTTTCAAGGATTTTTCATGCCAGTTAATATTTGATTTTATATCTCATTATTTCCATTTTCTTGCAAATTTATAAGATTGTTTTTTTTGCTTTAATTACTGCTTTTTACCTTTTGTTGCTTTGGTTTAATTCATAGTTAAGGGAATTTTCAATAATTCACATTGCACACATCGAAAAAAATAACTCGAGCTAAGGGACGACATGCAGTCGAATCCATGATGGTATAACCTTAGTCGAAGCTACCACTCGACCATAGAGCAATTAACAATAAGATTGTTTGCCACCCTCATTATTCGGTGATTTAGCTATTTTTATGCTTTTTTGTAAAAGCGATTCAAGAATAGTGACCACTTAGGTTAACCTTAAATTCATAAACTGAATGCTTCTTGAAGACGACTTAAAACATAAATTCAGGGAGTTTGTCTTGTTGGGTGGGTTCTCGGTTATGAATGCATTCCAGTAAGTCTTCGAGGATTTGCAACTTTAATGTATGGATTGATGTGGGTTGTCGGTTATTGCGCTATAGCACCACTGGCTTATTTTCTCCGAAACTGGCGAGCGCTCTTGATTGCTTCAACATTTCCATCTGTTATTGTTGGAATTATATATTTCTTGTAAGTTAATTATGCTGCAGATACTTAGTGAATTAAAATTTTAAATTATTAGAAATGACTGCGGGGTGGATGGGATCTTAGAAATATTTTAGGAAGAGCCAAATTATAATTTTTGCTTCCCCTGGAAAACTGGCACGTACGTACAGAAAGCAATTAGTGAGATACCAATTTGCACAAATACAATTCAGTCGACCAGTGCCTCCCAAGCGAATTTTTTAATTTAGCCCTTCTCCTTCTCGGCAGAAATTCCGAACTGCGTTTGAATCAGAGTTAAACTGTCAGTAACGTTTGTTTGGGTAGGCAAACGTTTGTTTGCAAAAAAGTGTGCATAACGTTCGAGAAAACGCTAACGAAATGCCGCAGACTTTCCGCTGTGTCCTTCTTTCCTCGATCCTTTATTCCTGCTCTCCAGCGTTCCTTTCTTCCCGATGAGGCAACAGCCTCTCATTTGGAAGATATTTTTAAATTACAGCTGGGGACAGAAAGAGTTTGCCATTCCTTATAGGTTATTTACCGTAATTATTAGAGTGATGCAGGCAAAAGTGACATTATTATCATTATTCTTTGCTTAACGCCGTAGTGATATTCTGCTTCATGGCTATCTTCGCCTTTCTGCGGCAAAGATAACTAAAAACTATTTTTAATATATTTTTGTCGTTTTTTCCTATTTTTAGCGTTATTCCCGAAAGTTTGCATTATATTATTGCAAAAAAGAAAGATAGGCGAGCGATCGCATGGATCAGAAACGCTTCTAAGCATAGACAAAGCAGAATGACCAAACAAAATGAGGAAGAATTAGTCGACTGCCTCAAGGCAATGAGCAGTGAATCGCGAGAAAACGACGGAAGGTCTGTAAACCACTTTTCGTGCTAAGCAAGCATTATCCAGAATTATCTAGAAGGAAAGAAGGAAATTGTACTTTCTTTTTTCTTTTTCTAAAAACGACCATAATTCCTGGTTTAATCCGAATTGACTAAGTCGGATCCTTTCGCTTGAAAATCGCTTGATGATAGAACTACAAGTAACCAGTCACCAGCAAAAACCGGATCTCCATTTAACTATTGAAACTGAACTCATTAGCATAAAAAGTTTATTCTCAAAGGAGGTAGGATCTAACCAATAATGCCTGGCCCCATTCGAAGCAAAACTCAGTCCTGCATAAAACATCCTGCATAAAACAATAAATGTTAATTAGTATCAATTTTCAACACCATAATAAATACGAAAGACAAATCGCTACCATTCTCTACTATTTCAAAAACCATACACATTTTTATATATTATTTTTATATTTAGCCTATACGCATCTTTTCAGAGGATATTTTCTACAAGAACTCCTAAAAAATAGAATTTTTATTCTGTATGCAGCAATTTTGGTGCAACTCTGGTAAGTTTTATTTTGTTTTTTTTTGAGAACAAAATATTAATTATTTCTGATGTCGGGCGGTGCGTAAGAAGTATTTTGCGCATACCATTTCTGGTTAGGCTGACTCCGCTGTTGTTGGGCTAAAAGAGTAGAAATTCTTTTTTCAGCAGCCAATATTTCACAAAAATTAGATAAAAAATTCAAATGCATTGTGGTAAATAAAAACCTTATTTTAGAACTGGATTTTTAGGACATCAGATACTTTAATATACTTCGGTTTATCTTTGTACTCAACAAAGCTTGCCGGTAATAAATACTGGAATTACGTCCTTTCTGGCTTAATAGAATTACCTGCTTACTTGCTTGCACCACCAATGCTTGAAAGGTAATATGTTATGTTTTAAGGTCTGGTGGTTGAATGATGCTCGAGATCTTGAGATAAGCGGATAAAAACAATATATTATAGGTCAATATAATATATAAAAATAATATAATATAGAATAATAAAGTAATAAATAGTAATAATAAATTAGTGAACGCGTGGAAGAAGGGTAAGTAAATTTCGAATGGTAATAATTTGCTGGCGTTAGCGCTTAATTTTAAAAACATTCCAATTACTTTTAGCTTTGGTCGAAAACCGATCGTTGTCTGGACTCATACTTTAACTGCTGCTATGCTTATTGGGATTGTATTTATTCCGGCAGGTTCGAAATGCCATTCACTCAAACTGAACATTTTTTTTTCGACTCTTAATAAATAGATTTCGCGATAAATCTTCTAAAATTTAACAAATTCACCATAAACATTTAATATTATTAAACTACTCCATCTGCATAATCAAAGATAACAGGAATGACAACAGAGTAAGAAATTCCAGTCCAGTGGATATTAAGGTATATTGAGAGGCAAGGATTTGAAGATGCTTCCGATAGGAGAAAAACTGAAATTGAAACCGTTTTTCCGGTTGATGCTAGCGACTTGCCTGCATTTATACTGCCATTTCTGTTGATCTCCTGGTAAAAATAGCCAGCGTAGCGGACTGAACCAACAATGCTAAATGCTAAATATTAACAACTTAATGTAAGAAAATAATGGCTTGATATCCTTAACTGAGTTCGTTATTTTTTATGAATGGAGGAGGATAAATGCAAAACACTAGAGGATGAGGAAGAACCGAAACCACAGTAGCGATAAGCAACCAATAATAAAGAACCAAGAAAGAACCGGAATAATAAACCGTAATAACAACCACAAAAGGCAATCAATCCAATTAACATAATTAAAGAGAGGGAATAGCATTGAGTCGCAAATACATAAAATATTAAATGAAGAATTTCTTAAATTTTAGATTTTGGGAATACGTAGCATGTAGGCGGTAGACGATAACAATATTCCAACGGCGAAATTAAGATTATATTGTGTTCGATGTAGATTTCCAGCATGAATAAAGATAAGAGAAAAAAATTATTATTGAATCTGAGGAAAAAAATATGTATGGATAGATTGGAATTTCGCATCACCAGCTAGATTATAGTTTGAGAGAAGAAACTAATAAACTTTTCTAAGAAACGAATTTTATAAAATATTCCTCAATTATTTTCCAACAGCAATTGATGGGACGTTGTGATGTCAGAACATTTCCCGGACACTTATTTTACTTGCACGTTTCCACTTATTTAGCTAAGGAAGAAATAAAATACTAACCAGGAAGTTCCATGTCAATTTTTTAAATTCAAATCAGTCTAACAAAAAATTCGTTTAATTCGTTTAGCCATTTAATTTACTGTTTGCAAACAGTGGACTATGATGTAGAGTGAAATCCTTTCATAAGAGAGATTCGACGATAGAAGTACAGATCGCTTTCCAACACCAACCTTATTTCACTTCTAATGACATGTTTACTGCCATCGAGCAGGAACACGAATGGAACCTATAATGATTTGACTTTAGTCGAAGCTTCTCGACCACGTCGCCTAAACAATGGCCCATTCATTACAACAGACCTTATCTATGAAAAATATTTTAGAAATGAACTGGATCTCTTCACTACTCTGGCTAGTTGGCAAATTCGCAATATCATGTTCATTTATGTGCATGTTTGTGTATGCAAGCGAAATATTTCCGACAACAATAAGAAATATATGCATTGGTCTGTGTTCACTATTAGCTCGAATAGGAGGAATCGCTGCACCTTATGTTGGATTACTGGTTGGCATAAGTTATTTAATATTATTTAATATTAGAATACTATCATCGACGAAGAAACCCATCATAAAGACAAGCAGTAAAAAATCTCTCAAATCTTAATACTTTTTTTACTTATATTTTTTAATAATTTCTTCGTCATTTTGTTAGTTTTACTGGTCTCGTTGAATTAAATGCAGTTGTAACAATTGAATTTCGTGCCCCTTAACATCCCTTTAAATAGCTGAATTTTTATAAGTTCCGAACTTTACGAGGGATTTCTTTCATTTTTCCTCTTATTGAATATATGAAGGCACTGTGGATAGAGAAAAGACCTACATCCACACTAATTGAGAAACATTTAGTGGTTCAGCGCTCCACAATAAGAAAAAGGAAACTGCTCTCTCAGCTGGAGATAGATCAATTCTGCACTACATCCTAGACCCAAAATTATCTGAGAAAAGAGGAAAGGGATATGCATCCAATAAGTTGGGAAGCTGAAATCATGAATAAAATGGCCGAAATTAATTATCGAGACCACTGAGGCTCCTTGATGCAACACCAGATAATATAATCGAAGACACCAATAGAATCCTCGCAACACTTCCTACTACCACTATAACAGAAACTAATGAATTAGTATACGCCACAGCCACCGCAATTCTGGAAATGCAGGAGTGTAAAATCAAGAATAATAATATAATATGACCATGAAAAAGGAAGCTGGAAAATAAGATCACAGTGAAATCAGCCATCAGAATTGCTGACAGACTTATAGAAAGACGTAAAGATTGGCAATAATGTTCAGATTTTGGAAAAATACAAGGGCCACACTCCATCAGAAGCCCTCGAGACTGCCAAACAAAGGCTCATAGCACTTGCCATCAGGCTAAAAAGATATATTAGAGAGGCAGAGGCTCAAAAGATGAATGCTCCAAAATGCCGGATCGTTCAAGGTATATTCTCAACTTCAATGCAGTAATACGGTAACAACACAGCCACCAACATCAGAAATCAGAAATTATACAATACTGGAAGAATAAATGGGAAAAAATTCATTCATGACAATATTGCAAAACGGCTGCAAGATCTGAGAAGTCACAGCAATTTACCATAGCATGAAACCACAGTTGTTGAAATTCAAAAATATGAAAAGTTGCATTGCACTTGGTTCGGATATGATTCAAATGTGCTGGCTAAAGAGCGCCATGAGCGCCTAACGACACAGAAGAACCAGTTGTTTTCTCATTCTCATGTTATTAGAAGGAAAGATGGCACATCAAAAATCATCAAACCAATCATAAGGGAACAACATCGTCCAAATATCAACCAACAACTTAACTTCTACAATCCAGAAAATACTATTGGATACCACAGCTATCAAATTTCAGGCAAATTATGAGTGCAAAAAGGCATTGGGAACAAAACCAGAGGCTCCAAACAGCTCATCAGCAGCTCGGCAGTTGCTCTGGACTTAAAATTCCTGTAGACCAATCTTTGGATTGACTATAGGAAAGCCTATGACTCAATGCTCCACTTATCAATCTGTGAATGTCTGGCTTTATATAAAATCAATAGGACTTAAAGTTGTTCATGGAAAAACTCAATAAGACTGTGGAAAATAACTCTTGAAATCAACTCGAAAGTAGCCATCAAGTACAGCATATATCAAGGCGATACACTATCTCTTCTATGGTTCTACAGGTCTAAACTCCCTCCCTCAGTCAAATAATTAGAAGCGAAAATGGACACAAATTCAAGAGCGAAATTACCATCATTCATCTTCTCTACATGGATGATAACAAGTTATAAGCAGAAAATGAACGAGATATTGACTTACTCACACATCAAACAGATCTACAGCGAGGACATTGGAATATCATTCGGATTAGAGAAATGTGCCCGATGATATTAAAGAGAGGAAAAACAGTAATAAGTGTTGGGATGGACCTGCCATCAGGAATATAACATACAGGCTAGTTATAAGTATAGTACCCCATAGTTACAAAATGAGGAGGCAAAGAAAACTGTAAGATCTAAATATCACCAAAGGCGAAGAAAATTTGTGAAAAGCCAGCTCAATGGGAAGAACAAAATCTATGCCATATACGCCCTTCCAGTCATTAGAAAGGCACCTGCATAGTAAGATGGACAAACGAAGACATGGAGGCGCTGAAGAATATTTTTCTTTTCACAATAAACGGAAATTTCTAACACCCAAACACAATCCACCAGTCGGAAAGAAAGCCTGGGGCTTGGTGAATGTGAAAGTACTGTCTTGAATGAAATCTGAAGCATTCAGAAATCAGAAATACATCAGCAAGAAGGCACCAAAGGATAAGCTGCTGAGATAATATCTGAAGCATCTACAGATAGTGGAGAAAATCAAGCAAAGGAAGTGCAACTCTTCATGAGTTGCACCATGGACAGATAATTGAGGTAGCTGACACAGAGAAACCCTAGCAGTGGGTGGAAAAAACTGGGTTGGAAGGCAATACGAAAGCATTGATCATACCAGTACAAGAGAAGACCCTAAGCACCAGATCCATTGAAGCCAGAATCTCCTACACAATACAGGATTCTAGATGTAGAGTGTGTCCCAGAAACAGTCCAACATATAGTGGCAGGATATAAATTCAAGCAGAAACAACATCCACTAAAAGACATAATCAGGTAGCTAGCATCATCTATAGAAACGTTGGCTAAAAGTATTTTACTAGCATACATCAGAGAGCTCTATATATATGGGAATTAATCCTTTGATATAAGAAATGGTGCTCATCAAGGCTGCATCTTTTCCCCTATTCAATATTCAACTATGCGATAGACTGGATAATGGGCATCGCTTGTCGGATCAATAGGTGTACAAATCAGTCTAGAGCAAAATATCGCAGATCTTGAATACGTTGATATAGTCCTTATTGCTAACAGTTATGACGAAATGTAAATAATACTAAACAATATGTCAACAACTGCAGCGAGAAACGGACTTATGCTCAAATTATATAAACTTTGACGATGGAAAAAGAAAAGAGGACTTCTATTACTGCCGACGGCGACATCGGATCGAATTGCTTAGAGACGACTTATCCCTGTAGTCAAGTAGTGGAGCCAGGCTAACAAGTACCCAGTAATGGCAAGAGCTTTCATACAAATAAGAATCAGACTAAATAATAAAATCCTTAAAATTAAATAGAAAATTAATTAAGCAATGCTAAAATTCACCTTCAATTTGTATCCGTTCACCTGGATATAGCCAAACACGTTCCAGCGGCTTATTTTTAATTTGATTAATACCAGATGATCCACTCAAACCAAAAACAGCATCATTTGCCTAAAATTAACAATTTGTTAAAAAGTAGAAATCCTTATTTTTCAAAAAGAATGAAAATAAAAATGAAGAAAATTTTCGAAAAAAAAAATCTAACTAATAAATCGTCTCTAAGATTATTTTAATACCATTAATTAAATAGGAACCAAATAAGAAAAAATAAATTTAATGCACCTCTGATTAAGCTAGCTCCACTGGTTATACAATGAAAAAATTTTTGGATAAAAGCAAACAGCCTCTATCGCATACAAGACTATTAATGATAAATTTCAGAAAGCCGGATACAAACTTTGGTGCTTAAGAATATTCTGCAATAAATGCTTTATTCTCTCTTTTTCTCCATTTTAGTACGACTAATTAAGAAATTAAGAAATAAAATATTAGTCTTGAAACTTTTCGTAACTAATAAATAAGTAAAATAAAATAAAAATAAACGAATGAAATTAGTATAAAAAAAACTCAAATTTAAAAAACTTAAATCTAGAAAAATTAAAAAAAATTAAAACCTAAACACTAAAATTACTAAAATACTAAAAACTAAAATTAAAAAAATTAAAAACTTAAATAAAGGTAGAAATTAGGTAACCATTCGCAAACTTTTTTTTTCTTTCTAAAAAATATTATATATTATCTAGAAATAATATTATATAGAAATATTGTACTTTGTTAATATTTACAATTAATTTATAACTTGTTACAAACCACATGGATCGCGCCAATTAATCTTATGTTTGAAATCGATAAAAATTTTAAATTTAATTTTAATTGACAAAGGCTAATCAAATCTATTATAATTAATATTGCATTATTTCTATACATTATACAAATGGCTTGACTAACACATTCAATCAAAATATTAAAATTATAAAGTTTCACTCAGAAAATCACTAAATTAAGATCACTAAAACTCCCGGAGAATATCTTCTGGCCAATCTTCAAATATTGTCCATTGCTTTCATAATTTAATAATACATAATACACCTTCAAAAAATTTTCTGAAACAACAGAATGAAATAAAACTAGATAATCGGAGAAAAGCAATTCTGCTCCCAATTTTTCAGAGGGGTGAACAACATACCGAAGAATCGGCTTACTAGGCTCCGAGAAAATCTTCATTCCCTTTACTGAATAGACTTATGGTAATACGAGATAACAGGATATACCCTAACCAATTAGACCGGGATGTCGTATTGACTAGATATTTAGGTTGAAGGTGCTGGTGTCATAGCTTTAAATATAAATCCACCACCGTCACATATTTCATTGATTTGGAGCTGCCTTCGATTCAACTGATAGAGCAGCATTTTGGAGGATGATGGAATGATGGATGACGGTATTCCAGATAAGACCATTCGTCTTATAAAGGCACTTTATCACCAAACATTGGCACAGATCTATGCATATGGGGAATTGATAAACCCTTTCGAAAGAGTCAAGACTATGCGACAGACTGGATAATGGACATCGCTTGTAGGCAATCAAGAGATGTACAAACCAGTTCAGAACATTACATCACAGATCTTCACTATGAAAATGTTAGTGATGCAATATTTTTGCTAACAGTGACAGTGACATTTCGTTATAACAAAATGCAAATAATACTAAACAGTGTATCCACAACTCAGCAAGGATCAATGTAAATAAAAGTTTTATAAACGAGAAGCCGATGCAAATCTTTTTTTATCATTCCATCACCGATTGAGGAAGTGCCCGATTTTTAATATCTTGGATCTGCTTTAATCGCAAAAGGTCAGGCAAAAGATGAAATTACAACTCGGATAACACTAGTAAT